ATTCCTTAGCTCATTACGAGATAATGACAATAATGCAAGCTCCTTTTGCAGAAATGAACAAATATTCGGGACTGCTCGACTAGGAAACACCCTGAACCCTGCAAATACCTCATATTCCAATCATTCTACGCTTCTTTCCCATATTCATTATACTCTGGGCATAGGTAATATTGCAATCGTTCTACGCTACTTTTACACATACATTATACCCTAAGAAATGGCGATATTCCAATCATTTTACGCTTCTTTTATACACACATTGCACACACGCGCTTTGCTCATTGCGCAGTATGGAGCTTACTTTTATTCTAGGTAGGCTTTATACAACAAATTTTCATAGCAGGGTAATAACATTCATATGTATGATTTGCTAAAGCACAAGTCCGTAGTATTTGAAGGCATCCGAAACCCAAAAATATACAAAATATTTATTTCACTACACGAATCTTAAAAAACAATTAATGCTTACGAGTTCGGATGGGCGGACATGGCTACTTGAGTGCCTCAGCTTGTCGTGCTGATCAAGAATATATATACTCTATGGGGTCTGACCCGCCTCCCCCGCCAGTAACATACATTTTCACAAAACAATTATATATTATAAAAAGTTAGTTATCAAATATAAAAATAAATGTTTTTCTAAAATTTAAAGTAAATTAAGATAGTACTTTGATCATATTGCAAATGAGTAGTTGAATCAAATAAATAAAGGTAAGAAACTGAATTACTGAATTTTTGTTTCTCACATTGTTTCAGTCATCTTTTACCTCAGAAAGGCATTTTAGCAAAGTAAATTAAAAAAGTAATTTAAATGTCGACTTTATGGTAGATTAAATCATATTACACTGCCATCACAATTATAGATCCATATCTAATTATAATAATGTCCACCTGGTTAATCTGATGGTAATTAGTAAATAGAAAGGAAGCTGCTGGAACAGAAAACAATTTGCATAAGCCAAATAAATTTGCCTGGAACAGGGGCAGATCTAAAAATAATGTTAATAGGTCGAGGGACGGACGAAGGCTTTGGAGGATTAGGCGAGGCTCCTTTCAGCCAAAATAGGAAGTTCAACCAACCATGTGGGGGCTACGTTGTGGCCCTCTTTATCCTGTTCTCTTCAACCCTAGCCGCAGCGATTTATCAAAGTTCATTGAAATTGTGCGCCGCCTCGAGTCGAAAAAGTATTCGTCCTTGGGTGGTTGGTTCTGGAGGAGCGCAGTGGGTGGGCAGGCATGGCATTGTCCTTGCCACTGACTACGTCATTCATTAAAATGTGTTTGCAGCTCGTAAGTTTTTGGCGCATTAAACAGCATTGAGCTGTCAGCCGTACTACAATCCAAACAAAATGCCATAAAAGCCAGTCACACGCTCAGAGTGCAAAACTTTCTCTCCGCTCAAGACTCCGCCTTCTTTGCCCCATTGCGTCCTTCCTCCCACGTCACTTTAACTGATTTATGATTGCGTATGCTGTGAGCTAACTCCAAATGCCGCTTCCTTCAGCAAATGAAAAGTCAATACGCCACACTTGATTAATAATCATATTATATGCTTTATTAGGCATTCAGACAATATGGCTCTGACTGTGGCAATAGTGGGGCAAGCGGGGCTAGCAGTTTGTATACCCTCTACTAATGATCAGGGCATGTGCGAAAATTAATATAGATTAATTTCCACTAAGTGGAATAGGCAAATAGTCAATTTAATGATCTATTGTTCAAGTCACAACAGAGATTTTTCTGTGAAATGAAAATCAAATGATCGTGATATATAAACATATAGGAATGGTTTAAAGGGTTGCGCTTTATGATCCTTAGTACAATTTGTTTTTGAAGTTCGGTAAAGGCGTGGTCAAGTCGTGACTATGGCCGATGTATCGGACTGAATTAGTGCTTACCAACTAATAAATCTCATTTATGTTCCTGCGTTCAGGTCCCACCTTTTCCGGCTCAAAGCATCTTCGTCGAAGTCCCACACTCTTTTCCAAGCATATTTTAAGTTAAACATTTCCTCGACTATAATATCCTTTTGGAATTCAACGACAGTCTCTCTCAGCTAAAGTAGGTACTTTCAAAAGTAACCTTGAGCAAAGAGCATTTGTGTCAGAGGAACAGACGTTTCACGGTGCGCTCTGATTAGACCCTAATCTGAATCGCAGACACTACATAGTACGACGGCACTTATTGCTACCATTAGAAGTCATCCTTTTACTACTATCGATCCTTCAACATTTGTCATCAGTCTACTCAGGTCTTGCTAAGATCACCGTTTATCGCTTGAGATGTTGAAGCTGTCATTACGATAATCATAATTATAAATATAATGGTTTTGCTAATGATAGTGTAATAATAATAAAATAATAATGATTGTGTTAATGACGATAAAAATAAACCTGAGAATGACAATGACAATGACAATGACAATGACAATGACAATGACAATGACAATGACAATGACAATGACAATGACAATGACAATGACAATGACAATGACAATGACAATGACAATGACAATGACAATGACAATGACAATGACAATGACAATGACAATGACAATGACAATGACAATGACAATGACAATGACAATGACAATGACAATGACAATGACAATGACAATGACAATGACAATGACAATGACAATGACAATGACAATGACAATGACAATGACAATGACAATGACAATGACAATGACAATGACAATGACAATGACAATGACAATGACAATGACAATGACAATGACAATGACAATGACAATGACAATGACAATGACAATGACAATGACAATGACAATGACAATGACAATGACAATGACAATGACAATGACAATGACAATGACAATGACAATGACAATGACAATGACAATGACAATGACAATGACAATGACAATGACAATGACAATGACAATGACAATGACAATGACAATGACAATGACAATGACAATGACAATGACAATGACAATGACAATGACAATGACAAAAATTACAATTACAATTAATATGATATATTAAAAATAATAAATGGTCAGTTAAAGCTACTGGAATATATTCTTACTACTTTTTTAAACCTTTCTTTATAAATTAGTCTGAGCTATAGTACCTTGTTTTATTTTTTGTTCGTATTTGGCCATATATGTATATATGTGCTTTCATATGATAATTTTTCGACAACGATTTGATCTCTAAATATTTTATTAAGTAGTAAATTGCAAACGGACAGCTTTTGTTTGAGCTATTTGCCTTACACAAGAGCCGAGTTTTAGACTGCAGGGCATTTTGTTCTACGGATAGAGCTCTCCGCTTGTGTGTCGCTTGTATTTTCTTATTTTGCTGTTGTATTGTGTCTTCCATCTATTGTTATATAACTCTTTTGTTTGGCCACAGTTGACTTGAGCCATTTGTTTGGCTTGCTGACGGCTTTTATATATACAAATATCTTAATCATCTGACAAGTGCAGACAGCGCTATGTGCTGCCCCAAGGATGCGGCTACAACTCCCCATATCTAATGCCCCGCTTCACTTTTTTTGTTGTTTGGCGTCTGCCCACAAATTATAATTACAAATGATATATTTTGGCGTTTTTATTATGAGACTCTGCATAAAATAAATGATCTAAATGCCTATTAGAGCTCACTTCTATGACAAACGTGCAAAACTTTGTCCCGCGTGGTAGCTTTTTTTCTTGCTTTGGCTGGCATATCCTGTAAAAGTTCGCAAAGACTAAAATTATTATGCAGCTTGTTACCTTAAACAACATTCATACGATTTCATAATTCTGTACAATTTAATTTTTTAGCACTATGGACAATGGTCGAATAGAAATATATTTAGTCAACCTACGAAAACTTCGTACGATATAGCTATGAACGTATCTGGGTAAATGTGAAGTCAAGTACCCTATATAATATAACATATAATGCCTTTTATCAGTTATTAAATAATTAAAGTCTTGCAATATAAAGTCCTTTAAGGTGGTTTGATGAAAAGAATGTCAATTTCCGTGAAATGAATGCACAATACACCAATTTTTTTATAATAATCCCTTTTTATTCGTATTATTATTAATATTAATTATTAATATTTTATTATTTAATTTCTTTTAACCCATTATTTCATAATTTTGTGCTAAATTAGGGTATAACAAGTACGTTCTCTTAATTTTCATGCGTAAATTCTTCTTATTTTCTTATTTCTATAAATATTTGATATAGCGAACTGAGGCTATCAATGGACTGGAGCAAAAGAGAGGGGTGAGCGAGGAGGTAGCAACAAAAAGAGATAGAGCCAAAGGGGGGTCGTTCACGACGTCGCATTGTTGTGCGTAGAAATATCTAAGCTATGCGGCGTACCGAACCGGGCATAATCAAAATACAATTGTGCGAGGATATGAGTGTGTATGTGTGTGAGTGTGTGTCCGAGTATGCGTGCGAAAGTACGCGAGTGTGTTTATATGGGTGATTGTGTGTGACTGTTTGTAAGTGTTGTAACGCGTGCACAAATTTCTATTTTTTTATGTGTGCTGGTGCTGCTGCTGCTGATTGTTTGGGAGCAGACTCTACCTGAGCCTAGCAAAGGCTCTTTGCTCTCTGCTAAAAGTATGCTATAAACTGGAAGGCAGAGCGCAAAGAGAAATACAGAGAGATAGAGAGAGAGAGAGAAAGAGAGTGTGTTAAAGAGCGAGCTAGCGAGCACCTATAAAAATTGAAGCATTCAAAATGCCAGAATAATAAATTAATTAATTATAAATTTAAACAACATCAAAAACAAATGGCACATCAACTAAGGCAGGACGGAAGAGAGTGGAAGAGCGGGAGCACAAGAGAGAACGTGCGAACGTGACTAGTCTGCAGCAATCAAATTCAGCTCCTGTACAAAGCGCACAACTGGAAGTGGTCGGAAGCGGAGCTCGTGGCGCTTCGTTTCTTGTCGGCTTACTTCTCGTTCATTCGGCTTTGTCATTGTGGCCCCGAGACTCGTAGCAGTTCCGCAGGCGGACCACGGAGCCAAAACGTTTTCGTGCGCTGCGCTGACAACATCCTCGCAGGACCAATAAGCGGACGGTGCGTTAAGCAGTAAAAAAATTCTATGCCTGTGTGTGTGTGCAGAAACTTTTAATCGTGTGTGTTGAAAATTGATTGCACTTTCAAAAAATACAACAAAAAAGCAGCCATGAAACGGAAGGGAAAGAAGAGTTAAATCATATGACGATAAGCAAAGCGAAATGGAAAATTCTGGCAGAAAATTGAAGGCAAAGCCAAATTTTATATAATCAAGCAATAAAAATGATACAGCGCTCGCCTGTGCTTGTGGACGTGTGTGTGTGTATGACTGTGTGTGTGTCTTTGTGTGTGTGTGTGTGAGTGCAGAAATGTTAATACCATTGTATCAAATGTGTGTAAGTGTATTTGGGTGTGTGTGTATGTGTACGTATCTTCTCGTGCCTTTAGGCCTTTCATAAAGAGGTCAAAACGTTGCTTTCGTTCTTTTACGCTTTTTTCAGTGTGCAAAGACAACAAATTTAATGGGCCAAATAAAAGAAACACAAAAGGAAACACAAATGTAGGCATTCCATTATTCCGTTTTATTTTGGCACCGCCCTGCTTTAAGCTGCCAAATGATATAATAGTGACTAAAACTTGAGCACGACTTAAAAACGTAGCTTTAGCGGTGAACTGTAGCAGTTGAGTGTGCATGTCATAGAAAGAGAAAGAGAGAGAGAGGAGAGAGGCACAGAACTAGAAAGAGACGTAAAGGGGAGTAGGCATGTATAAGACCTCCTAATTGCACATTTTTATGGCATACTTTTAGCTGCCGCAATTAATGTTAAGCACATATATTTTTTGTGCCGAGCTGTGTGTGAAAAAAAGAAAAATAACGGAATAAGCTGTGTTTTTTAAACTCGTTAAACTCGCTAGTGGTGTATCATTTTACATTTTGATTATAATTTGTGCAACTGTGTGTTCTTAATAATGCAATTATGCAGCTCAATATTTTGGGAGAAAATCTCATATTTTAGTCAAGAAATATACTGTTTCAAATAAAAAATAAAGAATAGTTTAAACTTCTGATGATAATTTGGAATACATATTTAATATTTAATTAATTAATAAATCATTAAATAATCAAAATGGCTGGTTCATTAAAGTGCATGATATATTACCAATATTTTAACTAATTAGTATGAAAGTAAATAAAAATACTTCTAATTTAATATTATGCATCTTGAATTACCAAAAATTATTTTAAATGAGTTTTGTGCGATCTGAAAAGTATTTATAATAAAATAAAAAGCAACCTGAACACAAATCTTGCATTTTATTTTATTATCTTTTTATTAGTGAAAAGATTACTAAAATTTTAAAAATGTATACTGATTAAATTCAATTGAGATATATAGAATATGCTGTAAATACCTAAGAAAGGTAATGAAAAGTTTTCTAGGCTATCGGACGAATTACGTTATATACGATTTTCACTTTGTCAAAGTATATAAAAAGTTCGGCAGAAGTTGGCACAGATCTAGAATCTTAATCAACTTAATGTGGAATTATGTAAATCCAAGAATATACCAACACATCATATATATATAAAAGAAGATATTACGCAATTTTCAGCGCAACAAAATTTGACACAGCTCTAGAGAATCAAATGCCATAATTAATAATAGTGCCAGCAGAATCGAAATTCCTGTCTAAGCTTTGGCCTATAGCTAAAAATACTACATGAAAGAAAGAAGAAGAAACACACTCAAGCTAGCTGTAAAAAGTGCGAGGCTCAAAAGCACACACAAACACATAGAGCGCGACGGGTGGGGTAGGACATTAGCGGCAGCTACTCAAAGCATAACAATGAACGTAACCGCACATAGAGCCCAGAGACAGCCACAAGCAGCTACATAAAAAAATGAAGCAATGAACGAGGGAGAGAGAGAGAGAGTGGGTGTGTATTTGTGTGTGCGTGTTACCTACTAAACTAAATGAAAGTAAAATTGTAAGCGTAAGCTAAAACAACAAACATAGCAGCAGCAGCAGCGGCAGCAGAAAACGAAAGCAATAACAGAAACGTGAGCAGCGATAAGAACACTGAGATAAGCAGTAGAGCGTGTAACCAGACAAAAAAAAACAAAGAGAGACTGAGAACGAGAGAGAGCCGAAGTGAGCGCGTTTGCATGTGCTGCGCTTAAAGAGAGCATGCAAATTTTTTTAGCTAAACATAAGCTACCGTGCAAAAACCGTTTGACTAACTTTAGCTGTTTATCTTCTGCTCTCTCTCTCTTTTGCAGATTTAACAGCTCGTGCAAGTTCAATGTAAAAGCGAAAATGTAAACAATACTAACGCACGCGCAACAACAGAAACAACAACAGCAGCTATAATAAAACATACTCTGCCATAAACTGGATCTGACTGCCTTCCAGCTGGGAACCGTTGTCGTATCCCTTCCAGTGAGGCCTGCAGCACACGGCTAGCGACGTTAACAGCGCCACAACAACGTCAGCAGTGCTGTCCTGCTAGTCGTGCTGTGTGCAACACTGGCAAAACTCAGGGAAATTTTTCCACAAGCACACATACACACTCACACACACAACACACAATCACACGCACACACACACGCACACAGCGTTGCTTTACGTTGCCAAAAAAATAGAAAAGAAACACACATACCTACACATGGCCCGGCCAGGAGCCGTCATCAAATACGAACGCAACGTGGAAATGCTGCGGCCAGCGTCAGCGTCAGCGTCAGCAGCAACCGCAGCAAGAGCAGCACCAACAACAACAGCAACTTGCTTGTCTAGTGCGTTGCTGTGCTAATTGTTATTTATGTATAGTAGTGTATATAAATTTGTGTGATATTGCAACAACAATGCAAAAGCATAACAGCAAATAACCGAGAACGAGCGAAGTACAGAAAGTTAGAGGGAGAGAGAGAGAGCGTGCGAGGGAGATAGAGAAAGCGAACTGTTTTCGACGGTGCAGCGTAATCAGAATAAAAGAAAGCGAAATAATCCCAAAGAATAAAGTTTCACCAACCAAAAACAACGACAACTAACGGTTTTGCAACAACAACAACAGGAACAAACAGCAACAGTAACAACACTTAACGGGTCCAATGTTGCAGCAAACAACATGCAGCAAACAACAATGGCAACAGCATCAAGAAGAAGAAAGAGAACTAGAACAACAAGAACAACCACAGCAGCCACAGCAGCAGCAGCAGCAGCAAGAACAACAGCAAACAGCTAAGGCTTCTAGCTACAGCAACATAGTGCGCCCTGGCAACATGGGCTTAAGCAACATGCTGCCAGCTAGCAATAGCACCACAACAACGATAGATTTCAACAGTCGCCGGCGACGCGGTCGCCTACGGGCCGCCCACAAATGTTGCCAACAAGTGCCAGCAACAAACACAAATGTTGCTTATACAAAACAACAACAAACGAAACAACCAAAACACCATGCAAAGCTTTTGTTATCAATAATGTGCGCGTACATTGTCGATTGTGTAAATATTTTAAAACGCTTAGTATTATTAACATTAACAACTACAACTGCAACTAAGAAAAATAACAACAGCAATAGGCACGCCCGTGGGCGTGGGCAGCCGCTATGCTGCCTAATGCTGCTGCTGCTGTTGCTCTTCTTCTGCAGCGTTCAGGCTCACAAGCCAAAGAGCGTTCACAAGCAACAACATCAGCCGGCTCACAACAACGATGTCACGTTTAACAACATGGCCGACGTGCCGCCCACTTATCAAGTGAAATCATCGCAAACATCGAACGAGGACGAAGCCGAAATCCTTTATCACTCCGCCGAAATGTTTGGCGAGGAGGAAGAGGACGACCTGTCAGATGGACGTGAGCCAAGCGGCAGGCAGGTGAACGAGGATAATGCGGCCAATCCACGCGGTATCAATGGTAAGTGCAACCCAACAAGTAAGCTCTTTCCATTTCGATAAGCTCCCTTGATCGTTAAACTGCTTTCAACATGTCAACATACAAATATTAGTGGACCACTACATAACTGTTCCTTTCTTTGGAAACCAAGGCATATTTCATGACCTGCCAGCAATGTTGCCTTTGAGAAATATGTCGTCTATATGTAATAAGGTCATATGTATTTAAATTGGGTAATCAGTAATCGAACCAGTTCACTCTTTCGTGAACGAGACTCATTAAATCGGCCAAAATATATTCAGCAGTTCATGAACTACACATATTGAACTATTGTTCATGAACTATACAATCTATCGAGCTGTGCAAATATCGAAATTACGAATCATAGAAAACGGTTAAATATTATAAACTAATGAATTGATGAGAGAGAGGTAAAGTGTACGAATCTCAAATGATATATTGAACGTGTTGAAACATTTGAAAAGGAGTTCTCCATGCTAATATAGCATGGTTTGATACAAAATTGTATTTCTGACATGTCCTTGAACATGTCAACGGCCAAGACACCTTCGATGACATGTCACTTAGGTCCTCATACAAGCGTGTGTCAAGACGTTTGAAGACGTCCCCAATAAGCTTGTCAACAAGAGCACAATTTGCATCTGGAATACGTACACCCACTCGTACACACACACACACTCGCGTGCACAGCAAACATGGCTTATGCGTGATTTGGTCTTTTGTCTGCGAGTTCGACTAATGGAATTTATATTTAAATGGGGCATAAGGGTGAAACTCTAAGGGGGAAATTTGCTGTATAAGTGATTTATGGGATAGACGAAGCACAATCAATCGAGCGCTTGGAAGGCAGCAAATCGAATTTGACTTGCATAGCTCACAATCCAAGAGCAAATAAAAGTACGAAAATGAAAATTTGCATTCTATTCAATGGGGCGCATGGGCGATATCCTGAATATAAAAATTAAAAAAAATAACATCTTAGTTTGAAGGGGGCATTTATCTAACAATTTATATAATATTCATATTATTGCAGAGACTACTCCAAAGCAACTATAGTCAAAAATAGTAGTAGGCTAAGTTTAAATATTTTGCAACGATAAATAAAATCTTTGAAATTTTATAATATTCAATTTGAACACAATTTAGTTAAAATCTTAGCAGCTACAAATAATAATATAAAATGTTTACAGAACGAGTTCATAAACATTTAAGAAAGTAGAGAAAATTAATAGAATGAAGGAATTTCCGATTTTATCTTGAAAATTGTTTAACCATTTTTGTCAAAAATTTAAACTATATCAAACATATTTATATTGAGATAATATTAAAATACGTTTATTATCGATAACGATTTATTTATGAATATTTTCGTGCGTCTTATAAACGTTTGTATATAAGCTTGGGGCAGTAGATATAATATTTTATATGACACTTAAATTTATTTTAGAAATATATAGAAAAAAATATATATAGCAAAATTTTTTAATGACTATAACATACAAATATTTTTTTTACTTAAAATAAGAATAAGAACAAGAAAAATGTATTAAAATTTATTAGCAATTACACGTTGCGTATACGTTATATTTAATATGATATGCAGCCTATAAATTACGTATACGCAACGTAAACAAACATAAATATTTGAAGCGACGCTTGAACAGCTGCTACCACGTATGCACACGTACTACACACACATATATATACTACACATACATATTCTGAGCTAATGTTCAGCCCAACTGCATTTCTGCATTTGTTATTTTTTCTTTGGTGCTTGGGGCCAAGTCAAGTTGGGCAACCCTCGTGTTCACCTTTTGTTTGGCCAACTGCTGCCACATAGCGCAATTTTTATGCTACTTATTTTTGTTTTTGTTATATTTTATTTTCGGTTCCAACAACAATTAAAAACGACGTGGCATAATGTTTGCCTAGGCGTGTGCACCCTGGAGTCATTTCTCATTTTAATGACTCAACCGACGCCGTCTTCCAGCCCGGCCCGCCCACTTGCGTTGTGGACCCTATGTATATCCCTTTGCGGCCGTCTGTTTCGCATTCTAGCTGTCTGCTGCACACACGCTCTCACAATAGTGGAAAGTGGGCTGACAACAAAAAAGTGGACCAATACAACTAGCTGGCTTCTCGGACTTCTCTAGATATTAACGACTCTTAGACGCTCTATAAATACGGAGCAGTACACGCCTAATAAATTATATTTACTATACATATATATATGTTATAATTGCACTCAGTGCGTTCACAAGTAAACCCGCTAGTTAATCAGATTGAGCAGTTTCTTTCAAAGTTTGATTTGCCCAATAAATGAGGGTAATAAGAGCCAGACAGGACACCAGTTATAACTACCTTAACTATTATATTTATGACTCTGTCTCGCTGCATACATAGACTTGCTCTATTTTTTATCAAGAGGAATCAGTTCCCCATGGTGTCCACAAGTTTCGTGAATTTAAAATGATCTTGAAGAGACTTCACATCGTTTATCTTTTATTGCAAAATATATGACAATACACCAGAGTTACCTCAAAGGAAGCAATAAACTTAAGGAATTTAAGAAGGCTACCAAATCTTTTAAGGCTAAATTCCAATATGATAGTTATATCAATGAGCTAAAAATAATCTTAGTTTAGGATGTTTGAAAATCCATTTTTTCTTAGTTTTCGATTCTTTTCTATTACTATATATATTCGCATATAAATATTGCGCTTTAATTTTATTATAATTGTTTACAAAATGCTGGAACTTGTTGAAACCATTTGTTGTATATATAAACATATATTTAGCGTATACAAATTCGCAGTATATTGCTAAATGTGCCTTAATGGCTCGGTATTCTCCCATGTGACCTCATGCAGGGACAGGGTAGCAACAGAATATACTCGATTTCTTACAATCAGACACACACATGAAAGGGAAATAAAATATTGTGTTGTGTGCTTTGGGGCGAAAATTGCAGTTGAGCGGCAACCGCAAAGCGACAGCAAATACAACAACAGTTACAAATACAACAACAACGAAAAGGACTCGTTCGCTGCAGTCTGTAAATCAAGCTTTAAAATTAACGCAGATTGCCGGAACAAGCGACGCTACGAGCAATTAACATGAAACCAAAAACCAGTCACAGAGTAAAACAAAAAGAAAACAGCGAAAACATAGCTTAAACACACACAAATAGAGAGAAGGAGAGAGAAAACTAGGAGCAGAAATAGTGGGCGAACGTAGGTGCATGTATGCAAACAGCAACGTCCATAATAATAGGTACGAATTTGTTAGTTTATTATCATATAGCAACATTAGCATATTTGTTTTTATTTGTCTGATAAGATAGATACAAAAAGAGCCTACAACTAATCTCTCACTTTTAACATCCATTCACAGTCTTAGAATTCACAGCCATACGTTGAGTGTGCCACTGATTATGGCCAGCACTGTATTTATCAAGCATGCACATACGTATTTATGTGTGTACACATATATGTATGTGTGTGTGTATATAGAAATAAATGTGCATTGGACTGCTCGCAACGACCTTTGTTCGAAATGTTCGTGTCACTCTCTGAGTGTATATATATATGTATATGTGTGTGTGTATGTGTGTGTGTGAGTCCTATGTGTTTAGCATTGCCTTGCTTTTGGCTTTTCTATTTTACCATCGACCCAAATTGCGCGCGCTGCTATAATAAAAAAAAACAACACACACAACAGTCTATAGTACACTTGTGTGTGTGTGTGTGTGTGTGTTTCGTACTCGCACGCTAACGTGACTGGTAACGACGTTTGTTGTGGGTGGCAAAGCCCGAAGAAGATGAGGATGAAGAGCTAACAGCACAGAAGAAGCAAAAATCCACAAAAAAGTTCTGCGAAAGACCTCGACCCAAACGGCAGGCGGTCAACAAAAATATATATTTATATCTTCATTTATATATAAAAGGAAATAAAAAAAAACACACAAGAAAAATATTAAGTATAAGTATTTAAAAGGCAGAAAAAAACCAAAAAAAAAAATAGAAAGGATAGCGTGAGAGAGAAAATAATGACTGACTCGCTAATGTGAAAATGTGGGAAAAGCGCAAGGAAAAGCCAAGCCAAGCCAAACAGACGGCAAAAAAAATTTAAATCGATAAATCAAAATGCCAGCTACAACAACAAAAGGCTGGCAAGGACGTGCGACTTGCACGCCACACACAGCTATGCCCAAAGGGGTATATATGTGTGTGTGAGTGCGCCTTGTGGGTGGTAGGATGTCGCTTTGCGGCGCTGAGGACAAATGACAACATTTGGCCGACTTTTAATTATTGACATTCCCACTTTTGCTCTTTTGCTTGCTCTGAGGCCAATCTAATTGACAGTGTGACCGTGTCAGCTTACCCAGAGTTGCCAACTGTATTCGTAGCAAATGGGTAATGGGCTAATTCAGGGTTACGCACATGACAAATCTCAAGTTTACTTTGGCAACTGCTAATATTTAGATATCAGTTTCTCGTTACTGTTCTAGTAAAATACATTAAGCTAACAACGTTGTCTTTTAGTCAGCATCTGTCATTGATTTTTTGTGCTTGAATATTATTATTGAATATTATTTAAGTTTGTTCGTTTAAAGTCTACATTTAGGCACGCTTATAAAGTCTTTAATATGACTGAATCTAGTATTATCTTTGGTATATCTTTATTATTCTTTTATTATTAAGATCTTTAACCAAAAGATAGGTTATATATATATAGCAATTTGCCACTAGCCTTAACATGAGCTAATATACATTTAAATTTTCCATTAACTTCACTATTTTAGAGTTGCTTGTTCGTATCCAGAGTTGCCAGCTCTATGTACGTGTTAAATATAACATTAACTTTAACGTGACATTTTTGTGACCGTAGCAAAGTTTGAACTTATATGTGACTCAGCAGGAGCTTCAGTTATCGAACTCTATGGGTTATTCCAATGCGAAGTCTTAGCTAATGTATTCATCTTAAAACAGCAGCTGCTGCGCAGGATGAGTCATATATTAATATCAGCCGTCTCTCTCTGACACCTGCCAAGGGGGATTCATCAGAGGTAACTGTAATACGTGATTCATTTCGCACGCTTCGCTAAAACAGGTTGATGAATTCGAATTCAATTAACGCGCATCAAAACTAAATGAAAAATTAAAACAATTTGTTTATTAAACTATTTAAAGATCAATTAAATGCATAAATCCCATTTGAATGGTAATTAATCCGTCTGAAATTTGGCTTACAATATAATTGGGCCCTGTATTAATAATTGATAGCAAATGTTATTCAGCTGTAATTGATGCTCAGTAAAAGTGCAATTAAATTAAAAATTAGCTGTGCGCTAAATTTAAATTGGCCTTTTAACTGAATGGGCTATAATTATAAATTTGTAAATATGTGTAAAATTTACTTTGAATATAAATCATATTTTTAGTAATTTTACTAACAGAATGAGCTGTCAGGAAATCAGGTAAATTAGCAATTACTGTCATACGCTCACCCTTTCTGAGAACTCTTTGTCAGTTTTTCCATAACAATGTGTTTAAGATATTTAATAATCATTGTTGGGCCCAAATTACCCATGTTGACTCAGAGCATGGGACACCTTGTATAGGAATTGCTAATTCTTACTGGGCTTTCCGAAAGGTTTTACTATGGAATTCTTCTAGTCATTAAGAGATATATATATTAAATATTATATATATATATTACTATTAAAAGTAGCAAATTGAAATTGTAGAGTATACGAGTTGTCTTTGTGGATATGTATTTCGCTGCGAGACTTACTCAGGCAAATTGAAAACTTATGCTGGGAAAACTTTGTGCTTGCTAGTAGAATAAAATATGCAGACGTGCCATAAATTATTTGAGAGCCTTACCAGGCACACTTGGGCCATCCTTTTTCCCTTTTAAATTTTGCCTATCCTGCCATAATTTTGGCACTTTTAGGCCACATGGAGAAAGCTTCGCTCTTAACTATTTATGACTTGGCCCCAAGCAGCACACGGTAAAGCCTTCAGCCTGATTAGCTACAAAGTGTTGTTGTTGTGGGAAAACTTTATACAATAAGTTGAAAAGTGTGCAAACGTTGCGAAAATGTGTGCTCGAGGGGTTTACCCTCGTTCAAGAAGGCAAAAGAGTATATTGGGTATGTGCCCGTGTTACTACTAAAGCTAGATTATCGTGAATTCGAATACACGTTTCCACTGCAACCTGATAAAAGTGTCAAAGCTACCCACGGTTTGGTTTGGCTTTTATTGACCTCCTCGACAGATAACTTAATAGCACAAATCATTAAAGACCTCTTCTGCATATAAACCTAAAATTATATATATCGAATTTTGTTAATATCGTCAACCACAAAGCGTAGAGACTTGAAATTTTACATACATATAGTTGTAGACCATACGCACTACAAGCTTATCAGCTTATTATCGATAATAGTCGATATTTTGAATTCGTTTTTGGAAGCATAACTGTAATACAAGGGCTGGAAAATGCATTAGAGTACATGAGTACATGTACTCATGTTGATACATCTAGAATCATTGATGGAAACAGCAGTGTTCAGGGTATGTCGTAGTCGGGCAGTCCCGGCTAGAGCAGTCCTACTTGATTTTTTTTTGCATTTTGCAGGTGGTCCCGATCTAACCTTCATCAGAGCTCTGTCGCTCTTTCGTAGTTGGCAACTCATAAAGTTGATGTGGCTGGGCTTAAGTGGCACTCGTTCAACGTTGCCAGATTGGCAGTTGCCACAGTTTCTGCTGCATTGATTCAACAGCACACTTGACAACCCTAGCGGCGGCTTGGACGGGGGCAACCCACATAGCGTATTCCCCAAGCGCTTTCAATTTGCATGTGTAGAGCCTGTTCTGCTTCCATTTCGTTCCACCTGCCCCATTCCAATTCGTTGCGCTAATCGATTTGCCAGGCGCTGCTTACCTTGAAACTTGCCGTCGTGCCAAGCGCGCTGTCTTTCCTGATAAATTAGCAGCTGCTTCACAAAGCGTGAAACCATGCCGCCACACACACTCACCTATACACACAGCCACACACAAGTGTGTGTATTTGTGTGTGGCACTCGCTTAGCTTCTGGTTTGCGCCAATCTTCCGCCCTACCCATAATGAACTTCCGGTCCAATGGCGTCGGCTTCGCGTAATTTTGTGCGTTTGTTCAGCCGTGATTTATGCGCATTGATGACGTCGCAAAAAAACACAAAAAAAAGCAAGATAAAACGAAAGAGCTAACTATTTAATTTTTGTTCGCTGTCTGTACATGTATGTGCTTGCTTTTCACTTTGTTATCATGCTGCTTCTATACCAGCTGAGCTTAACCCATTAAAGCCAATTCTTTTCACACTCGCTAAGAAAATAATATATATTTAGAGTTATATGTACATATATTTAGATATATATATTTATATATATATTTTCATATATATTCATATATATATATATATATATATATATATATATATTCATAAGCTCGTCATAAATAAATGTTTGCGCTCTATTTTCTTTGTCAATGACAACATGTTTATTTATTTTGTACAGGTTCGCAACGTGCTAATACGTTAATTTATATACCATTGCTTGATTCATAAATCAGCTAAACAAGAAACCAAAAGCTAAAAAAAATTAAGTGAAAAAACAATAAAAATTACTCTAGTTGAGAACTTACGACTAAGACCTTCCATACATATTTAGTTCACGCTGTTCCACAATCAATTTTTTTTACTCTCCTCTTTCAATTTTCAAATTGTATAATTACAATTTACAGAGCAGCCTAATTATGGTTCAAGTTTATGATTAAAAAAAACAACTTCGACTAGAGACGCCTGCAATGTAACAAGACTTTTTTCTTGATTGTGTACCTTAATTTATTTCAGATTTGGAAACATATTTTTATCGAATTTAGTAAATCAAAATAAAATATAAAATTTTAAAATTGTATTTAATATAAATATGAAATGTTAAAACTCAAAGCTTATAAAAAATATTACTGTCTTCTTCTTCTTATCTTTGTTAATGATTGTCCAATCTTTGATTTGAACGGATATTCTTAATAATAACTAAATATTTGTTATGCGAAATAATTATTCCAAATTTGTAATGCCCTAAACTACTCCAGCTACAAAAGGAACTAAAGATCACATTTTTACTTTTTGGGCATATTATGCCTTCCTTTAAGCCTTCACCTGTCTGCCACATACTTGCTTCGGCTTCTTAAATATTTATAGCAAATACATTTGTATTATAGGCGTAATAAATGCTGTAAAGAATAAATTCATAAACTTAAACTCTTTAAATATTTAATTTAAAGTATCAGAAATGTGAATCAGTCAGACATATATTTAAGGCAATTAAAGATGATAAAGTTAGGGACCAAGCGAAAAAAGAGAGGGAAATTAAAGAAGAGAGCGAGAGATAGATAGATTGAATATGTATTATAAAATTTAGGATTAAATCGTATAACAGTACACCTCTCTTCAATACGCCTCATTACACATAGCTTATAGCTACAGGGTATATAACTGCTTTATATGCCAACTACGTGCTTAAACTTGACAATTATGAGACGCATAGCGCTGTTTATATATAATTTTATAGATAAAAGTTATTAAGTACATGCTTTAAATATTTTAAATACAACGAAAATTCTTTTATTGATAATTTTAGTTTTAGTTTAGCTTTAGCAATTTTCTGCCATTTGCTTATATTTTTTTAACTTAATTTTTATTAATTTTAAAGAGATATGTGTCATCAGAGATGTGTTAAAAATGCATTCATATTTTTATATTTATTTTGAACTAAAACTAAATGGCTTTGATTTCATAAATATGATCTTATTAACACATCAGTGGCGTACTAAAGTAACAAATTCTTCACATTGACACACAATAGCTTATATATATATGATTTGAGTATATATATTTATATGTATATCATTTATGTATATTGCTGACTGTTTCCTCTCACTTAGTCAGCCGATTCCAGGCGCTGTCGTAGCGTTCCGCTTCGAAAAAATTGCACAGGGTTTGTGGTAGTTGCTTGCGTTGTGCCTCATTGCCTTGTATGCGTGGAGGTGTGTACATGGGCGTGGCTGCTGCTGCAACCGCTACCGCTGCTGCTGCTGCTGCAACTCCAGTTGCTGCTGTATTAGTTTGGCTGCTTTTTATGCACTCCACTGGCGGCTCCTGCGCCTGGCCTGTGACCTGGGTACGCCATTCGTAGTTAAGTGGAGGCGCCTCAACTGCTGGCTGCCTCAGCTGAATTGTAGCACGGCTGACGTACAGCTTTGGAATTGCTGCTGTTGCTGTTGCTGCTGCCATCTGAGCGACTCGAGCTTCGATTTGGAACTGTTTTGGCGAATGCGAATGCGCGTTTTGTTCTCCACTTAACGCGAGTCAACGCATGACGCATAGTCTCCCTCTCTCTCTCTCTCTCTCTCTCTCTTTATCTTATTTGTTGTGCTGTGTGTTGGTGTGTGGGTGTCTACTGTTTGCTCTAGAAGATTTCAGAGCTGCTGATCAATTGAATTGCATGCGGTTAGTCAAATTGAGATTGTGGCAGTTTGGCACTTGACACTGGTTTCCACAAATGGTTCGCCAATTTATGGCTTGAGGTGACGGCAGACGAACAGACAGAGAGTCAGGCACGCGCCCACATGCCTCCAAATGTGAGCCAACAAAAGGAGAACAAAAGCAATTAACAAGTTGGAGCAAACAAGCCTCAGAAGTTTTTGTAAAATTTGTTGCTCAACTCGAGACGCTCTGGCACTTCACAAAATTCTAATCTAAAAGCGGGTATTATGCTTTTTGGCAAGAGCTACGTAACGTCAAGATAAAGATGAGTTTGTTGCCTTATAGCCAACTATTTTCGTAGACTTCAAGCTGAAAAAATTTGAACATATACTAGACACATAATGCATTGGATATTGAAAAATGTTTTAAAATATTGTAATAATATCTTATCTTTTAATATATTAGATTATATATTTTATATATATATTATATATTATATATTTATATTTTATATATATATTATATATTACATGTCTATATGTATAAGTGTATTACCAAAGTATTAAAACTTAATCACTTTATAAATGAACATTCCTATTTGTTTTATCTACACTTAAAACATATATAATTACTTGTTAATTATAATTACCGTAATCTCAACTGTCTATAAAAGTGAAAGATTCATTCGCTATTTCCCATTACTCATGAGTTAGCTCACATAGTCTACGATAAATTCATTTGTTTAGTATTTTATCAACGATGCTATTTATATGCGCTTCCTGTTCGCTCTCTATGCAGAGTTGTACGAATTACTTAATTTCACATAATATATAATTTTCTTCTCAAATGATAAGCCCCTATCTTAAAGTAAATTTTTCATGAGAAGTTGCCTTCAAGTTCTCTGAGTTGTCGGTATAGATTTAATAGTATGGGGAGAAAGGATTAAATAGTCAAAGTAAATAGATAAAATAGATGAACTTATTAAGAAGATATATGAGCGAATTAAGGACTGAAATAGTCACAAAGATTTTCCATTTATTTTCATATGACCTTCACATATAGTAAAAATATATGTTTGACTATTTCCTATTGCTTTTTTATAACACGCTAGCTTCGCAGAGATATTTTTCATCATTTACATACATCACACCATACTTCCCATTTACTCTATATGATATATATATTTTTTTACGATTTGAATATATATAAGCTAACTTGTTTTTGGTCTAGCTTCTAAGCCTAGTCCCACAACTACATCGATTATTTCCCATTATTGTGTCAGTCTTCCGTCAGTTAGCTTTACACTTAGTCATAAATGAATTCATACTTACATATTATGAGCACATAATTTCTCGATGATCTGGTTTGATATGCAAAGCGTTGTCCCCCGTAGCTAACTGTAGTCGAGTCGATTTCACGCCCACATCCAAACAAAATACAAATTATCTTACCTGTGGAGTAAAAACAAGTAAACAAGCAAAATAATATTCGTTGACAAGCGAGCAAATGCCCTAGAAGTGAAGAAGTTGAAGTAGAAGACTCGAATTTTATAATAAATAATGTTGAAATATTAAAATTTCTCGTAACTTCATAGAAATAGAGACAGATTTAAGTTGATTTTGTTGAGCAAATATCAAATATCAAATAGCAAATTTCTGATTTGTCGAGAGGTAGGTAACAAGTCCATACGCGACTCACATCAGTACAGAAAATGCTGCAATCGTCATTCATTAAGCATTTGGCAGGTGATTCATTTGTAACATTGAATAATAGCGCACGTTCCACAGTTGAGTGATATTTGAAACTGATTTGGGGGTGAGTCGGGAATGAGGCGTTGGTTGCCTGCAACACCTTCTGAAAGCTGGGTTAACCGCCGTGTACTTGTGGGTGTGGGTGGGTGGGTGTGTATAGCCCGTTAACATGCATGCAAATTGCAAGTGTGCCCGATTCTCAGCAGAAGCCGAGAAACCGGTTTTATAATGTGGCACGAGTCGAGTTGTTGGTTGTCCGAGGCCCAACTGCCAGTGAGTCAACAATGAGACGACGATCCGACTCAATTATAAACCAAGAACAAAGTATAAATACGATGAAACAATGCCAATCTATAATCGGCCTTGCTTATCACAGAGTTACTCTTACGCAAATAATATACTCCAAGCGGCATTATGAAAAAGCGAAAGCATATTTGCTTTGTGCAGTCCAAGTGACAAATAAGGCAAAGAACAATGACTTAGACAGTATCCAACTATGTGTGCTGCATTTATACACGCTGATTAATACCCTGTAATCAGTTCGATCAGGTTGACAATATAGATGTGTCTAGAGAGCATTATATATAAGCAGAGAGTGCAAAATGTATGACTTTACTTTAATTTCGTTATCTTATCTCCATTTTCTCTTTAATGTGAAGTAATTGAATAGATGAGAATGACCTAAGCTAAAACTTTAAATGAAGAAGAAACTAAGATCTTTAGAACGCTGAGTGATATACAACAACTTAGCACAGACTTGCTCTGATATAAAGCTGTGTACAGACACTTGTTATACCCGTTATTGAACAGCTAATAAGCGCAGGGTATGTGAAATGACATGAATCAGTCAAGAATCAGTGTTTTTGCTCCAGGCGATTAAAAACACGCCGATTATTTGCACACGCGCCAAAACTATTGCTCATACAAGAAAAAACACAAAAACACCGCAAATTAACGATAAACATTAACATTTATCATTATCGACTCCAATTGAGAAGTTGCTTTTGCTGTTGCTGCAATTGCTCTCGCGATTTGCTAATTGTTGCAAAATGTGCTGCATAATTTTGCGGTTAATTGCCATGGAAAATCGCGCGCCTCTCAAAAGGCGCCGACTTCGAAGCGTTTAAACAGCGATTTGCACGCGTTTATCTTCATTTTTTCATCCAGCAAAAGGTCGTGCTACTTAATTGTGGATGTGTAATTGGGGAATTGTAACCGTACGTTTACTCACCTGATGCGCAATGTGTACTTATGCCTGGCGCATATAATATATATATATAATATAGGCATTTATGTTTTTATAATATTCCCCCTAAGTGTGTAGCGAGCGTTTTCTACAGCTAAAGGTCAAACTTCCTCGACTATTCACAATGACAAAATCGGCACGCTCGCTGAATATTTATTTAGCAAGCTTTCAGGCATGCCAGTTATTCTAAGCTTTTCTTTAGTATATAATTTAATTTAGAATTCATTTGACATAGTCCATGAACTGTTAAGCACAAATTAAAGACCGATTTGGCCCGTACAACTGTTAAACTGTCTTACTCTCTGGCTATCCTCAGCCTCCATCTGCTTAGGCTGCCTTCCATCTTGAAGTATGAGCCCTTCTATATGCTCTAGGTGGGCACTGACCTCAGCTAGCTGCTTCTAGCTTCCCTTTGTGATCAACATAATGACAATGATGATATTAACAATTGTTACAGAGCAACATTTATGAGTGTTAAAGATGAGAATGTCAATGCTAATGATTATGGCAATGCTTATGCCAATGCTAATACTAAGTAAAGACTAGTAAGCTAATTATAATAACGAACTCCTCTTTTTGTATGTCTTTGCAGACTCGCTAACCGACAGTTCAAACACCACGAAAACGCCACTATTTCCAAAGGATTTATTCACGAAAGAACAGCTTGAGAACGGCGCTGTCATCCTGCACATTATCGGTGTTATTTACATGTTTGTGGCGCTGGCAATTGTCTGCGATGAATTCTTCGTGCCTTCCCTTGATGTTATCATTGAAAAGCTCGGCATCACGGACGATGTGGCCGGCGCGACGTTTATGGCGGCAGGTGGCAGTGCCCCAGAGCTCTTCACGAGTGTCATTGGCGTTTTCGTGTCGTTCGACGATGTTGGCATTGGTACGATTGTTGGATCAGCTGTCTTTAACATACTCTTTGTCATTGGAATGTGTGCGCTATTCTCGCGAACGGTCCTGTCGCTAACCTGGTGGCCACTATTTCGCGATTGCTCATTCTACAGCATCAGTTTGCTGGTGTTGATCTACTTTTTTCGCGACAATCGCATATTCTGGTGGGAGGCGCTCATCCTATTTACCATTTACATTGCCTATGTGACCTTCATGAAGTGGAACGTACAGGTGGAGCATTGCGTCAAGAAGATGATTACCAAAAACAAGGTGACTCGCGTCCGAAGTACAGATCAACTTATGCCTGCAGTAAGTAGTTGGGAAGTTTTTTTGCAAAATCAAAATCAAAATCAAAATCAAAATCAAAATCAAAATGAAAAAAAATACTAAAAATTTGTAATCAAAAAAGTCGTTTATGAGAAAGCGAAATTGCAAAATGTCTGCAAAATCCTTTGCCAGGAATATAAATTTTTTGTTACTTAAATGACTTTTCATTTCTCGTTTGAATTCTCGTTTGCTTTGGCCTAATAACTTTCCATGCATTTTTATAAAAATGGGACCAAACAGTTGAGCGGGCGTCTCTTAGCTACTATGACTAAGGGCATTTAGTTGAAAGACTGCAGTCTTATATATGCTCATCATAACTGCATGACTAACACCTTATTTGGCTTTTGGCATTGAAATCAAATTAATGCTGATGCTGATGCTGAGGCTGAGGCTGATCAAGCTGACGTGTTGACAATAATTGAATTTCACCTTTGAGTTTTAACTCAAAAAATACCAATTGAGTGTAATCTTCTGTTACTTATTTTCTCCAAACCAGTTCCGGGAACTGAAGGCGACCAATGTCTGTCAGGGTCAACCAGAGAGAAAGAGAGTGAGCGAGAGTGGGACAGAGAGAACTGCAAGTGAGACTTGAAGAAAACTGTTAGCCAATTTCGTGACATTATTAAAAGAGGTTAGCTCATGCTAAATGACGCATAGTAATAAATTGTTAGCCAACACTGGTCAACTGTTTGGTCTTCGTTTTGCGTATCGCATTCTGAAAATAATGTAGCTACATACGTACTTTTCTATCTCTAATTTAAGCCCATCTCTAGCTCTTAATTGTTTTTCAGTTTCTTAGCGCTTAGCTTTTTTAGTATTTTGTTTTATTTTTTACTCTTCCCAACACTATCTCATATGCTATGCCTCTTACGACTTGTTTAACTACACTGACACATTTAGACACCTACACACACACACACAGCAGCTGTCACACCCACACAGACTTCAAACACTCACCAATCGCAACTGTGCACACACACACACACACACGCTCGCACAGCTTGAACTTGAATATGATCGGAACTTGATTCTGTATTCTAGCTTGATTTCTCTCACTCGCTCAAGCATGTGTTTAACTTTTTTGGGCTCTTTATTAGGTGCACCGTCTACATCATATATCTTAATTTAATCTTTTAAGCACACACAAATAAACAGACCGTAAAATGGCTAAATATCAAATGACTACAACAAAATGGCGCAAGTCTTTGCCTTTGTTGTTAAGTCTCGACAATATTTCAATTATTTTTCATTTATTCAGCTCTATAATAATGCTAATACTGATGCTGATAACAAATATACTTCTGATTTGCCAGTAAATATCTTCATTACTTTTTAAAAGCCCAACGTGACCTGGAGTTAATATTGAATTCCACATATAATATATATTCCACATATATTTATATTATATATATATTTATATATATATTTTTGTAATACATTTTATTTTTATTTGACTGCTTTCACTTGAAAACACATAGGTCTTTAATAATATAAATAAACATGCATTTAGGTATATCTGCCCATAATTTTGATCGTTCTCACAGGTGCTTCTGTAATTGCTCAACTCATTCCTCTGTAAGAAAATGGCGCATTTTATAAAATAATTTTAAAGAATATTTATAAAGCAAATGTGGCAGTAATTTACTTCTAAATTAACGCTTCATTTGTTAAAATTAGCATAGAGAGTCTCTTCTATTGGCATCTTTTGTCTGCCACATATTCCTAATGGTTTGAGAAACGTATGGTTTAAGTGTACTGGATGTCCATCAGAGTAATTCAAACTCTGGTCCCATTTCACCTCTTTGTTTCCGCTGACATGTGCGGGGCTCGCCGATGCAGGCGTCGGTGGTTGTTTGTGTATTGAAGGGCTGCAGTATGATAAAGTAGCTGACGGTCCATCGACGGTATCCAAATCCTTATAGCTTTTGGCTTCTTTAAGCTGTAGGTCAACCTCGGCTTTGGTCTTTCTCAAGTTGTGCCACAGTCTCAGGTCGATGGACTTGAAATCAATGAATACGTATCTGATGATGCGGTAGAGTACCAGATAACCAAGAATTAGGTATAATGCCTGATCGGAATGCTCAAAGAAATAATCGAATGGCTTGTCATTGATATCCAACTTGAACCAGACCAAAAGTAAAGGCACAAACAGCACCCAATAGGCGACTATTGCACACACTTCCACAATTTGTTTGCCAAACATTTTTGCAACGGACGCCCGAACAGCTTGCTTACAGTTATACGACTAAACGAAAAGGGTCACAATACATCGTCTATATAGCTCATGCGTTCAAATTGTTGACAAGTAGCGATAAGTCTATAATTAACCTAGGTATGATCAATAGGGTGAACAATATGATCGCACATTATTTATTTTTTTATGATCCATTTATGTCTTTTATGATGCATCGAACCATTTTATTTTTATACGAAATCAATTTTTTTTGCATGGAAAATATCCATTATGATCAAGATATATATATAGATGAAGTACTTAATAAAATACGTTTATCTGTTGAGTTTTCGAAAATGAAAAGCTTCTTTGCTTGGAATAACTTTATATACATTTTAAGTAACAAAAAATAGTTAATAATAAGAATTAAATAACGCAAATTTAGACTTGATTGTTGATCTCTTCATAGGGGGGCGGCGGTGGTTTCTTTTGCTTACGAATATTGCGAGGAGTTGGCTCGGGTACGAATGGCACTGGCTGATTAAATCCACTGCACACCTCATCTTCCGCTTCTAAAGTTGCAGTTGTGTTCATCTCTTTGAACTCCACCATTTGCGGCTCATTTGTATCATAATATTGACGCTCTTGATTAATCATATTCGCTGTTGCGGGATTTTGTGTCACCCAAATTTTCATTGACCAAGTTTTGAGCTTTAGATAAATGAGTACTACAATTATATAGACGATCAAATAACAGGCGGCCAGTCCCAGAACCATAGAGCATATATATTTGATAGATGTAAAAACTTGAGTCTCATCCCATTTAATCCATCCCCATTGAATGCAATACCACACTATCAAGGGCGCCAAGACAATCCAGTATAGAATGAAGATAAAGATCTCCACAATTCTTTTCTGTATCATTTTTCCACTTCGACCTAGCTCAGCTTTTTTACGTGAGTTACCTTCGAGTTCAGTTACACAACTAAATGTTTGGAATTTTTCAATTTCTTTCTTTAAGATTGTGTAAAATGCGGTTTGATGAGAATTACTCAGTTTATGGTTAATTCCCTCCAAACACAATTATTAATTGTTTCTCTTTGTGGCTGCTGAAAATAACTCTTAAAAGGAGTATAAGTTATAAAAACAAGTTCTTCTTGCATATTAATTTATTAACATTATCAAATAATTTTGAAACAGTTAACAAAAGCACAATTCAGAATCAGTTCCTCATCTTGGATATTATAGTTTTGCTTTCCACTCCTTGGGAACATCTGAATTAGCCGTCTCTTCGGCTATCTTGCTCTTCCCTTTATACTTCTCTAGAAGCTTTTTCATTTTGGCTTTTTCGAAGTTTTTGATTTTATTGTAAGCAAACATTACAATCCGATAAAGTACGACGAAAAACAGTATATCCAATACCACGAATACAAATACGGCCACTATGGTGCTATCCAGATCTTTCAGATCAAAATATAGCCAATTCTTATTTGTACATGTGACATACATATAAGGTGTAAAGTTAAACCAATAGGCGAGCACAAGAAATATTTCCAAAAACTTTTTCTCAAACATCTTTGAAACTTGCTTTACAGTTGAGCAAATGTTTTCAACTGATTAAACGCAACAAATCTCGAGTAATTATAAAAGCTTTAATAATTGTAATTTCAAGAAATATATTAATAATTCGATTGCGGCGACTGCGGTGTAGCAATAAACTCATTGCATTATACAGCCAAAGCCAAGACTCAACTTATTAAAAAAGGTTTTGCTTTTTGCATTTTCGCATGAATCGGAAATATTTGCAATATTTGATCTCTATAACTTTTTGTGAACTCTGTCAATATAATCAAATATTGGTCTCAGATTTACGAAATCTGCCACACCTGCCTCTGCCTGTCACATACATATATATATACACTGACGAGCAAAACTGTAACACATGTTCAATGTTCTCACTTCAACGGTCTGTATTATCTTTTATACTTTATGCATGATTATGATCATAGTCTTGTTTTGTTAGTGAAATATTTGGCTCTTTTATTTATAAATTTGAAGACATTTGATTAGCAATAAGAGAAATACAATAGCAAAGAGTAAAAAAAGTCAAATGTTACAGTTTTGCACTCGCAGAGCAAAACCTATTTACTTTTGTTTCAAAGCTTTTTTTACCATTAAAACTTATTTGTTTTTGTTTAAATCGATAAACCTTGATCATTTTAAGTCAATTTGCAAAATAATTATGATGGCTGATGAAAAGAAAAAGGAAATAATCGAATTATTGATAGGGGCGAATCCGTTAGGAAAGTGGCTAATAAATTTGGTGTTAGCCACATGACTGTGCAGTGTTAAAAACAAAAACAGTTCAGAAAACATTAAAATCAATAAAGGAGGCCGACCGCGACTTTTAAGCCAACGTGACACGCGCCACTTGGCTAACTTAGTTACAGGCAATCGCGACTTTATGCCAATAAAAGCGGCTAATGTGTTAAATTTAAATGCCAGTGAGTGGACAGTCCGTCGCAGTCTCGGCAGATTGGGGCTTAAGGCCAATGAAAGAAAAAAAAAACCATTTCTAGCTAACAGGCACATTAGTTTGCGTTAGAAACTGTGCTATAATGCATGAAAATTTGGCTCTAGCTGATTGGGATGCCATAAGTTACAAATAAAAAGCTTAAACAATGCTAAACAAATTTTTTCAAGGTTATTTGGTCAGATGAAACTAAAATTAATCGTTTTGAGTCAGACGGACGACGTGGTATTGGACTAGGAATCCCACAGTCCAATCGGCAAATACAGTGCGGTGCACGGTGGCGGGTCCATAATGGTTTGGGGCTGTATTTGTACAAATGGAGTTGGGCCCTTACTGTTAATCGATGGGATAATGCGTAAGGAGCAATACCTAAAAATTTTTCAAGAAAATTTGGGAGGAGTCATTGGCAACATGGGTCTGGCTGTTGAAAATTGCATTTTTCAGCAAGACAATGACCCAAAGCACACATCCCATTTGGTGAAAAATTGGTTATTGAACCAAAAGTTTCAAACTATGAAGTGGCCACCGCAATCTCCAGACATGAATCCCATAGAAAATGTATGGAGTCATCTGAAATCGCAGCTTGCGAAATATACGGCCCCTCCAAATGGCAGGATGGAGTTGTGAGAGAGAACGAAGGACGTTTGGTACTCGATTCCACCTGAAATGGTGCGACGCTACACGCAAAGTATGCCAAACCGTATAAACAACCTCAAAAAATCAAAAGGGCTGTGGACCCGTTATTAAAAAAAATTTAATAAAAATATTTGTTTAAAAATATTTGCAGTGCAAAACTGTAACATTTGACTTTTTTTACTCTTTGCTATTGTATTTCTCTTATTGCTAATCAAATGTCTTCAAATTTATAAATAAAAGAGCCAAATATTTCCCTAACAAAACAAGACTATGATCATAATCATGCATAAAGTATAAAAGATAATACAGACCGTTGAAGTGAGAACATTGAACGTGTGTTACAGTTTTGCTCGTCAGTGTATATATATATATACATGCTTATGAAATATCCATTAGAATCATTAAAATAAGAGAACCAAAAAATAATAAGAAATAATTAAAAACAAATTGAAATGAGAAAACTTATTTTTTACATAAAATTGATATATTTATATTTATTACATTTTGTTATTGAATACAGTAAATAAGAGATTCATTTAAAGTCACTCTCTTGTCCTAGCTTACAGTTCCTTTCTTGGCTTTAGCCGGATTATCCTTATGCTGTGCTTCAATATCTCCTTCATTAACTTTATACTTCTCATGCACTTTTTCTAACTTCCTCTTGTAGAACTTTTCCAATTCATTATAGCCATACATAACAAGCCGATAAAACAAAACATATGCTATAATATCCACTAGTCCGAATACGAGTACAGGCAATATCGTTTTTCCCAATTTACCGAAATTTAATTTTAAATAGCCTTTGTGTGTAACTGCGTTATATACGAAGGGCGTAACTTGTAGCCAATAAAAGATTACAGTAAATAATTCTATAAACTTTTTCTCAAACATGTTTAAGCTTGCTTTGACTCTGAGCGAATGCCATGAACTGATTTGTTCCAACAATACTCACCTCAAATGGTTTATTTATTATAATATATTATATTATTATAATATATTGCCACGAAGTATTTTTATTTAAAAAATCATGCGGTTGTACGGAATGCCGTTCTACGTATACAGAAGTTTTGGTAAACTTATTATTTTTAAAAATAATATACCACTTGGATAACATTTATTATCAATTCGATTCGTGTGCTAGAAATAAACTTTTCAACTTTTTCGATTCGATGACACACATACTTACTTTCCTATAGCTTACACTGAAATGAGGGGTTTTTTAAATATTTGTTCTAGAATATTTATTTGTTGTTTATGATTCAAATAAATAAATATTTATTGTTGTAAATGGTAAATTCATTACGTGGCGTCATTTCACACTATTAAGAAAATATAACTATTTGTGTAAATGGTTCAATAATTTTTTTTATTATATAGTATAGTATATCTTTTATTATGTAGTATATTAATATAACAAATTGGATATATATATATCAAATACTAGTATATATATATATATATATATATATAAATCAATAGATAAACAGCTAACAATTCGTATTTTCTGAACTTAAAACTAGGTAATAAATATCTGTTTATGGAATTACTGCCAAACATGACTCGCAAAAATTATTCGTGTTCGCTTGCTAATATGAAAATAAAAAGAAAATATAACTACATATTTTTATATTTCAAAAACGTCACTAAATGATTTATTCCATCGACAGGAATAGCTAACATTAGAGTTTTATCGTATCATTTAGAATAACTATAATTGAGTAAGTGTCTCAGCTATATATATATTGCCTTGAGCGATTTGATAGTCCATGAACTATGCACTCTGATGAGCTGCCCGAAGTGCTTTACACATATAAGAATCTGATTAACTATATAGTTCGCGACTCGAAAATGAACAATGGAACTTATTCATCAAATTAAACTAGAATTCGCATGTCTGCGTCAAAAATTTTTCTAAAATTGGGTTGATCTTTGGTTCTTTGGCTAATGCTAATACTTGATGCGAATTGCCTTTCGCTCTTCCAGTTTTTTATATCTTGGGTCTCAGCTGCTGGGAGGTGCCCATTAGGACATCGGGCGACATGATGATACCATGGCTGAGCTTGCGGGCCAGGCCAGGTGTGCGCGGCGGCGTCGATGGCACAGGCGGAGCACACCTCAAACTAGGCGTGGGACTTGAGACAGGCTGCTGTTGCCGCAGATGTGCATGGGGCAATGTGGCACTGCGCAGCGGTCGCGTCTCGTGTTTGATGTGTATGCGTGCCAAATCACTTTCCACTAGCAGCGGATGACTTATTGTACGTATGACCTTTGGCATTTGATCCTTGCCTGCAGCTGGGCCATCCACGGTATCAATATTCTCTGTGGATACGGCCTGATAATGTGATTTATCCTTTAGCTGCGATTCGGGATCTTCCTGGGTTTTCTTCAGCTTATGCCACATTTTCACATCACAAACTTTTAGCTTCATATAGATGAAGATCACAATTCGATAAAAGGTCACATAGCCAGCGAGCAGGCAGAGCGCGAATGTGGCGTGATCCGAGAACGATTGAAAGGGTATATTTAGATCCCAGCGTATCCAATTTTGTGTCTTGCAATATTGATAGATGGCTGGCGTTATGACCATCCAATAGAAGAGTAGTGTAAACAGTTCAATAATCCTTTTTTGAAACATTATTTATCTTTGTATTCTATTTGATTTTTGCCAAGAAAGCCCGCGTTAACGCTGCTGGTTCCGTTTTGTATTCGTATTCGTTGCGTTTGGGTTCAGATTCGTTACTAAATGATGTGCACAGAGCGCATAACCCAGCTATATAATACAAATCAACGATCAATGCAGCCAGTCAGTCAACCCAGCTGAAAGCCAGACTTAACACAGAAAGAGAGCGACATACCAAGTGTGTGTGTGTGAGAGAGAGACAGAAAAAGAGAGAGAGAGAAGTACACAAAGACTCTCTGAGTCAAACACTGCGATTCGCGAGTTATCTGTGCTCAGTGTTAGACAAGCTCTTGGATGGGCTGCTTTTTGTTTTTGTTTTGTATCGATATCAGCTGGCTATATATATACATTAGCCGTATTACTATATCGTCGTACAACGTAAACAAAATCCCTGGAATAAGTGCATTAATTCTTGGAACTGGTTTTTGGGTTCAACCCCTCAGAGACAGGTGACAAGTGCACAAATATATATGATAAACATATTTTTATCATATACATGTATATAGTATAAAAACAGGTTGAGTGACAAGTTGAGTCGTGTTGTGAGTCTTTTATATATTGTATATTCGAGCAGGTTCATTTGTATATTTTGCAATTTACATTTCTTAGATCATTGGCTCGACTTTGTCTTCGATTTGTTTTAAGTTTCTTATTTTTGTGACGTGGCATGGCGAAATTTTTTAAGTCAAGCTGAGATTTTGAAATTGTGATTCATGCGAGTTTAAATTTAATTTATTATGCGATTTAAACACCTGTAGTAACTGAGCGTTTCGATAATGATATTTTTTGCTGCTGTAGTAACATGCTTTTGGCATGATTTCACAGGTCTTGAAACACAAACAAAGAAACAAATCAATTGCCAATAATTTTGCTGTCAAAGTCTATCAAGCAGAATGATAATTTAATGGAACACCCGCTTAAATGCACTCGCCATCTATAACTATTTATACTCAGCTGAGTTGTTAATTTCATCCTCGTCGACTTAACTTCATTGCCGACCCGTTTTTGCTCGTATATCGTAAGTGGTATGAGTCTTAGGCTATCTATTGTTTAAGCTCATTCAGAAGCGCGGCAAAAACAACATAACTTGCCATTAATTAGCGGCATAATCAGCCATGAGGTAGTTCACCTGGGCACGAGCCAATGTGCTAATTGGCCGGAGGCTAGTTAGTTGGGGGCTAGTTTTTGTTGATCTTGAATTGCCCTACACAAGCCCCAATTCTGCATAGCTCTGTCTATATTACATAAGTATAAATACAAATATATGTGCATGTGCTTGCTCCAATTATTATGAATGGACTGTGTTGTGGCTGGACAGGCTGCAAACAAATACTCTGCTTATTATGTACCACACATATCAAGCCACTTACAATCTATAAATAGAAGCTCAGACAGTTTACAGATTGAAGTTTCTTTACGCTGGAATTTCATCTGCTTAAACGTGTTGGTTAAACAAACGCTTAACACATCATGCCAGATAGCTTTAAAGAGACGTACTTTAATCGTATCTTTTCATATAAGGTAACAAGAATTTTCTAATCACAAATTACTCTTGGGCGTTATATTATTTTATATAAATATATATACTCGAGAATATATGATTATATGCATATTCATATCATTTTTATAATAAAATTCTTGCAAAAATATATATATTATTATCATATAAGAAGAGAAAAACGTATTTGTTTATGATTATATATATTTAAGAATAATTAAACAAATACTTGATTTCTTTAATCTGACATTAAGCAAGAATGTTCTGTTCACAGATAACTCTAGACTCAAACAAGTAATTTTATCTAATCGTCTCTTATTAAAACAAGAATTCTTATAATCATGCCTTATAGAGTAAAGTATAAATGATTATAAACATATTAAAATCTGAATGAATTACAGTTATGGAATTGTTGTATATGTGTATATTAAGGGAATAATTAAACATTTATCTAAATTCCGTATAAGCACAAGAATTTTCCACTCAAATTGCAAAATTTAATCTTTCAGCAATAATAAATAATTATTATAATTATTATTTATTTTCTATATACGATATATACTCCTTAAGATTTGTATAATCCCAGTTTGATTTTCATGAATGAAATACGATCGGCTTAAACCTGTTCCGTAAATATATCAAGAAATTGTCACACGTGCCCTCGATTTTATGAATGGAATACGTTCTGGATAGACGTGTTCTTTAAACATATGCACAACACTTTACATAACACTCGCACATACTCAAAGCTTTTATATATAGTACCTGTAATATATGTATTTATCAAGAATTTTCTTATACGTACTTAACGTGTATCTACTATATTTTAACTAATTATCACCCGATAGCCATATACGTTAGTCATTCAACATTTTCATATATATTTAGATAGCGATAATTTTTGCTATTATTTTTTCTAATTTGTTCTTGCTCTCATCTCGCACTTCTAGCGCTTTCTTTGGCCACTCATAAGTGTGAGCTTTATGTTGTTTTTTTTTTTTTGTTTCAATTTTATTGAAAAACTTCTAATATTTCATTTGAGTTTCTGTGTTTACTTTTTTGATTATAGTGAAGGCAAAATGAAATACAACAAAACTTCCCACTGCGCTTTGATAAATACAAAAAAGTATATATATGTACATTTTTTCCTAATTAAACAAAAAATATACAAAATATAAAAAGTCATTGAATACTGAAGCTTGTATGTATACTTGAAAAAATAGTTGCAAAATCTAAAAAAACTGTATGATATTTTTGTATTACTAAAAAACTTACTTTTATTTCAAATGTATAAAAAATTATATTTATGTTTACCTTTGATTTCCAAGAGCCACCAAACCAAACCACATTGATAGATGTCTGAGCTAGTGGAATGCAAAGCCACATAGTCAACTGTGGTGCTTGGCCGTTGAGCCCGCTGTTTTACACCTGATGCATCCAGTCGTATGCACCCAAACTATCAAAATCCTGATGTATATAAATATCTATATGAAACGTTCCTTAAAATGTTTGCTGCACTCTTGCCATGCATTCGTTTTGCTGCACACGAACCAAAGTTTGTTTATGCCTAGCAGACTTGCAATTTTCCATTTGAAAACCTCTCGAGGTGGACCTGACAAGACATATGATCCAAATAATAATTGTTATATGCCTGCTTTAAGAGCTGCCCAGAGTAGAGTTCAAGAGTTGTGGTCCGCTTGCCTGTGAAATACTTTTTTACACGTTGTTTAACTCTCTGTATATTACGTGTTGTGGTTACCTTACATCAAGTTAATTTCCAAATATCATTTCTTTAGTACACTTTTGGTTGTTTATTGTTTCTAAATATTGGCTACATTAAATTGCACTTAACAATTCGATTAGCCTTTAAGCGATACAACAGCTGAAAACTACAACAACTACAAAGTACATACAACTGCTACTACAACATACTAACAACAACGCTCTACACTAAACTGTAAATTTATACAAATTGCAATAATAAACTTTTCTTCTTCTTCTTTTCACCTTTTTCTCAACAACAACAACAACAACAACAATGCTTACCATTAAAATAATATTGAAAACAACCCAATCCCATTTACACTGCTCTTAAAAAATTAATTAAATTGAAAATACAATTGAAACACCTTTCAATGCTGAAATCTCTCGACATGAAACTAAAACGTAACCAAATAACCGTTAACTGTTAACGTAAACGTAAACGTAACCGTAACCGTAACCGTACCACCCGTTCCATCGTTCTTCCTTCACTTCAGGGTAATGCGGCCAACTCATCGGAAACGTCAATGGCCACACAGCCGGGCGGTTCGGTGACATCCCGGGCGGCCAGCGAGACCCGTTCGGGTCCAGCCGGTTCGAGCAATGCGGGCGCTACAGGTAATAGCAGTGGTGGGACCGCTGGTAGTACACAAACCGGTGCAAAATTCCGTCATGGCCTATTACAGCTAATGATACACACCATAGATCCACTACACGATGGTAAGTTCGTTTGAGTTTGTCACGTTGTGTTTTGCACAAGCCAAAAGAAAATCACAGAAAAAGAATGAAATTTAATAATGTGTGCCTTATACCCCTCCCAGCTCCCTCCCTGAGACCCCATATCAAAAAGCTCCTAGTTCCTTAAAAGTACAAAGCTTCCCCACCCATAACGCTTACATTAAAAAACAAAAGCAATTACATTATACCAACTACTTATACTATATATAATTTACTTAATTCCTTAAAAATATAATAAAAATACTGTTTGTTGCCTTCGGTTGTCCGAAGTTATGAATACCCTTGCAGAGGTTAGTTACACAAAATGGAACCAGAAATGGAATATTAAGATTCTCATATATGTTGAAAACAAAACAAAACTCATTAAATCAAAATTTTGTTTCAAAAAAATAATAATAAATAAAAAAATCTATGTGCTAAACTAGTTTTCTCTCTCAATGAGCTTTGTAATCATGGCAATTGCTAACATAGATATTTTCAATTCGACAATATGTAAGCAGATAATTTATATCCTCGGTGATAAAGTGTTTATAAGATCAAAATTTGGCTGAGATATGAATTGCTTTAAAAGACTTTATATTCCAGATTATGTTTGAATCTATATCTATTATCTATTATCTATAAGACATGTTTTCCAATATTCAAAATTCTGGATTAAAATTAAACTGATAGACCGTTATTTATTGAAAATATATATTCATAGCTCATTTGCTATTCCATTAATTTTACTATCAGAACAGGTTCAACACCTGATCAAGACAATATATAAATAATGACACACTGCCCACTGCAAGGATATTAAAGCTTAAAAGCTAAAAAGAAAACTGTGTTCAGTTCCTTTAAAGTCTGTGTATATTCTGTGTTCCTTCTAACTGGATGTTTGACTTGCTAGCAAAAAGTTACTTACACCTTACTCTTTACTCTCTTTCTCTCTATGTATTTATATATTTTCCGATTGGCTTTTCTTCATTTTTTGTGTTTCGTTTGTTCGTTCGCTTTGTTTGTTTGTGTTTGCTCGTCTTTGTTGACTTGGCTTTTGCGCTGGTTAGTTTTTAATGCCTGACCTTGAGGCCACTTATCGAATTACCAGGGGCTAGTAGCTCGGCCAGACTGAACGTCGCGACGTTGCTTCGCTCGTCAATTGACAGCTGTGCTGTGCACACTTTGCACCTATTACACAGCCCTACTCAGGTATACCCTAGCAAGTTTTCCGTGGCATATCAGGAGGGGGTATGTATTCTAGTTCTTCGGCTATAGCACCGGACGTGCTCGCATTGATTTATTATGTATTAGGCACAGAGCCGACTAGATTGGGTTGGGTTGGGTTGCGGCACGGACATAAATATGTATGGGACCACGTTGCCACGGCAATGGCCCACAGCCCAAGACCAAGACAAACTCGAAACTCAAACTGAAACTAAAGCTAAAGCCAAAGCCAAAGATTAAATTAAACCAAAGCAAAGCAAACTAACCAGGGCCAGACCAGGCCGTTTCGGTATCAAGGTTTTCCACAGGTACAAAGTGTTAAAATTCTTTTACTAGTTCTCTTTTTTCTTAATTCTCGCATAAACCGAACTTAATTGTCAGCGGATATTGCAAGCTTGTGGGAAAATCGAAAACAGAAAAGCAAAAAACAAAAAGGTTTCAAAGGTTGATAGACTCTATAGCCTAAAAGAAATTGCATTCGACTTATAATTCGACTTGTATAATTATGGAAGATAAGATGACTTCAGCTTAAACATAACATATCCATAAGCAAAAGCTTTTCTCTCTAGGGATTTCGATATTCTACAGAATATTCCCTGTATTTTTTTCCAGTATTTACTTTCTTCAATCGGAAAGCAATTTCGTCTTCCATTAAAAAATTCTCTAACTAACCCTATAAATAAATAAATAAGGTGTTAGGAATTTTTTAGTGTGATATTGTTTTTTCTTCTTTCGTTTAGTTAATATTAAATCGTTATTAAATATTTTCTGCTAAGATTTCAATGTCAATATTTTGAGTTGTGCTGCCTCATTAAAATGCAATTTACTTTTCTATATACCATACTATTTTCCGCTTAGTCATTTCTTTATATAATTTTGCTTAAAAAATTAAAGAACAAAAAAATAATGATGAAAGCAATTTACGAAAATATTTTATGTTGTTCAATGTCAGTTTGGAGTTACATTTATATACTATATACATATGCGTTATATATTAAACTATGTATAAATATTTGATAGATTGTATACGATAGACATTCCTAGAATGTTGTGCGCAGCTTAGTACTTACGAATACACTCGTTTATATGTATGAGTGGAGTATCTATTCATATCTGGTATTCGTATCTCTATATATCTATATAGTATATTTAAGATTGATTTGGTTGCAAACGTTCCATTGCTTCGCTTGAACATTTCATTCTGTTTACTCTTTCAGCATTAATTTTGACGCGTGACAATAACAAAATAATTTATAATGTGCATATGACTTATGTATTTATATATGTATATAAATATATATATATATATATAATACATATTTATAAACAATGTGTGCATTCAATGTTGTTTGTGTAATTGTAATTACTTAGCAACTAGTACAATTGGCTTTACAAAAATGCTGTTCGAAATTGGCCCGGGCCTAGTACCCCAGTAGGCAGCCACAATCTATCAGATATTCATTTGTATTTAATAGCTACAAGTTATTAACGAGGTGCCTGCATGTATCATGTTGCCGTTGACTAGTCGAGCGGGTTGCTTATTTATTTCGCGTTTTTATCATTTTTTATTTGTGTTTAGGTCTAATCGTTTATATATTTACCTAAATCATTGGAATGTTTATTGTACTAGCAATGTTTACATCTGTTTTCAAGTGTGCTTATAATCAATATGGCATTTTGCACAATTTTTATAAGGCTTATGATGTAGGATATGCCCTGAAATATTAAAAAGACAGCAAAGAGAAGATAAAGGAATATGTTCTTCAATCAAATTAAACAACATGTGAGCAGCCTACGCCGTTGTCAGTGTATACAAATTGCCAAAAATAATGAATTGCATGAGCACTAAAAATATATCACTTGAGATATTCTGTAAGTTTATGAAAATAATTCGTTAAATTGTTTGTATTATATAAAAACAAAATAACTTTCAGCTTTAGATTTTCGAAATTCCTGTGCTAAAACGTTGATCAAGAAAATGAAATTAATTTTAAAGCATCAGTCTAAGAAACGATTTTCACAACACTGACAAATCTGGCAAAGCTGATACAATACTCTTTGTGGAAAATATTTCAACACTATCCGAAATGCATAATTCCCAAGTCTACATAATAACGTCTTATGCTTAGTTCATATGAATAGCATGTGGTTAACGTGTTTTCCATAGATGAAACTGGTGTATAAAAAGTTTGCATAACAAAAAAAATTACATATATATATATTTACTATATCTAGCTAAGTCTTATCTTTATAGCGTATATTAGTTGTAAGCTAAGCCTAACTCTAAGTTTCTCTCGATATGAACACATATGTATATGTATATACAAAATGTTAGTGCCAAATGCTATACTATACATGGGGCGCCCAAAAGCAGCGCTTTAGCGGCGACAGACGGTTTACATAACCCCAGTGCGAACTTCATACCACATTGACAACAAACTAAAACCAGAATTACTAAAAATTTAAATAAAAAAGAAACCCGTCCGTGTTCCCAAGCCAAAAGATTCGCATTCGCATCAATCCAAAACCTCAAAATTTTCAAAAACCAAGTCAAAAAATAAAACTCAAAAAATTCCCCATTCCTAGTGCAAAACACAAGTTCGATGTCACACTCAAAAAAAAAAAAAAAAAAAAAAAAAACAAAAAAAAATTAAAAAATAAATTAAAAAATTTTAAGACAAATAAATTCGATAAAAAGTTAGACCAAAAATCCATGAGACTCTAACACGGTAAATATCAGTAGTGTATTCATTTAGTTAATATATCTAGCTTTATTAGTCTTAGATGTAGCTTTATGCCCCTGAAATCCTCTCTCAAACTTATCCTCTCTCTCTCTAAACACTCATGGTCACAACTATTGCTTCGATTTCAATGCTGTTCTATGTGCGTGTGTGTATGTGTCTGTGTCTGTGTCTGTATGTCTGTCTCTGTACCTATTTCACTGTCCTGCTAGCATCCCAGACTCTCTGAAACGCTCTCTAGCCCATACCTCAACTTTAGCTTAGTCTCTAACCTACTAGCTAATACTCTAACTACTGTTACTACATACTACTATAATAACCAACCTCCAAAATGCTATTTCGCAACTGACATCAACATTTTGTATAAAATATTTTCAATATACTCTATCCCAAAATATTATAAAGGGCATTTAGCTGCTTGTAAATTAACTTAAAAACAAAAAACCAAAAACAGATTTAAAATTTAATCAAAAATATGTGAACAATATATAAAACTGGGTTAATTCGTTTTATTCTCATTTTTAATCGATGCAATTTTATTCTTTCTTTCTTCTTCTTTTATTTGTTTAATTTTTGGAAAAAAATATAAAAATAAACACTTGGATTTTGCGTTGAAAACTCAATTCGTACTGTGTGCAAACAAAAAAATCAAACTACAAAAACACCGCCTACTACTCTAATCTACTCTGCTACTGCAACAACAACCAACAACAAACAACACACACACACTCTGTCTCTCTGTCTGTCTCTCTCTCTCTCTGTCTCTCTCTGTCTCTCTACACTCTACACACACTCTGTGTATGCATATGTTTGTTTTCTATGAAAATCGAATCGAAACACCTTCCTCAAAAAAAATTAAAAACAACCCAACACACAATTACAATGACAAAGATGATGTTCCAGGCAAAGTGGACGAGAAGGCAACTCAGCTGCATGCCATTGCCTCGCTTAAGGTGCTGCTGGATGCAACAAAACCGCAACGTGGTGGCGCCACTACCTCGGCGGCCAATCACGTCAAGATTAACCTCAAGGAAACAACGTTGGCCGATCGACCCAATGGGAATATCGATACGACGCTCGATTCGGTAAGTTAACACATTACGACTTTCCCTACGATATGCTACAATTATATATACCCATGATATGATTCAATTTGATTATACTAAAGAAAAAGTGCTAATGAAATGATTGCTCATGATTTCTAGGCATGATTTACAATCAGTTTTTTTTTTCAATTGAGTTATTTATCGTATTTGTTGATATTCCGATATTGTTTTTTTTTAACGAATTGAACTTTGTCACACACAATGCGCTGCATTCTTCATACAATAAATCGCCGAAGAATATCGTAAAATATTAAATATCGTAAAAATGTTGAATACAATAAAGTTGAATACCGTAAGCGTCGAATATCGTATTTTTGGAACAAACCTGACTCCTGTTAAACGTAGTATGTGGACCAGATTCAAACTGTATTTGAAAATTACGATATTGACGATATCGTAGAACAAGCTACCAACAGTATCGTAAAATGTTAAATGGTTTTAATTGATGTACATACATATTTAGTTTATATTGTTTATATGGTGGACCCAGTGTTTAGAGGACCAGACTCAAGCGTGTTATAATATTTTCATTTACATCATTTACAACAAATTTAATCCATGACTGTTGGCATGTTTTCTCTACATTGCTACTTGATTGATAGATTGGTTAAGTAATTGCTGCGTTTGGACTGATTCTAAGCCCAAAATTTAAGACACGTATTTTTTTTCCAATTTGTAAGCCCAGACATTACTTATTTATGTGTATCTTTTATGTGTTCTCTTCCTTTTTACGCGCTTTGAAGTTCAACTTTAAGTGTGTTAACAACCCCTAAAAGCAAAAACAAAAACAAAAAACTATCAACTAATGCGGTCTCTGTGTATTTATGCAACGTTTCTGTGTGACTTATAAATTGAAAAAATTATGTTTTACTTTAATCTTATCTGTATATGATAACTTTTCATACACCTTTCCCAACAATCACCAAAAACCCTTCGTTGTGTATGTTTACTTATAACCTTAACTGTAATACTCTATCGTCCATGTCCACCAAGCCATTACCATATATCTATCTCTCTATCTCTCTCTATCTCTCTCTCTCTCTCGCTCTCTGTGCCTCTCTTAAATTCTAACTCTATTTCTCCATCTATCTCTCTGTGTGTGCGTGTGTTTCTGTGTCTTGCCTTAACATCAACCAAACATTCCCTAAGAAGCAAATATAATAATTAAAGAGCTAATTCGGAACTGTGAAGTTTTTTAACAAATTTGCTATTATCGTTTTCGCAGACACCATTTGGAAAACAATCATTTGCTTTGTATCTTGAATTTTGAAACAGTGTTAAGCGAATGCTGACAGCTCCTATTTAAGAATAGTCCAAATAGAAGAAAATTAAACACAAAACTTAATATTCACAATATTATTTAAATTGTTTTGTTTGATTTATATGCTGCTGCTCAATTAAGTCATTCCAATAATTAGTTATTCAGGCATTCCCAGGCACTCATTGCAAATTTGTAGCTGTCACGCGCGGTGCCAGCAATCTCGCTATGCTATGCAAATGCCAATTCACACACCCACGCACACACCCATTATACACCCACACATACACACACACATTCATTACGCCGACATCATCATCTAACACTACGTGTGCCTGTACCCAATATCGTAACTTGTTATTGTTAAAAAATAAACTTTTTAATGCAGCTGCTCATAGATAATATAAATCATTTTTTAGTTTATTTTGGATTTGTGCAAAAAGATGACAAAGCAAACAAGCAAAATTCAAAAACGATTCAAAAGAATATATAATGGCCATTCAATCTGAACATATTTTATTTGAATGCGACCCAACTTCCGAGCTGGAACTGAGTCACAAAATTGAAATCAAAACTTTTCAAAATCTCTGAATCGAAATCTTCAAAAATCAATTCCACTTTTGCTCTCCAACAGTCCCACACTCAAATAATTGTAATTGTGTTAAATACCCATTCAATATGTGTTTGTTATGTAATAACCCAGAACAAAACTAATCCCCCAACACTCAACTTCTTATCACAATCTATCTCTATCTATCTAACTACTCTATTCCCCAGTCTGTATATCTGTCTCTAAACAGTGTTTGGTTTATTAATCAAGTTTTATTTCCATAGCTGAAACTAAGCAAAGGCAAATTCTCACAAAATATTCTCAACAAAAATACCATAAATATTTAATTTTCTATCAAAAATACTAAAACTAAAATGCATACAATCAAAATGAATTGTTAACTTAACTTCAATTTTATATCAAAAGCCATCCTTAAGTGGTCGACGTCCTAGCTGGATTGAGCAGAGGGTCAAAATTCAGACACGCAAATTTAGCATCAAAGTTAGTTTCATAAACAATTTATTTATTGCTCTCTCTTTCTATCTCTATATCTTCTCTATATATTGCATACAAATTTTATTATTATAATTTTTAATTACAAGTATCGTAATAAATAAATTCATATATATGTATATATCTATGCTTTGTGTGGAAAGCAACGTCAGCAACCCAGCAATACAAAACTGGCGTTGCTTCACAGCGCAAGCGTCTTGATTCGGACCCTCCTGTGCATACTGCAAGGGTAAATGGCAAATGGCAAATGGCAAATGGCAATTTGCAATTGGCAATTGGAAATTGTCAGTGAACTAAATGTGTTCCTCGCACCCAAATGTCTAAAAGATGAGGCAATCGATATTATCGATTTGCATATAATCGATTCAAATATTATAATTGTTTATGTCCGTGACTATAAAGTGATATCAGACAGATCGTAAATATAGGTGGGGCCGTCTAATGTGCTTTAGAACTGTTTATATTTCGGAGGAAATAAATATACAAAAATGAATATCGTAAATTGAATACTATAACTTTAATATCGTATGCCAAGTATCAAAATAATATAGGCATAAACCATATATGTTTGTTTTTCGACTGCCGTACACCTAAGATTTTACTGTATATAGATACATACTAAGAATATAGCTCACTAATTTCCTATAAACATATGTCGATTGTCACAAGACGTAGCACGTTAGTCAACATTGAACTGTGATTTGAAGAGCTATTGCTACATGATATATGATATGAGATATGCAACAGTTTCCGATTTAATATTAATTCTGATTCATTTTGTATAAAACTAAGCAGTGCGTAATTTAATATCCGAATTGCAATTCGATTTCCTATGACGTTAGTGCGTAGCTTGTCATCGACCACAGCTTGAACATTGCACAGGAGCGTGAGCCAACAACCGCAGTCGCCTCTAGCATAGAATATATCATTGAATTCTGTACTTAAAACCACTTTTGCCTTATGGCAAATTGTAAGAGTATTTAAACACTCGCATTGCTTTCGTGCCGCTTATACGAAATGTAGTCTTACCATTATGTTTTCTTATATAGTTGAACTAGTATTAATTTTTCTCAAATCACCTATGTAAAACTTACTATATTTAACATGTTTTACTTTCTATTTTCGTTACGCTTTGATCGACTTTAGTTCGGATTGAGAGTCTGTGTGAGCGTGTGCGTGTGCGTGTGTGTGTATGCGTAGACTGTCTTTGTATGTGTAGCCAAAAAAAAAAAACTTAAAAAGAACTACATTTGAGCATGCCTCTAATATAAACTAAGAAGCTGAAATCCGTGCACGTTACAATACTCGTATAGCACCCACTTAAGCTCGTATAACTAGAAAGTAAGTGTATGCACTTTGTTTGTACGTTTTTGCTAAATAAACAAATACACTATCTATTTTTGAACTCTGGCCATATTTGAACTCGAACTACTTATGCGCACCATTTGACTTCAACTAGCGTCCATCTGGCTTCGCCTGTCTGTGAGAGTGTCCCCACAACTCGAAATCAAGCGAAGAACTCTTGATCTGATCAGAACTAACATACCGCATAATATCGAAACAAGCTCATATAGCCAAATACATATATCATACACTATTACCCATATCAAAATCATACACATTTATAAATATAAATATTTTTTTAATATACTAACATTCATACGATATATATATAATTCTACCGTTAACCGAACATTTATTGTATAAAAAACTCAAACAAATACAAGTCTATTAAAGCACTGCAGAGGCTTTGACCTTACCATTTTGTAATAAATATATATATGTATTCGCATATGAAAGGCTCCCGAAATAATCGAGGATGAGCCGGAGCCTTTGAGCATGGCCTGGCCGGATACGGCCCGCAAGCGGCTCACGTACGTGCTAGTCGCCCCGCTTCTGGTGCCTATGTGGCTTACATTGCCCGATACCCGGACCCCCCGCGGCAAGCGCTACTTCCCTGTCACCTTTATAGGCTCCATCGTGTGGATAGCCGCCTTCTCCTATCTTATGGTCTGGTGGGCAAACGTCGCAGGTGATACGGCGCGCATACCGCCAGAGGTACGTATACATAATTTGATCAGTTTAGTTTAATCTATGAATGTCTCTGATAAGAGATATGTACTATAATGACATTTTTCGTTCGGAAATTTTAGTACTAAAATTCAGATAATGATGATAATGATTAAATTGTTGTCATCCTGTCCATAAAAATCATCCTCTTTCTTCCTTGGAACTGGAAGCTATACCGAAATAATCTTCAAGGTGCAGAAACTGTGCGCTGTCCTCAATGTTCCTGCGTCCAGGCCCCACTTGATCAGTCGCAATATCTTTTCGACGAAGTTGCAGAAGTCCTTCTGAGTATCTTCGCCTTCGCAAATATGCTCCGATATGCTCTCTACTTTGACTTCGCCGATGATTCTCTTCTATCCTTCCTCAGTAAAAAATAATGCTTTGCGTCATCATTGCAATGCGCAATGATTGATTCGGAGCATTTGCGCACCAATGTTGGTACTTTCCAATACAACTATGGCCAGAGAGCATTTTTGTCAAATAGAAAAAAAAAATGAAATAGTTCAAATGAACCAGTTCAAATGAACCAGTTCAAATGAACCAGTTCAAATTAACTAGTGCAAATGAACCAGTTCAAATGAACCAGTTCGAATGAACCAGTTCAAATAAACTAGTTCGAATGAACTAGTTCAAATGAACCAAATGAACTAGATCAAATGAACTAGTTCAAATGAACTAGTTAAAATGAACTAGTTAAAATGAACTAGTTAAAATGAACTAGTTCAAATGAACTAGTCCAAATGAACTAGTCGAAATGAACTAGTTTCAATGAACCCATTCAAATTTACTAATTCTAATAAACTAATTCTAATGAACTAGTTGTCATAAACCAGTTCAAATGAACTATTTCAAATGAACCAGTTTCTTTTTAGCCACTGCTATTATATAGATATAGTTAATATATGTCCACTCATTGGCGACGTGGTAAATCCTGTAAAACTCTAGCTTCCACAGTTTAAAAGCATCTGACTGAATAGTGTTTTGTCGTATTTTAAGTATTATTGCTGCTATATACTTGAAATTTGAGCTTCCTACGGTTGTAAGCTTAACAGAGCCATGGTAAGGTTGATACTGGAAGATGAACAACATAAGAATTGCATTTTTAATCCTTATTCACTTTAATGATAACGAAAACATCTATATCTATATCTATTATATCTACTATATCATATCTATTACTATTAATAATAATAATAAGGATGATAATGATAATGAGAATGAGGTTTTGTTCCAATGAACATTTACTGCATTCTGATTTATTGTGCAGGTTATGGGCCTTACCTTCCTGGCGGCGGGCACATCCATACCGGACTTGATTACGTCGGTGATTGTGGCGCGCAAAGGCTTTGGCGATATGGCTGTGTCTAGTTCCGTTGGTAGCAACATATTCGACGTGACTGTGGGGTGAGTGAACGAGAGTCTAAGAAACATTACCGAGATATATTAATATGATGATGGAGACTTGAGACTAATATATATATCTGACAATTGGATATGCAGCTTACCAATACCCTGGCTACTCTATGGGATTATCTACGATGCACCCGTTGAAGTGAATTCGGTGGGCATGGTGTGTTCCATAACCATATTGTTTATGATGCTCGTATTTGTGGTGCTATCAATTGCCTGCTTCCGTTGGCGCATGAACAAGGGGTTGGGCTTTACCATGTTTCTCCTGTACTTTGTCTTTGTTGCCGTTTCGCTGATGTTCGAATATGATTTGATCACCTGTCCCGTATAAATCCATTACGGGGCAGCTCGGCAACTCTGCAACAAAGACAAAAGTGACAAACACCCTCTCACTTCCACTCACACACACACCCACACACACACAGAGACAGAGACACACATGAACACTCGCAAACCAATTAGTTAAATTTATATACAAAACAAATCAATGAATTAAATTAACAAATTGACTAAAAACTAATCGAATTGTTAAACAAATGCATAAACCACTACACGAATACAAACAGCAAAACAAAGAAGCCGAAAACCACAGTAAAATAACAAAAACAAAACCAAAAATCGAAAACGAAAACGAAAACGAAACGCAAAGTGAAAAACGAGTTAGCTAGTGCTATGTGCAGCGTTTTTTCCTTTTTTCCAACAAACAAGACATTTACTTTAAATGTTTAGCCGCAGCTTTTAAGCAGCTTAAAATATAAAACAGAAACTAACACACTCACACACACAAACACAGCCACACCCACACACACACGAAACTCTTCAGCTCTATCTATCTATGAACTATCTTTCTCTCTACTTGAACTATAAACCCTAACTAACTTTATCTATAATTGAGTATACTATTTAGATACAAGCGATACTTAACAAAAACAATGGCTTCCCAATCAATTACTTTACTTAAGCGTTTGGGTTTTTCTAATTACTATCTATTTACGAGTATAACAAATCTAAGTACATACTTGGCACAAGCACCTTATATACGTTATGAAACAAGACAGTCTGCAATATGTTGGGTATATATTCGACAAGCTCTTGCAAGTGTTGGGCAACTCTTTTAAACATAATTTAAAACTTAGTCAAGCTTTTTAGATCACTCCAAGATGTGCCTAGCCTAACCTGAACTCTTTGAGAATTGCAATAAATAAAAAAGCCTTTCTAGACCAAAATGTGTTCTAAAATCGAAAACAAAAATGAATTCAAACTTTTTCCACAATTCAAGGCAGCCACTCAGAGCTTGAAGCTCTTCAGAATGCTCAACGTTTTAAAGCGCAAAATTATTAAGCTAATTCCAAAATAAATTCAAAAACTATTCTTTACTGAAATTCTTCTGATATTTCAAGGTTCTTCGAAGTAGCAATTTGGCTGAAGCTATTTGTTACTTTTTAGACCAATGTATGAGCTAATATTAGTTTTCAGCTCATTTCCAACACTTGCCGCTATCCAACACTATTATTTGCTTGCTCTACCAACTATCTAAGCTGTTCTATAGTAATTTTCCAAGCACTATTAAGATGAAATAATGAAAGCTTTACGCCAGATAGAGCCTAAATCAGTCTAGTTTTTACGAAACTGTATATATATATATATACATATATATATATAACATATATATAAAACTAATACCACACGCACACTTACATCGCATATAAATATATATATCTATATATATATATATATAAACATATAATACATATATACTTGCTTATATATTGACCTATATTAATTAAGTGATAATTTGCGTACTTATTAAACGACAAAAATGATAAGCTACAACTATACTCAAGAAAACCGAAAACAAAAAGATACTAACATAAAATCTTAAATTATATAAAATATAATACTAGCAATACTTTAAATTGAAAACGAAAGGAAGCATTTGCCAGACATAATTTAAAAGAAAAAAACTATCGAATCTTTATGGCTAATTGTCATTCTTGTATTATGATTATTATTCTTATTATGATTAACACTTATGATTCTTGTTGGCGTGCGTAAACGGTGCAGTTAGTTCAAATGAAACAAAATATTTCTTAAACTACATATGAATGAAAATGGAAAACAATTTTCGAAAAAAAAAAACAATATTAATAATTTCATATACTTTTTGCTTAATAAATCCCCAATAAATATATATATTTATATATACACATAATATATGAGCATATAAGCATATGTATATGTATGCGAAAGAGAAAAACAATATTTAAACAAAACCAAATTGCTCTCTTTATTTAGAACGTACGTAACATTTTTCTAAACTAAACCTAAACAAATCTTAAGCCGTAAAATCGTAAAAGTGACGAAGCAACATGAAGATGAAGAAACGCAAACACTAGACGCATTACATATATACATACTTATATATATAAACGACAAATGAAAAGGAAAATATATATAGGTATATATAAATGCAACTATAACTTAAGTAGGAAATATATCCAAAAATATCCCAAAATCGTTTGCCTATTGAAGTTGTGTGAACAAATAAAAATACTGAAAATACTAAAAATACTATAAATGACACACACCAACACATACACACACACACACACACTAAACAGAAAAGGAAAAGGAAAGGAAGAAAACAAACCACACAGAACAGAAAGCAATAATTTTTACAAGTCGAACGGGAATACATTTAAATGAGAACTAGTGGCAGTGACATAAACGTATATATACATATATATAATATAGTACTATATAAAAGTACCACGGTATTAAACAAAAAAAATACAAAAAATACTGTATATCAGAGCACGGCCAAGATTAAGGAGAACAGCAGAACAGCAAAATTACGAACGAGACAAGCGTAGCTTAGCCTAGTCGAAGCCATCAGATATATATCTCATATATATATACATATGTACCTTGCAAGGTAACTTAGTGTGTCTGCTCTTACACCCCATGGGTGCACACACATAAACACATATATATACACACACTCAATTTGTATATGGAGGAACATGAACAGAAAACACCAAAAAGAAATATCAAATAGAAAATAACACGAATATACTACATTGTATAAATACCACGAGGCATACATTAAGTGCGTCACGCTAACTAACGTGCTTAGAAAAAGGCTCGATAAGAGGCAACTGGAAACATGGCACTATAAACCACCAAAGGAACACCCCCAACATTCGACATTATGACCACTTGTAACCAATTATATACATATATAATATATGCTTTACTGCTAGACTGCTAGACAGCTAGCAACGGGCGACACTGAGAGCGCTATAGCTTACCGTTAGGCGTGCTGGTTTTTTAATAAGTATTCAAGTTTAATTAGGGTTTATTAATTCCCTGAAGCTTATTCTCATACCTAATCCATTTTTCTATTAATTATTTATTTTCTAAATCCAAATATAAATTTGAAACAGATTTGAACTTAGCCCTACTAAGCGTTTAGTTGCTAGAACTTCTCTCTGTTATTTATACAATTTTACATCCTAATCTCTTTACTTGAACCTTCAGACTTAAGAATAGAAACGGTACAGAGAAATTCAGAAAAGTATAGTTTCATGAAATCAAAAGGGTTACTAAGAAGCATTCGTAACTTTGTTATATCAAACGTTGTTTTGACTACTCTGGAAAACTACAGTTCCACTTTTTCTAGCTCAATCAGTCGCATTTCTCAATTGCTCTCGAGTCCAACATCAGTACCAGCTGCTATTGACCTTATATATTTGATAAATATTTTGCAACTCATCAATAGACACTCAACAACACTTTTTGTCTGTCAACCTTTTCACCTCCCAGTCGAATGGGCGCGGAAACATAAAGCAATCGCAGCAAACAACAATTATATTGCTTTTGAAACAAAACAAAAAATATAACTTCCAGTACTTACAAAATATAACAATTAACAAACTATTATACATACTGTCTATGGTTAAAACTAAACAGTAATCTTCCAAATTAACGTTAAAAACCAAATGCATACGACTACATACTTATATGCATATATACAGATATGTATATATATATATATATATATATATATATATATATATAGATATATATATATATATATATATATATATATATATATATTTACATTATTATATTATACGATATACATATACATGCTAAAAAACTTATTTATTTAGTATACATAACATTTAGCACGTACTCATACATACATACATACACACATGCACACATACGTACACACACATATACACACATACACACATACTTTCAGACACCCAAAACATATCGCGCCCACTTTTCTCTATATAGTACTACGAACGAGTACAAATAAAACTTTTGTAGAACTATGATAAAGCATATTCAAAAATTAAAAAAAAAAAAAAAAAAAAACAAACCTAACAAAATTTACAAAATTGTTAATCAACTAGCATTTCGCATGGAATGTTCATGTACTACTACTACTTTCCAGGCACTTTCTCTTTAAAAAAAAGGATCCCCAACCATAGAGCGCAGTACAAATGTTCAGCGTCTGTTAACATTTACAAAAGACAACAAGCAAATCAAAATTATTGACACAGCTACATATAAATATATAATACATAATAGTAACCCGAATCAATTTCATAACCAGCGTAGTTAGCATCAATTGTTCAAATCACATTCAGAACTCAAAACCCTCTCAAATCCCAGATCCTTACTCAAAACGCACATAAACACGCACTTCTCAAGTGGAAATTGTTTAAGTCTTGCTTTAAAGCAACTGATATAAGATTATATATATAAATCTTATATATATGTATATATATATATAAATATATATATATATATATATATGTATATATATATATATATATATATATATATAAGAAATTGTTATGATTATAGATTTTTAACAAGTTGAATAATTGCGTAAAAAAACATACAAAAAATTGTTGAAAAATTAGTAAAACTGTTCAAAAGCGTACAACAGAGCAAGTAATTATAATAATAAAATTAAAAACCAACAAAATTTAAAGATTAATAAATAAAATACAGTATATACTTTATGAAATATTTAACTTATAAATAAAAAATCATTGTTTGAAATTAAAGTGAAAAAATATGAAAAAGCAACAAACAAACATTTAATACGCGTAGAATTCTTCTGTCTGCTAATTTTGTCCTTTGACCAAAATTTGTTGAGTTCCAGCCTAAAGTAAGTATTAACAAATTAAATATAATTTTTACTTGAACAATTGGCATTCCTAATACCCGTTGTAAAATGATTCTAAAATATGAAATTAGCAAACACGAACAATTACTGGACGCTACGAAACTCTCAGCTCGGATATAATCGAATCGAACCGAGTCTAATCGAGTCGAACACCTGCTAATAAAATCCAAGCACATAATCAGTTCAGCTTTAAATACGATATATAATTATCACAGTTATATACATTTATACAATAAATAATGAATACCAAATATATATATATATATAATACATATATATATAAATTTTTATAACTGTATATATATATATATATATAAATAATGTAACCACAGAGAGTATGCGTAACTTTCTTTTTTCCTAATTTCTCTTTTAATAAATAATGCCGCGTATACAAAACTTTGATTCATATATATATATATATCAATATGTATATATATATATATATATATATATATATATATATATATATATATGTATATATTATACATATATAGGGTTATATCGAATATCGTTTCAAGTTGCGTCCGTTGTGTAATACAAGCAAATAAACAAAAAAGACAAAAACAAAACAGAACACGAAACAATAAATTGCGTCTACTGTACGTACGTTGCTTAGCTGTCATCTTTTGTCTGCATAGCGCAATGCCTATCGATTAACGATAACGGTTATCGACTGCATGTGCTCGAACTTTACCTTCGATTAGAGCTGGGTGCGTGTCTCAATAAATCAACGATAACGGTCGATTAATTATCGAGTCGAGTGATGTGTGTATCACAAAACAAATAAAATAAACTAACATAAATAAAAAACGACACGACACAAGCCCAACTCTTTATTTTTTAAAGCAGCTAACAACAACAAAAACGATAACGATAAATAATAAGAAGCGAATCCAGCAAAAAGTAATAGTTAACATATTGGTAGACTAATTTAAAGTTTTTTATAGTGTTTTCAAATTTGTAAGTATATAACAACAACAACAACAAGAAGAACAATGCGTTTATTATTTTTAATAGGCAATGCAATTATCGATCATAGATAATACCTATCGAAAAACGAAAACGAAAACGAAAACGAAAGATTAACCGTCGTGTGTGTAATACAGCAAAAAGAACAAACAAAATATATAATAATACAACAAAATATATATTTCCTTACCCACCAGCGATTTTTGTGTTGTTGAGTTTGAATTGTTGTGCGATTTTTACTTTACATATTTTTTACATACATATTTACGTACAAATATAGTGCGGTAGTCGTATAAATTGAATATATGTATGTGGTTTATTTTGGTAACGGTCACGGATAAACGTTGTAGTACATAACTGTTAATTTCAACATACATAGTCCAACAACAAGGGGGAAGTATTAAAAATACCACAGAAAAATGAAAAAAGAAGAAAAGTAAGAGAATTAATTTTAATAACTGATACGCTTTTAGCACATAAGATTGTACAAATAATTTATATAAATACATTCACACACATACATACACAAACACACACGAGCATACACACACAGAGAATATTGAGTATATTACAGTTCATATGTAGAAAGGAATCTTGCAATAAAAAAATAGTTTTATGTTCTGTTTTTGGTTGTTTTCTTATTTTTACAACATTTGTCATATGGTTATTTTATATGCCCGATTTGTTGTTGTATTTGTATAATCTAAGCCTTAAAAAACAGAATGCAGATCTTAAGGATCGCTGCTGTAAACGAGTCAAACGAAAGTGATGAAGCCATTGGAATAAAATAAATAAAAAGGAAAACAGAAAAACAATAAAATAAAGGTTAAAGTAAAACCCGGGAATCCCTAAACTTGCTGAACAAATAAATTCGGCTTTACTTTAAAAAACAGTTGCAAATAATACAGCGGTACATCTATAATACAGAATGTTATTTACTTTATAGAAGTATATGAATATACATATATAAATATATATATATACATATATTTAATACATATATATTTAATGGAAACATTTAGATTTTATACAAAACACGATCACAATCATTCCTCCTTCTCCTGGACATCAAATCAGAGCTCATCATTAAAAATAAAACCGCATGGACTAGAAGCAAATCAAATAAATAGTCAATTTCGATAATACATATATATATATTATATATATATGCGTGTACTTGAGCATGGTCTGGCACACAAATTAAGCGAGTAATACAAATATGACAAAAAAAGTTAATATAAAAATGCATTTCGAAGAAAAGAGGGAACGACACTTATGTAAATCAAAACGAAGCTAATAGATACAATGTTAACTAGTTATTTAGGTGAAATATACAACAAATCACACTCAGATACATTTGAATCGTAACGCTTAATAGAGACACTCCCACACTAACACTCACACACACAAACACACACACAGACAGTTGAACGAGCAATGTGAAATACCGTTACATGGCCGATTTGTAGCAGAGCCGCAGCAAACGAATTAACGACTTAACTTATAAAAAGATCGTTTAATATAAAATTTTGTTATTAACAACAAGAACGAAAAATTTGTAAAGCAAAATTGCATTCTGCATATTGCAAGCAAACAAAAAAAACACAAGAAATATATAAAGTTAATGTTCAAACTAACTAATATATAACAAATATTATATAATACAACAAACTTAGACTGTATGTTATTTTCTCAATACAATACCTACCTATAAAAACAATAAAAACAGATTCAATAAAATGAGTTATCGAAAAAGCACAATCCCTGTGTTTGAATTGGGCGCGTATGGCACAACTATTTGTATTAGTGTGTCCGCACTGACAGTCTTGAGTTGCGTGCGCGCGCGCGCTGTTACTTTGTTGCCACAAATATTCAAGTTGAGCAGCTGGTTGACAGTGCTGCCCATGTACGTGCACGCGTATATTTTGAATGTCAACTACTGAGATTTTGTCATTTTCTATGAACGGTCACACCGTTCCTTTCCACGCGACCAACAACACAGAAACGTGTGTTTTGGGTCCGACGCGTGCTTTTAATAAAATAAAACAATATTAGAGAAAAGCAGTTCTGAAAATCTGTTCTTTTTCTCATAAATAACAGCTGCATTACAAGACTATTCACAATGAGACGTCCGAAGAAGGTATGTTTAACTTGAAACTATTAAACTCAATTTGAGGCGACTGTGAGGTTAATTTTTAGCAAAACACTGAAAAATAAATAATGTTCGTGATCATTTAATCATTTTAATTAATTTTATTTACAGTACGAAGCCGGTGAGGCAACACAATATATAAGCCGGCGAGCAGCCCTGCGTAAGCTGCAGCTATCGCTAAATGATTTCCGCCGCTTGTGCATTTTGAAGGGTGTTTATCCTCGCGAACCAAAACATAGAAGACGTGCACAGAAAGGCTCTTCAGAGATAAAGATTTTGTACCACACCAAAGATATACGCTTTCTGCTGCATGAGCCTATTGTGTGGACACTGCGTGACTACAAGGTATGTAAAATAATTGATTAATTAGGCAGTCACACACTACCAATTTCTCCATTACAGATCTTTGCCAAGAAATCTGGTCGGGATCGCGCTATTAAGGACTTTCGCAATCTGAAACGTCGGTTGGCCTTATTCCCCGAAATCAAGCTCGATCACATTGTGAAGGAACGCTATCCGACATTCATTGATGCACTCAAGGATCTCGATGACTGCCTTACATTACTCTTTCTATTCAGCACATTTCCATCCTTGCATTTGATTCCGCGTGAGCAATCGAATCTTTGTCGTCGATTAACCATCGAATTTTTGCATTATGTGATTGCCTCCAAATCGTTGCGCAAAGTGTTCATATCGATCAAAGGCTATTACTTCCAGGCCGAGATCAAGGGCCAAAAGGTCACATGGATAGTGCCACACTACTATCCTTTTAAGCCGCAATCAAGGCAGGAGGTGGACTTTAAAGTAATGTCCATATTCGTAGAGTTCTACACAATTATGCTGGGTTTTACGAACTTCCGTTTGTACCATGGCCTAAATCTCGCCTATCCACCACAATTTCCCTCTACCATGCTGCAAGATAATGCAGATACTTTGAAAGACGAGACGAGTTTTGTGTCGGAGCGTATTTGTGCTCTTAATTTTGATCTGCTGCGTACAGACAAGGTGCAGGAGGATGAGGAGGAACCCGATATTGATATGGAGCTGCTGGAACAGGATGGCGACTCAAAGCGCATTATCAAAATGAAACAGGAGGCACAGGAAGTGGCCCGTCTACGCACACTTTTTAAAGGATTAAAGTTCTTTATCAATCGTGAGGTCCCTCGTGAACCATTGGTCATCATCATACGCTCCTTTGGTGGAAAAGTTTCCTGGGATTCGTCCGTCTTCTCTGGCTCCACGTACGATGAGAGTGATGAAAGCATCACTCATCAGATTGTTGACAGGCCTAGCCTAAGTACCCAGTATATATCGAGGGACTACATACAGCCCCAGTGGGTCTTCGATTGTGTAAATCAGCGTCAGCTGCTGCCAACCAACAAATACTTCCTGGGTGAACAGTTGCCGCCGCATTTATCACCCTTTGTCGATGCCAAACGAGATACGTATATACCGCCCGAAGAGAAGGCGCTACATGATCCCTCACTTATCGAAACACATGGTAGGCATACTTTAATCTCTTAATAGAAACCCTTCAGTTGTACGTTTTACCAACCCCAAATTCTTTCCTTTCGACAGCCCAAAGTGAAGATGAATCGGATGAGGAAGAAACAGTAGCAAACGAGGAAGATGATACTGTAGAACAAGAACTGCTGGACGCACAGCTGCAACGCGCCTATCAGCAGGAAACAGCAGAATACAAAAAGTATGGCGGTCCAGACGGTGTCAATGAGGATGAAGAGGACTCTGACGGAGAAGATTTCAATGACGAGGACCAAGAAAGCTCCGATGAGGAGGAAGAGCTGGATGAGCAGACAAAGCGACTGCAGGAAGAGGTACATCAAGCCAATACCTATGCGTAACAGCATATATATCATATGTAATACATAAAATCTTAATTTCTTGCAGAGGAAGAAAATGTCTGTGCAATCTGGTAAGGTGCACAAAGTGAACAAAAGACAGCTGCACAAAGCCGAAGTCGATGAGCATCGTTTACAGGCACGAATGGTCAAGCCACGTCATCGCAATCTGTTCCGCAAGCTGATACGTGAGAAACAGACTAAGGAGAAAGAGGAATGGCTGCTACGTAAGAAGCGACGCAATATTGACAGCGATACAAAGGAAGCCAAAAAATTGGCTAAACGAGAGGCGAGAAAAGCAGCCGCTGCTGCTGCTGCAGCTGCCTCGCAACTGGGCGGCAAGTGAAAGACTCTGGCTCGCGGTATTTCACAACCTGTGTCTTCTTATAATTAGTTTGTAACTGAAAACAATAAAACAAATTAACCTGATATTTTACCGAAAATGCATTATTAACTCGATTCAGGCACATTCTTGAGTATCCAGACGATCAGTAATCAGTAACAATTGATCTAAGCTCGCAAGGACAAGGACCATCGATTGGTTCAAGCGACAACTTCATAGAAACAAACAAGCTCGACCAAATAAGTCCATTTGAAAATCAGCAGGCAGATAAGTTAAGACTGCGTTGATAAGACATAAACCAACGAACAGAGCGTTCAGTAACGCAGGGACTCTAAAGTCGGCACACCGAAAAATGAAACTAGTTACCTGGAAAAATATACATTTACGTTGCCTATAGTAATCAAGTTCCGATCTGGAAATAACATCCAACAAACCATATAAAATAAGTAAACAACGTATTTAATCAAAGTTGTTGCACAGTTTCTTAATTTATTTTTAAAGCTTAAACAAAATAATCGAACAATAAGACCTTTCGATAATCAATTTTAAAATGTTGCAGGATGTGAAAAGAACACATGAGTATAGTATATAAAAACTTAAATATGTATAATCATTAAATATAGTATAACAAGAAGAACAGCAGTAAAGCATTAGAAACATTTGTTATAAATAGAAGAACTAGAGCACGGATTACTTTCATATTTCTTAAGATTTCTAGATGAGGCGAATTATATAGATTGACTTGGCTATAGAAAAACTATTTTTAGATTTGTTTTTTTTTTTTTTTGTAATTTTAACTAACAATTTGTCGCTTGTATCATATAATCTAATTATTTGTATAAGTATATAGTACTCGTATATTGTATATGCCCTGACACAGTCCTAGTCTGCCATAAGTAGTGCCTATTATGCTATATATATAGAATTATTTTTTATTTCTGTATATTTATAAAAAGAGTCATGCGTTCGTCGCCTTTGTTTCCGATTATGTTAAATAAACCATTTGAATAGAAAAAAATGCCTAAGGATCTTCTAGATATAGATTCCTCAATCGCTATCGCTGTTGTCGCCGCCCGCCGCTCCATCCTCATCGTCATCGTCGTCGCTGTCCTCCAGTTCTGGCATAGGAAAACGTAAAATAGCAGCAATACCCGTTAATTGAGAAAGTTCTGAAAGGACAATTTCAGTAATTAATTAATAATGAGTAGATATATATCACAGGAAATTTTTACTTTGCAGCAAATATGAAACGTAAATGCTGGCAATCATAAAAACAAATCCTAGTTTTAATTTAAAATTGAATTGAAAGGCATAAAATTAGAGCAGAATGCGTATAAAAAAATTATCCACATAAACATTTAATACTTCCCCAAGCTTTCTAGTTCTTAGAAATATATAAATACCTATATATGAAAATATGGATATCCACGCGTTCTGAATATGAGAGAATTATGACATAATTAGGTACAGCTTATAAACAGAAAAAGTTCTTGGCAGTTCTACCTGGACTTTTCGAGTACTCACAAATCTAACGAAACTTGAATGAATACAATAAAAAACTTTAGAAAAAAAATATAATAAATATAAGCAAGTTATCGAAGAACGATGAATTGTATCATGTGGGACTAACTTTACAGTCAACTAGAGCACGATAATGCAGAAGTCTGGCTTTAATTGATGTATAACTTGTTTTTAAATGTAAAGATTAAAGTTCTTGGATAGTCAGTTAGTAAATAGAAAAAACTCGCTGACAACCAAACATTCAAGTTCTCAAACTATAACCCGTAAATAAACTCGCTAAGAACCCAATCATTTTAATTACAAAATTTATATATCCGCTGCATATGTTTGAGGTGGCTGGTGCTCGCAGAATGTCTTGGTCAAAGCGAATTTCCCACAGCTCTTGGCCAAGCAGTAAGCCAGTGCACCGTTCAAGCCAACCAGTTAACATATTCTCTCAGGCTTCTCACTGGGCGTAGGAGTTACAACTGACATAGTCAAGGCTGCCCGCTTCTAGAAGTGACTCACTTCTGAACTTGATGGATATTCAATTTGCAATTTACATTTTACAATTTACAATATGCAAATGTGTTAAAAACAAAACAATTAATTAAGTAAAGCTGTATATACTACTATAATGAAATCTGGGTTCTGTTCTGGCTTATATACTATTATTAAACTCGGGTTACAGGGCTCAACCTGTAACATACCATCACATTGTTATTATTTCTATAGTTCCCCATATAACAAAAAAGTCTTCAGGGCATTTGACTATTTTGCCTATTTAAAGGAAAGTAAAATAACTCAGCTCATTGTCATTATCAAGACAGACGCGTCTATTATCAATGAGAATAAAAAACCAAAACATGTTGAGCAGTGTAAGGTGCTCAATGTGCCACAGTTTAGCATAGGTTCTGTTCTGGTTGTTTTTCGGATCGTTTTTTTTTTGCTGTTTACTAATGGAAATGGTGGACTGCTTTATCTGCACACAATTCAAATCAAGTACCCGAGAGTTTTTTTATTGTTTACACTTGTTCTACAATGTTTATATAAAAGCAATTGCAAGCTGATTAAAACATTCGCTTGGCAGCGAAGAAAAAGTACTTGAGAAGGCGCTGCCAATGATAACGAGTTAAATGAAACGCTGTGGAAATGTTCTAGTGGCGAGCTGAAAGAGCACCAGATATGCAAAATTCATTTCATGAGCTCACTCGCTCTATAAAGAGTGTTACAACAGCTACAAAGTGTACGGTTTCTATTTTAGACATAGAGTCGACCCATTTATGTGCAGCACAAGTAAAAGTACGATCAGACCGACTGTAATAAACTAGAACATACGCTTTACTGATTATGAAATAGAGACGAACTTTTAATTACATTTTAATTAGAATGTTTTGGATTTCTCTGGCTGTTTGCTTATTGGCTTATTCTATTGAATATTGCCGATAAGCTATAAAACACGTTACATTATATATTATACTTGAATCCCTTTTTGCTAAATAATCAACACTAATCTACCTCATAGATTTAACAAATTAAGTCTTGGCAAAAGCTAATGTTATTCCAAATATATAATTATATCATTGGCAAAATTGGCTTACTATTGCTACTACATACTTTTTACAACTTATGCTACCTTTAAAGAGTATAGTCTACCTATTCTTCGTTGTTTCTTTGCATATATTTACTTTCTGCTGCTTCTCGGCAAACTATATATCCGACTTTTCGGTTTACAGGGTACACAAATTGGCAAAAACGTTTCCAAGTCGCAGACAATTGATAAGAAAGAACACAGAAAAAGAAGAAGAACAACCAAGACGTGAGTCATTTACCAAACAGCCAACAAATTGCTATTTAAAGCGACCTAAAAATATTTCGAAAACACGTAAAACGCACTTTTAATTAACGTCAAGATAAATTTATAATCAAGATGAAATTGAAAGTGTCTTCGAGAAAAATGAAAAAAGTCGGACTAAAGTCCAATATAGTGTAGATTATGCATTGCGGGAGAAACCTTCAAGAAGCACAAACATATATGTGTACAAAAATATATATTTATGTGTGCACATGTGCACTGCACGTCATGTAAAAATAGAATGCTTAACGAGGTCATTAGACAGGGGGAGGCCTGTACCATACAACTTCTGTACCAGACCGAGCGAAAATCAGTCATAGACATCTTGCTTGTTTTCTCTAGAGAATAGTCGAGTGAATTCGTTACCTGGATTAATGCAGACTCAAATACAATGAACGTGCAAATTAACAAAATAAATAATTATTAACTACATATATATTTATATACATAAATTAGTACATCTCTTCTCGAGCTGTCACTGTAATCAATGAATCATAATTCATCATTTAGCAGTTTATTCTATGATATTGGAGAGAAAGCTCTTAAGCGTTACTTCATATGAAATACTTACGTTCGCCCGATATATGCATACTGGAGAAGATTTTCACCTCGCCTCCGGCATCGCGCACCGATTCAACCAAGTTAACATATTCTTTCCTGAGATTTACGTCTTGGCACCTGGAAAACATGTTTAAATATAATTATATGAGGAATTCAATATTAATAAAAATTAACACGGTCTCAATATAAACTATAATATATATTATAGCAAAACAAAGTGAAAATGGTGGCCTGACAATTTAGGCACAGATAGGAAGTCATAGAAGATAGGTAAAAAAAAGTAAGAACATTACAGTCAGGTGTAACCAAATGCTCAATTCTTAAAATAAGATGGGATTTACCGTTAACACTATATTTATCCCGCCCCTAGAAGTCGTATGCATATATAATATATAATCATTTGGCAAGTTCTCGGTTTCTTACTTACTTAAACTACCAGCAAATAGCTTTAATACTGAGTCAATAATACGTTACAGAACAAATAGTCTAAAATACATTTCAAACAAGGTTTTCTATTTATCTTGGTTCTCAAATTGCTAAGCTAAGTAAAAAATACATTTTGAAAACGGAGAGTGAAATGAATAAAATGTAAAAAATTAAAACGTTCAACTATGACAGGATCAAAACATGCTACCATCCGGTAAAAGTAAATTAGGGAACTATGGGAATACCTTCACGAAGTCTCGCTACATGAAACACTGAAGCCGCCCGCATTTGGCGTATATACTGTAAAGACAATTAATATCTATTACAATTCAAAGTATGTGAATATTGCACATCTACAATTCAATACGTAGCAAAACGCTTAATCATGAGCCAAAAATGCAAATGATGGGTGCAACCACATACATAGTATACATATGTATGTATACAATATACACTATATATTAATATATATGTATATATATATAGGTATGAATAAATTATTTCAGTGTGACACAAAGGCTACAGTTATCTAGTTAGCCTATGGAGTAATAGCGATCAAAATGCAAGCCGTCGAGGCGAATAAAATCGTAAGCTCTGGAAGCAAATAAGTATTCAAAATGCCGGTATGCGTTCAAAAACCTTAGCAAATGTTAATGCTACAAAGATAAAACTCGCAAAAAAAGACTGCGCCTCCCCATTAAAAGAGAAAAAAGGAAGGTATGCAAAAAAAATAAAGCACAGGTAAAATATCAATTATCATTTTTTATTGAAGGCACAAAAAGCAGTTTGATTGCGCTTCAAGAGCGCTGAAGAGTGTGACCAGAGTCTCAACTGATCAAGCTCTTAACTCACTCTTTACCTCTCTCTTTCTGAGATACGTTCCACAATTAGTTCCACAGCACGTGTAGCAGCCGGAGAGCAGCCAAAGGCATATGAGAGAATAACGTTTGTGCGAACATGAATGATATCTCATTACATACCCTGTAAACAATTATACTTGGGCAACTGCCCAAACAAATTATATTTCTATAAATAATATAATACTTTTTGTTAAAACTAATAAAATACACGCAAATACACCAGATAAATGTGAACTTTGAACTCGTATCAATAGCAGCAAAACTATTCATTTTGAGCCATCTAGCTTTATAATACCGTTTAAGTTCATAGCATAAACAAGTACAACATTCTTCTATGTATAGATAGAGAACAGATATATTCAAGTTTATATACCCTATATGAAATTTCGTTATAGGATATTCGAAGAGAGCTTAAGCGAGTTTCAGTCTGTTCGTGTAGAATTAGTTGTGAAGCGGCTTTCTTGTGGGGCGCATGTTGGCGCACGGTGCAAGAAGAAGAATAGACGAAACAAGAATCGAACCGCAGCGGACCAAAAGAAACAACGCGTCGCGCTTGCCACGCAAAAAGAAATTGGTGAAAGAGAACAGCAAGAAAAATAACAAAAAAAAACCAAAAGGTGCGTGCAGGCCAAAGTGAAAGTTAAATTTGTTGTTGTTTTCCATGTCAAGTGCAAGTCTACAAAATTAAAGAAGAAATAAAAATCAGGTTTTGGGTTTTCTTTTGAGGAATGTACGGCTTGAGTCAGCACTTGGCAATGCAGCTGTAGATAATTTATTGGTATAACTGTGAGATCTATTTACTCATCATCTGTTAACCGCAATGAATTAAATCCATTGTCATTATTGTTGTTGCTGCGTGACAATGATTGCACAATGAAATCAATTGTTATAATGGAATTAACGGAACGTAGGTGATAGAGCCATGAGCGTGCAACAAGGGGAAGCCACAGGGCGGAGACAGCAAAAGGCCAATGTAGCTGGCCTCAAGGCGCGGCGGGGGAGTGAAAATGCAAAATTAATTGTATCGCATGTCGTTTAGTATCTAAATGAATATGAACTTTTTATGACAACGAAATCAGATCAAGGAAATAGCTACAACTACGATAACATTGGCGGATCCAATATAAAATATATCCCTTGAGTGAAACCCCCTTAACAAATTCGAATGACTACATTTTTTTTGGAAATTTTTGCATCTTCAGTTTTGGGACTTTTCCCACAAGGGGCAAACAACTCTGGCGACATTCACTTGTGCAAATCAAAAACTGGATTCCAGATATTTGACTCAATAAAAAACCAATATAAATTGAGCAGTACAATGAAACAATAAAACTCACTTTACGAGTTTAAAACGGGGACTATATATTTCGTACCTATCTCTAATCAATTCACTCGCTTTTTGTGGAACCTCAGTTGCACACATATTGGTCAATCAACGATTTCTGAATGTCACTACGCCAACATAACCGAACACAAACTGCAGATGAATACAAAGAGTGGAATATATAAAAGTGAGCCTCGAGCTGCCAAGTAGCAGATACTCTATAAACTTAAGTGCTCCTATGTTATATATGTTTACACCTATAATGTAACTAAGCTTAAATGTACTCTTTGTTCAGAGTATTTGAAATGCAGGGCCCGTTCGTTTCTTGCCCAAGATAAACGAATTATACAAAGATAAAACCAAAAACTAAAAAAAAAACAACTTGCGAAATTTTCAGCGCGTGCCCAAAATAAAATTAAAACAAAAATAAATAAACAGTTATATATCGAGTCAATATTTATGCAGAATCAACAAAAGGCAAAGTGCAACAGCAGCTGCTGCTCAAAAGAGGGGCACGTTGCACGTTTCATGAAGCATGTTGCATAGCAGAAGGCCCTAAAGCGAGATACTAGAAAAACGGGTTGCAAGAAAAAAATATGAAAGCTTGTAAAAAAAAGCAAAATAGCAAAAGAACAGCAAATGAAAAGCAACTAGAAGACAAAAGCCAAACGATGTGGAAAATATATGAAAGCGGAAAGGCAGAGGGTAGGAAGCAGTCAAAGACTTTGCCACAACTTGATGCAAGTGGATCATATTGCCGCAATATATTGGGGCGTGTGGAATGCAAGTGGGTCAATCAAAAACTAAATAAGAAATTTGATTCCAGAATCAAAAAATAAATAAACAAAGAATTTTAGCAGCTAAGAGCTTCAAACTTGGCAACAGCTTCAAGCCCATAGATGGAGCGATTTATTAATTATATAAGTAACTATATATATGTGTATATATGTATATATAGATGTTGTCTTTATCGCCCACATACGTGCTAATAATTAGCGCAACTTAGAAGGCGACGTAAAGAAATGGAACAAGCAAAACGCAAATAAAGTTAAGATACAAATGCAGATATAGATACAGCTAAAAGTACAGTAGAAACTGTCTAGAGCGAACAGCTATTTGTTATATAAAAATCACTGTTGCCCGCATTTAAAGTTCAAGTCAAGAACACGCGCTTGCGCTTTTGTCTAATGCGAAAGTCTTATCCAACGACTTGAGTTCAGAGACTCGAACTTCATTGCCTTTTGTGAGAGATCACTGTATACAAATACAGCTACATACACATATAACAGAGAGCTACAGATACAATTGCATACACAATGTAAAGATTCAGATACATTATACAGAAATAGATACAGTTACTTGTACAATGTAGCGATACATATACGACTAATTCACATGACTATTAGGGCTTGTGCAAATCTGAAAGCTGAAACTGTTCTATAAACAAAGATTTCAGACGATGCCAATCAAGCTGAAATATATAAATATATACATATACATATGGGGCAATGTATATATTGAATTTGAACAGACGGATACGAACAGACCTGCGTATTGAGTGAAGCTTGGAACACTTGATACGCGTGTGAAAGACAAACACAATGGAAATACTTAAGCATAGCTATGTGGCAAGAGCTACTTAACTAACTGGAGAAAACTAGAAATAGGAAAAACAAAAACTAGAACAGCAGCTGTTTTTGTGTTCTTGGCTGGTTGACTAAAAGAAGATAAAGACAAATCAATAACTATTTAAAACCTGAGCCCAGAATGAAGTAGCTTTATAGAAATAAGAAATCGCAGAGCTTTAATATATGTTATAAGCCATTCATTTCCACAAGTGTTTATTATGATTTAAACGAAACTTTGATATGATTATAATTTAAATTAGATACTCATTAAAGCGTTAAAACGTTTCATTTTCTATTAAGGTCTACACACAAGATCTATTGGCATATTATTTATACAATTTTAATATTATTTACTAATTTTCAACGTTATAAATGATAAAATGATTCAAAATTTAAATATATATATAAATATTTATTATAAAGTGTATTTTGTATTTAATAAATATAAAAAAAATTAAATAAAAAATAGATAAATGTATATATCTACATATTTATTTAAATTTCCTTTTATATATTGTAAATAAAAAATATATTTTATATTAAATATTTCATGTGTCTCTCCACTAAAATTAAGCTCACATCAAAATTAAAAGATAAGAAAAGAGTTAACTAAAAATATTCAGTTTAGATAAGAGAAGGCATAAGAATGTGAAATTGTGCTGATAACAGAGCTTACAAAGCCAATAAACGAAAATGAAATCATCAAAAGAGTAGCATTATTTTGTAGATAATTACGCCAAACATATTTATCTATATGTCTGTCTACTAGTGACTTTTTAATTTGCTTTCCATTACAGTTCCTATAGAATATAATCAAAAGAATGCTCACTAAGCCACCAGACTATACCATCTCAGAGCTGGGCTGCCCCCAGCTGCAACAGCATCTGTGCTCTGATAGCTGCTGCAAGAAACTTCGCGTACAGGCGCCAAGTTTTCGTCGCAGTCCCAGTGTGACCCCGAGTCCGAGTCCAACTCGTCTATTGCCACTTCGCGAAACGCTGGCAGATTACAACAAGCGGCTGCTAAGTGAAGAGGCGGAGAGCTGTGGAACAAGTCGGCAGCGCCAACAACAACAACAGAGGGAGTTGGATGATAAATTGGCACAGCAGAAAAAGCAGAAGAATCTGTGGAACGAGCAGCAGCAGAAACAACAACAGCAGCTACAGTGGACAAGACCGAGGTAAAATAAATCAAAAACTATAAAGCTATCAAGGTTTTATTGTTTCACTTCTCTGTTCTTTCATTTGCTATCAACAGCAGTAAAAAATGTCGAGATATAGCACAAGTAAAACGAACTACTTTGCTGACTTGCGATTTGAATAGTTTCTGATTAGCTAGAAGGAAGAGACGCAACTGGAGGTGGAGCTGGAGCTCCAGAGCTGAACTACAATAAATTAAGGACTGATTAAACGTGCTAAATTTAACATTAATCACTGTATACACATTTTCGCATAGACCTTTAAGCTAATTCTAAGTAAATCAAATAGGCAATAACACTTCATTTTATTGCATGAAATGCAAAACTTTTTATTTTTAAATGGAATTTCAACTGCTCATTAAAAATGTAAACGGGCTATGGCAGCGGGTACTGTTCAGATACAGATAAAGCTTTACGTATATACGTCTATACAGACACAGAAACAGATACCGATATAATTCTACAGATACAGCTATACATACAGCTACACCGAACAGCAGATACAAATTCGAATTCAAACAAAACGTAAACAAAACAAACGCGAAAACAGCAAATTAAAGAGCCAAAAATGGCGACGACTCTACGGGCATCCAACCTTGATCATGAGCATGTCACAACCAAGGGGCGACTGTCTAGGGGCGCGGCAGGGTGGGCCATTAAATTAGCGTTTTCGGACGTGCTCTCTTTAAATGGCTGGAATTGTGCACACAAGCTGTGCCCGACTGAAGCCTCGGGAAACGCTCGAGATCTTGGCGAAGAGGCGACAAGCTGTGTGCTCTACAAGCGGTAAGCAATTTCAGTAAATTAGTCATGTAATCTACATATTGTAAAATTAATTAAATTACATTCTTAATCGAAATATAGGACTTCCTCAATATAATTTAGAGCAGCTTAGAATGTTGGAATCGTTCATGCTCCAAAAACAGTTCAATTATTTTTGTTAAGTCCCAACAGGGGACTGCTTCAATTTTGGAGCTCTAGCACTAAAACTGCGGAAAGTAAAGTTTTAACAATTTATATTTTATATTTTAGACTTATGATTGCCCTTAGAACTTAAAATAACAGCGCTTCTTTTACGCCCGATATAGTATTGCCCGATTGCCATGCCATTAGAGGACGTATCGGGAAAATCTATATCCTCAATAGACTCTACTCATTCACTTCACATTTATGATATTTGTTATTTTCAAACTAAAAGGGCAAAAGAAAAGCGATGAAAAAGTTTAGATTCTTGATTTAGTGATCGAATGATAAACCTGTAAAGCTGTAGCAGAATTTGTGAATAGAATTTGCTTTATAAATTTTCTTAGTTTTCAAAAACACCAATAAAAATCTTTAAAAAATTGAGGGCTCCACAAAAGCATACTAGATAAAAGTGTCATGCACACAATCAAATAATTAGTGATCCTAAATATATTAGTGATGAGTACATCAGTTTCCATAAAGATACAGTTTCCATAAACATACACAGAACAGTAGATATATTCTAATAGTTTGCAGTCATAGTCATAGTTTCTAATACGAAATCAATTAAAATGTATGATACGTCAGATGTCAATACTATAGCTAACTGCTCATCAAATCGAATAGATGACTGACTGTAAATATATAATAACAAATTCTTCCATTTCAAAACTTAATAATTCAATCTATCCTAAAGCTAAAAAGCTACTAATCCGCTTCAACAGATTAATGACCAGATAATGCATCTATAAGCTTTATATACTGTTACATGCTAGTCTTACCAAAAAGTCATGCTTTTATATTAATTAAAAGTATTTAATTAGGTATTCTCATCGTAAGACCTCATAAAAGTCATCGTAGCGCATCAACAACTTCTTCATATGGCAAATAAAAAATAATAAAGAACATAAAACCAAAAGCACACATTTATCTTATAAAGAAAAACTGTCGCTATTGGTTAAAGTTGAAGGTCTGGAGCTGTGGGCTTGTCGACTGATCATGCTCTTGATCTTTCTACTTGAGTTGATTGAATTGTATTTGCCGTCTTACATCAATTGGTAAGGTTAGAAGAGAAATAAGCGGATTATATAATATATCAAAATATTATAAAATCAAAATTGGATCAAATTCGCAAACGTTTTGTGTTACCTTTGATGAGAGCATCGCATAGAAGGTAAATCTTGCTGCTGTATCTACAAAACTACACACATATGTGTGATAGTGGAAATGATGGAGTTACCACAGATTAATACCCAAGGAAAATCGCTGCTGATCCCTACATACGTGACCAGTTTAATTACGATAGTTTTAAAAAATAACTATTATGCGACATACAATGATCTCGTCTTATTGAACTCACCTGAACAGATTGTCGGAAATGAGCAAAGTTTCGATAGATTGTGCCTCAGCAGCACGCAGTACATGCTTTTTGCCATAGAAAGCCTTGGCTGGTTCACATTGCAGCATCATATAGAACACTTCCAATGCTTTAACCTCACCCAAAGCCTTTGTATCAGACATTTTAGCTACCACAGCGGGATCTTGCAGAACCTCTGTGAAATTAAATATTAGTGCACATTATAATTTTAATGAATCTATAGTTTTATGTACCTCTGAGGGAATGCTTAAAGCCAGAGGATGCATGAACCAGCATGAATCTGCTCTTGTTATCCAACAACACCTTATAGTCCATTTTGACCGCCTGCTGGAACATATAGTCGTAGAACTGATCTCGCACAAAGCCCGGTGAAGCAATGAGCACACATTTAACTATTTCAAAGTTAACATGCCGTAATATACTTTGCATGACCTGTTCATAGAACTTGGCCAGTCCCTTTTCGTGCTGCTGGACATTGCCTTTGCGTTTACGCGGTATGGATACCTCGATTTTGCTTCGCACTAGCGTCATGCTGGCTGTAATGAGGCAGACATGCGCCAAGCCCTCCTGCATAACAACAGCCGCAACATCCGCCGACTGGGTGGGATCGCAGGCCATGTCAATTCGCTCCAATGCGATTGTGTCCCACTCCGGCTTACGCAGCTCAAATTTGCGATTCAACTCCAAATCGAGCGTATGATAGGCACCCATTTTTACATATTGATTCTCTTCAATGTTCCGACCCTTCAGACGCAGCACACAGGCCTGCGTATCAAAATCGATGCTCTCCACAGCAATGGTCAGTGTAGTGCGCACTCGACTGCTGGTGGATGATCCGGTGGCCGTTTCATTCTGTACCTTGCGTATGGTGGTGCTACGGACGCTGTCACCCTCAGCAATTAGGTTGTAGGCGTGCCACATGTCCTCTGGCTCCTCAGGCACGAGGGATACATTACTACATTGCATTGAATGACACTGCATATTTTATATACACATATTAATATCAGATATCCTTACCCCTGCATGCCCTTATCTACGTATTTGCCAAGCAATTTCATGTTGCAATTTTTCTTTTTCGAAATGAAGGGCCGCCGTCTGTTACCAGCAGAAGTTGAACTATTTTGCTGCTCCTCTTAAATTTGTTGTTGTTGACGTTGCGTGCTTTATGTTTCCTGCTTTTGTATGCTTTTTGTCACTTGCATTGAATTAAATGTTTCCTTAAGTCAACCGAAACGTTAGGCATTGTTATTAGTTGTGTGTTTGTCGTTGAACTTGACCAACAAATTATTCTATGAAAATTGCCAAATTCCACACGGCGAACTTTTTGACATTTTAAAACAGCTGCTCGTCTAGTGTTGCAAAATGGTTGTGGACAAAGCCATGCGCTCAACTATCGAATATCTAGCAGACATCTAAAAAGATGTTAATTTGTAAATAATATAAAGAACGATGCTATTACAAAATACATTTCCTTTATTAATGATACAGTTTATAGATTTGTACGCATTTTAAGAGTCATCTCTTAACTTAAACTAACAGCCTTTCAATTTCTTGCTGTATGGATGTAATCTGCGATTTCAGCTGACTGCCCTCGTTGGTGGTCACAGAGCAGGCTACAATGGGACGAGAAACACCACAGGCACGGCCCAATGCCTGCTTGGAACGTACAAACACATACGGCACATTCTTGTCCTCGCACAGTAGCGGCAAATGCAACAGAATCTCAATTGGCTCCGTATCACCGGCTAGCACAACAATATCAGCCAGACCCCGATTAAGTGTCTTGGTGGCCTCGTTGGCTCCCTTCCTCAGTTGATTGTAGTTCAGTGCCTGTTGCAACAAATTCATAATCTTGGCAGTCAACTGGGCATCAGCCAAAGGGAATGCTTTGGGGTTCACCTCTTCGGTCTGTATAAAGTTAATGCTTGCATTAGTAAAACATGTTAGCATTGTTATCAGTATTCAACAACATACCATTTTCTTGTTTTTTATTGTAGTTTCTTTATGTATATTTATAAAAAATTGAATGCAACCTCTCGGCTAAAGTGCTTCACTGAGGGGCAGAGTTAAGAATGAAACGTTTGTAGAAGCACGTGCGTTGACGTTATTTGTAGCGCTTTGGAGCACTACAAAATTTGGGATATTTTGAACAAGTGGCAACGTTACATGAACATCGATAAATTTCCTACCGATTAACTTCAGCGCCAAATACGAACTGAAAACCATTAGCTGCCTAATCTGCATATTTTGTTTACCAAATACCTTTTGTTCGGGCTACTAAAATGTATATTCAAATTAGGATATAAATTATTTAGATATATAAGCAAGTTGAGGTTGGAGTGGCCCTTAAAACGGATAATTTTCAAAGTCCATTCACACTCGGTCCGAAGGGTTTGGCGAGGTGTTATTTGTAATTTCTTGATATCTCCTTAGCCTTGCTCAACTCATGAAGCAATCGATGGGATCCAATCATAAAAAGAGAGCTCCAATCAAATCACCGATCCTCTTTAATGGACTGATTCAATAGCAACAATCCACTAACAAAAACAATATGATCAATGTCACTTAAAATCCTGTGTAGTTTATTGTGATTCGTTAATGTGAAACACAATTAACACCATTTAAACATGCCCGAGCGTACGCCAGTATTGATTACCACTCAAAAGAAAACACAAATTTTGTGACTCTTACGTTAAATACAAAGGAATTCTCACTTTTTATTACCAATTCATCTTGCATTCAAATTTATTTAGAAGTTCCTGAAAGATGAAAATAAGCAAGTTAGCAAATTTACTATTCGGAATAATTGAATAGCAACTTACTTGGTAATGAGACCATCCTTCTTGGCCAGACGGACAATGCAATCGTCGGATTCGCCCATGCGACGGATTTCACCGCAAATAGCATAAGTTTTGGTTCCGTCGGTTTGGCGGCCGGTTTCGGGATCCACAACAACGATGCTTAATTGCACAGAGGCGTGATCCTTAGCGTGGATGATTCTGTTTGATGCCGAGCTGCAACAACAACAAAATTATCCAGTTGCCAAAAAGGCGGCTGCAACTGCTGCCGTCGCTGGACGTGGAAACACGTGTTCAACACTCACCATTTGCGGGGCACGTACAAATCAACATTCTCACCGGCGTCGTTCTCCATTATGCTGTAATCCAAAGTAAAACATTTAATTAGTATTTTAAAATTCTTTTCATACGCATAAATGCTATTTAACATACATTTTTGTAATATTTTACAAATTAGCGACCCAACACTCGTCAATGGAGGCTGAAAAGAGAAAGAGTGAAGTTGGCTGCGCTGCAGGGTTGCAAAACTATCGATAAGACAAATAATTCTTTGCTGTGCACAATTAAATTTACAAATATAGTTTTTGTTTCTTAAAGAATGCAATCTTTCTATATTAAATTCAGGGAAAATGCTTGAATATAAATTCAACAATATTTTTATTTTAACATGTATTAAGATATTTAAGTAATTATAAATATTACGGACAATATATTTATTTTCAGTCGAATTTACCGTTTACAGTATAAACTACAATCATTTAAAGTTCAGCATCGGTACAAATTACACTACTTAATATCTTTAACTCGATTGCTTGAGCTTAATATAAATTTTGATTAAGAAAAATAGTTTTACACTATCGATTATTACTATCGATTGTTCTAATCGAATGTATCGATTTCTTGAAAGCCGTTCATAAATATTTATTAGTCGTTTGGCAATGTGAAAGAGAAGTGCTGTGTTGCATCAAATTTGGCGCCGGAGCTTTCACGGCCTTAGCGCCCATTGCTAAATCGGTAGCTATTCAATTCATAGCACTGTATCGATAGAATATAATAGTTAAATTAGTAGCTAAAGTGTTTGGGTTAATTATAAATTGGATATAAGTGAACGCGCCCATTGGTTTCTCAAAATGTAAGTATTGATTTTGGACAGAGGCTGTGGCGTCGGCGTCCTTGATCCGGTGTCAGCGCTGATTTTTCATCAATGGGACTTCCGTAGGACTTTGTGTGTATTTTTAAATGAATGTGCGGGGGTGAGCTTATGTGAGTGCTTCAGTGTTTGAGTTTGTTATTATTGCACATCAACACGTCTGGCGGAATTATATGTTTGCTCGAGTTCATGTGCAGTGTGCGAAAGTAACTTTTAATAATTTGACCATTGTTTCAAGTGGCTGAATAAGACTTGTGGCCTACAGCAATATATAATATATAATAAATGAGTATTAGGCATGGGAAATAGCTGTCATCATATATAATATAAATGTATTTTTAAACCTTTCCAAAAATATTTAATAATTCAAATCAAAAGCTGTAACAGTTATTTTTAACATATGAAAGCACTTTGATCCGAATTTACAAACGCTTAACATAGCCATTCGATTGTAAGATCTTTTTATTTGTTCAATTTATTAGTGCAAAAAAATATATTTTATTATTTTTGACGTTGTTTCTGGGGCTATATAAGTTAAAGAACTATTTTTCATACCAAGAAATGGTTATCTATTCTATGTATGACAGTTAATTTTATAGTTAAGACAAATTTCTAATAGCATTAACATACGAATTCAAGTAAACAACAGTTTACTTTCAGCATAACACAACACTTGACACACCTTAACATATTTTTGAATTGGCAGCCGTTAATTAAGAATCCACAATGTTAACGCATTAGTTGTTGATTAAAGATCCAAACTAGTAAATCTGAAGTGAGACTCTCATATTTTGCTTAGCCAAATGAAGCTCAAAGAACTTAGGATATTTTCATATCAGAGCGAACCTGGTTCTGCTATACAACTTTTTGCCTTGCCCGCTCAGTTGCCTTTCAACTTTCGACTCGTTCGGTTGGTCCACGCTACTTGCTCCACCAAAACATTAGCGGCGTGGTCGTCATATATGTATGTAGTTGGTGTTCTGGGGTACGTTGCAGTCGTAAATATCTGGAATACACTTCACAGGGCGCCGGCGGACAGCCTCTTGACCTTTATCTCGTATGTGTGTGTGATTTTTGCATATTGTAATAAACGTGAAAAGTGTAAATTTATGCGCTAAAAATGAGATCATTTAGCTAACGTGTGCTGCTATTTATAAATTATTTATAAAAAGCATATAACAAATATTTGTCGCCCAAACGGATGAAAGCGAGACCAATTGATGAAATTGTAATTTTATGAACTTTAAATAGTTTTGTGTTTGCTTATAATTAGACAGTATAATGTTATTATTGTTGATGATGTCGATGTCCGTATGATTTCGAATATGAGTAAACAAAACCATAGTAATTGTTGGCATAGCTATCAGATCAACTGCTTGTTAAGGGCTGTCAACACAAAGCATTTATTATATCAAATACTTATCTCGGTAAGCCTTATACAGGTCAACCAAAGCAAACTACTTATTAAGCCCCAACAATAGACTAGCAAACGAAAATACTTTGATAATGTTAGACTAGGGGAACTACATACTTAATATGGCGGCCCCTAACGGCCGTAGCTTTATAAACTTGATATCGGATGGTGATAGTCTATCTCAGAATATATGTGATTAAATTCTAAAGTTTGAATACAACCAATTATAGGTGTTATCAAAGATATAGTAACTCACAATTAACCATGCCTCAAGTGGGCGTAGCGTTCAAATCGAGACATTCCATGCAAAGTTAAGTTAATAATGTAACTGAGCCCACGCTTACAGTTGGCCTATCAAAATAAATGAAGGCAAAAAAATATATTTTCAGAAGAAAAACTCAACGCGGCAACTAAAAAGTAATTAAACTGAGTTCACGTTTGCTGCTTAAATCTAATATTCCCAAAAATATATAAAAAATGTAAGTACAGTATGGTCTCGCTACAGCAGCCACTCGCTCATCTGTACAGTTAAGTTGTTCGTGAATCTACAAAATATGAATCTCTGTTCAAATAAATAAATTTATTAATATTTGAGCTCCAATTAAGCATCAAATCTTTATTTGTCTGGATTAGCGAGGCTTCACTGTACCACTAAAAATGTGATGTCAGCTCCAAAATGCGTGCCTGCTGTGCCGCATGTTGTTGATGACGTCTCAGAGAACATGTAGAAAACTTTAAGTAAAGCACTTTCTAGGTCAAAAGTTGAAAGGCAACGAGTCACTCACTGATGATGATGCTTATAAAACCAAAGTAACATCAAAAGAGAGGCCAAAAAAATCAAAATGTGGTGTGCATGGGAAACAAACAAACCACTAAGCCAAGTAAATGTGATGGCAGTAAAAGTCCATTGCCTCTGCTTTGCTTGCACCCGGCTTCGCCCACCTGTCAATTGACGATAGGAAAATTGAAAAATTAAAAGAAAAATAATAATAATAATTGGCCGCAACATGCAAAATGCAAAGAAATTGCCTGGCAATAAGAAAAATTGAAGATAATTGCGGAGCATTTAACTAAGCCAAAGTAGCTGAGGTAGAGTCATTTAATAGCCAAGTGAAAAGACATCGAAGATGCAGTGGTAACTGGCCAAACAGAACGCAAGAACTTGCAACTCTTGTATAATGTATGCATTCATATATTATTTATTCCCTTGAATTTGAGCTTGGGCTTGGACATAAATCCCATTTAAAATGGCAATTCAGGGTGTATGTGTAGTAGTTTGATTGAAATGTAGTAAGTAAAAACCTGAACCGTGTCTAAATCTATAATGTATATTCTATAATATATATATATATAATGTACATTCGTGAGCAGCTGAGTTGGCCTTAGTTTAGCCACAAAATATGTATAAATATATTATTTATTAGGTCCTTCCTTCAAAGCATGTGCCATAAGAGTTCTAAAGTTCTATGTTCCACGTTCGTTTCAATGACTGTTCAAACAGTTTTGCTTGACTTTGGTAGTCTCGTGTACTTTTTACTGTAAGCAAACGCAACTGAGCGACTAATAAACAATTTATTATTGGTCGGATTATCGGATTCAGGTCCCTAACTAGACTAGTCGATAGCTATTTGGTCACAACTTTGAAAAGAGAGTCCTTTCATTCAACACCAGATATTCTTAGTGCTTTCCAATTCAAGATCTTAAAGTCGTCTGTGCATAGGCAAATACTTTGCTTTTTACAACCTATTCATAAAGTGTGTCTGCTCTATTATTACGGTCTCCACTCTAATGGCATTGCAGTTCCATGAACCTTAATTCCCATGAATCAACTGTCTATTCTGTTCACCCTGTAATGCTCAATAATTATTTAAGGACCTACTATAATTAGATCCTTTGGGGCCCACTTGTTTGAAATTGCATGGCAACTTCTTTTCTTACCTATTCCCTTTTGCATGTTAGGGAGTTTTGTTGGTTGGGAAACCTGTCGACTGCCAGATGAACCCACTGCCCACTCTGCTAGCATCTACTAAACATACGCCCAGCAATCTGTGCAACTTAGTCTTGGCTTGCCCCCTCATTTGGTTAGCTTTGCTTTCCGCATTTGCTTATTTATTTTCCTTTTATCTCTTTTTGCAGCGCTTGAACTTGGCAGACTTTGGAACTGGTCGACGGGTTGGTCGGGCGGTGAGTCCGACGGTTCCTCGATGATGATCTCTGATGTTGTTGTTGTTGCTATTGTTGTGATTTGATTGGTGCCAGTTACTGTTACTATTGTTGCTGTTGTTGTTGCTGCGCTATTACTGTTAACTAGAAGTTGTTGGTGCTGTTTTCTGGTGCTCGACCTGCAGCTGGAGTTGGAGTTGGAGTTGGAGTTGGAGCTGGAGCGGCCGCATTACACTTTGTAAATCGGTCAATGGTAACGGGCTTGTAAGCAGGTGCAACTACAACGGAGAGAGCCAGAGCGAGGAAGAGCCGCAGATAAATATAAAAAAAAAGAGTGAGAGGCGACAGCAGCGGGCTAAGCAATCAAAACATGTCACTAAAGGTGAGTTTGACCCATATACAGTCGCTTGCAGCAAGTTTCCTAAGTTGTTCGGGAGGCAACATAAATAAAATATATTTTTAGAATCCAATAACAATTAATAGATTAGATAGATTTGATCCTATAAATCCATGTGCCTTCTTATATATAATACATTCGAATTGACAGAATACGCCTCTCTATAGTCGTCAAGCTATTCAAACTAATATGATATAATAAAGTCGAGATCATAAACCTATTCAAGTTTTTACGAAACAATTTAAATGTCACAAGAGTCAAAAATAAAGGAAAAGCAACGCCTTGCATCAATCAAACCTATATTACATATATATGCGTAAGCTAATCAGTGGGGGCCGTGGGAAAAGGTGGATGGATTCATATACTCTATATATATACATATATTCAATAACCATGGCTATATTTCGCACTCTTTTATTCTCAAAGCTTTCGAGCATCTTTCTCAGCTGCTTTAAGCTGTTCCTAAACAGTGAATAGAGCATCAGATAGTCGGCTATAACCGATTGATTGGCACTAACTGGGTTTCTTGGTTGTCCGCTCTTACACTTCTAATCAGCCAAGTCTTAATATAGCATCTGTCTGTTTAATATATACCCGATTTAGAGAGACTACGTTCTTATCATAGCTTTCAGTTCTTGCGCCTTACTTTTTGCCGATAAAATCGCATTGCGTTGCTTTCAGCTCTTAATTTGATAAAGCTGATGATATCTCGACATCACTTAAGACTTGGTTGCATAGAGATTATACAATGATAGGGCATCTGTCCGTCTGTTATATCGGACTGCAGTGAACTTACTTATTTGTCTTAGCTCTGGGTTCTTAGTCTGCGTTTTGCTTTAATTTTAGTTCAATAAAAACACATTAGTCAAGCTGATAAAGCAAGTTAATATATTATACTTGACTATAATTGCAGAAAATGTAAGTCAACGGCTGAGTCACAGACACTTGTCGCACACACACACACTCATGTGTGTGGCACAGTCGTGTCTGGCGCTTGTCTTAAGAAGACTAACAAGTACTTCTCTCACCTGCTGACATTTTGGCTTGTCTATAAATATTGCAAGCATCATCATTATCATCATTGTCATCATTATTGTGTCAGCTATGTCAGCATTTGCATTGTTGCCACACTCTGTGGCAGCTTGAGTGATGTCATGTAGCACTTGGCTGTCTGTATTGCCTTTGTTGTCTGTGCTCAACAGGTGCCACGATGCCTCTCACGTAATGCGCTTCATTTACTCACGAGTGGACAGTCTCAGTCTCTGTCTCAGTGTCTATTTAAACAGTTCAAATATTTATTGTACGTTTATTTCCTCTCTTCAAATACATTTGTGGACAGCACAACAGCTAAACCCCAACATTAGCGCAGTTGAGTGCGTTTTAACCCTTGTGTGTGCTTAGTTTGGAGAGCTCTTTAGATAAATAAATGAGTTAAATATATAGTTAAAGGTAAAGTTGAAATATGTTCGATTTCAGATGTCAACCCTTCATATAGATTAGGTTCTACTATAGGCAATACTAAGCAAACGAATTTTTAATATTAATTAAAATTAACAGAAATTTATTAGCCAAGTAATCAAGCAATAAGTTTTATTATAGATTGATTAAAAAAAAAAATAAAATAAATAAGAAAATGAATTAAGAACATAAGAGTTAAATTTTCAAAATCAATATATATTTTTTGATTCGTACACCCCAATAAATGGACCATGTAATTAACCAATCCATTTCTTCAAACTTATCTCTATAGCTGACGAAGATACTATCACTTAGATATTTACTTATCTATTATTATTACCTTATTAGATATATAGCAAATATGAAGCGAAAGTCTTCCTGTGTGTTTATCAGTGACATACAACTCTAAGGTGAAAGAGCGTGATTCTCCAGTTATTATTTGTATGCCACTGAAAATGGAAAATCGGGGTATAATGGTTTTGTGCAAATGTATGTAACAATCAGAAGGAGGCGTGCCAGATAAAGTATATATATTCTTGATCAAGACGACAAGCCGAGTCGATTGAGCTCTGTTCTACTGTTCGTTTGTGTGAACGCGTCGATCTCAACATCTTTAAGAGCTAGAGACGATATTTTATTTTAGGTCCGTGTATAACAAGCGCCCATCAAGTTTGTTTCAAATATTCGATATCTATTCCCATTCACATACATTTAAATGTGAGTCTTCTTTTCTACTCCAAGAATCGAAATTGCGATTAATTCTGCTTGAACTGTCAGCTGTTACTTAAGTTGGGATTTGCAATTTATTGCTCAAGCGGTGCAGCGGCGGTGTTGGTAGAAGCAAGCGAAAAATGTGGATTCGAGCTATTGCCTGGGGACGAAATGTCATTTTCAAATTTTTTTATTTTTAATTATGAAGTGGGGTTGCTAGTAGCTGGTTCGAATATCGGTGTCGTAATGTCGGTTTTATGAGCTTTTCGTTTTTTTTTAATACTCGAAACAAACTATTGAAAATATGAAAAATAGGACTGGGATCAGGGTATCTCCTATTACACCTCAACTAGAGCTTTTTTACTTGCAATTTGTTTTACTTTAAAATAAATTAATTTGCAGTTAGCTTCCTCAGAAATGAGTATGATTTTTAGTCACCAAGCAGTCTGAATTAATGTGTACAGTGCGTCTATCTAAGGGTTAACACTCCCATATAACTGTCTGTTGGACTAAGCGTCCGCAAAGTACTTAACAAATGCATCCACATCCGTTCGATGTTTTCCCAGCTCTTTTTTGCTGATGTTTGTCTTTCTTAACTGCCCCTCTAATTACTTTAATTAGCTATGTGGGTAAACTAAGACCCGCTGTGTGGGTGTCGCATAACTCACTGAGGTTCAATACGAGCTGTGGATTCAAGTATGCCTCCCTTAGTAGTTGCCCAATTTGTAGTTGTTAATTAAATTATTTATGGTTTTGACTTCTTCAAATTGGAATATATTTTACAGAAGGAAACACCCTCGGATGTGATGCTTCATCTGGCAGCTCTACGTGGCGACGTTGTCGAGATGCGCCGAGTGCTCGATACTGGCAAAGTGCATGTCGACTGCAAAGATGAGGTGAGTAATGAGACCAGCGATACTAGAGCTGCTACAGCAAATTCAATGGAAATACGTCTTAAACTTGATGATAGTTGCAAAGGAACTCGGCAAGATTCTAGGGAATATATGTAAGGAGTTATAATTTGAAATATATTCTGAATATCTATTACAAGGGGAACAGTGATGCGTGAGGGACTTTTGTGGGAAATGTAAGACAGATTTCTGAAAATCCGAATTTTTCATCTTCTGTATATTAGTTTATTAGAAAAGATGAGTGAATCGAAAGAATATTGTTTTTATAAATAAAGAAATTAAGAAGAAAAGAAATCTAAGATCTAAATGCTGTAGAGAGAATCTAAAGCAGGCTTGGTATATATGTTTATATATATATATATATCTTAGTTTTTGTCATTGTCATAGAAGCTACAACATATTTAGTTAAAGATATATTTGCTAACAAAAAATCTGTTTAATTCAATGAGCAGTTTTAAATTATATAATTGATGTATCATTAACTCAACTGCTTAAATATTTGTGATAAATTCATTGCCAGCTGTTTGAATTGGTTAATTGAGCGTCCAATGAATTTAACTGCAATTGTGATTAGTTTTCACCAGTCAAAGCGAAATTCAAATTATATCGTTTCGTTGCGTTATACCCTGTACTCATTTCTTAACGCTGGTATATTGGGCTGGGATAGTCAAGAGAAACTTTTAATTTTATATTTTTACTGTTTGTTATGCGACAAACTGAATTTTATATATATTTTATATATATATATATATATATATATACATATATATATATATATATATATATTGTCGCAAATGAAATTTATTCAATTTCTTATTTATTTTATTTTCTTCGAAGATCTGAGAGAGAAGATGCATACTGAGATTATCATAGGGAAATAGCAAACAAAATGTTTATTTATTTCATCATTTGTTAGCTTAGAATTGAGTGATAAATGTAAAAGACATGGAACTTATCGTCGTTTTGTGAAGCTTCTTGCAGGGTATCTAGCAGTCCAGACACTTTTGCTCTGCTTTGCTGCTCGTTTCATTTCGTGTTGATTTGCATGCGTGCAGCTGAGCGAAATCGGAGCGAAATCTGTCCGAGCTGTTGGTTGCAATTGCAGCTGCCCCGTTGGGGTGGCACAGTCACGTAAAATTAGGGAGCGCAGTGAGCTGTCGAGGCCAGCTTGCCCTTGTGAGCTGTTTGCAGCCATGCCAGAGAATATGGCCAACTGACCAGGCCTGGCCAACTACGCTTCGGTATTTGCTTGCAGCTCAATCAGCTGACTGAGCTCAAGTGAAATTTAGTTTTTATTTAATTTGTTTTTGTTTTATTTTCGCACTCGATTTCTGTGCCAATCGGTGCGTACTTTAGCAAACGACGCCTTAACTGGTTTAAGAGTGAAAATGAATAGTAAAAATATATTTTTTGTAAGGTAAAATGTTGTAATATTTTGCAAATGATTTCATGGTTGAATCATTTTGCTTATTATTGTGTTATTGTGAATAGCTTTTGTAATACAAAGTGTGTCATTTTTCGTAGCCTATAATTTCAATATTTAAGTGGGCTTTCTTAGTTCCTACTGTGTCTTTTAAAAGGTTAAAACTTCTAAAGAAACATGAATGTGGAGGTAAACAAAGGTATGAGAAGTATTACAAGACGCCATTTGTCGAGTAGAAACTCTTTTAATACAGTCACAATATAAGTAAAATAATTATGAATTCTAATTAATTATAAAGTAACAAATAAAAAACTTGTAAAAGTAGAGCAAAAGCCAACGGTCAATTCATTAAAATCAATGTGAGATGTTTAATCTCTTAAATCCAGTTTATAAAGATTTATTTATTTATAACAATTCAGGGTCATAAGATGCTACTCTTTTTAATAAGAATTTGACAAATCATATCTCGCACGTCTTTGGAGGTAGAACTACCATAATTAGTTTCATGTGTAGTTTAAACAATTTCAATTTAGTCTTGAATTGGAGTACAGTTGCACATATAAACAAAAGTTAAAACAGGAATATAGGGATCATGTGCTTACCTGGCATTTAAATTTTTGCATTTTCACTTTAAAATAATTGAGAGATTAAGGTCCTTGAGCTAGGCGGTGACTAGACACCTATCTGGTTACAGACACTCTTGCATGTGATACTCATAGATAAAATCTAGTACGATGCAGCTCTTGAAAAATCAAACAATAAGGATGACATATAAGAATTTATTATAGATACATTTTTATTTGATCAGAACAAGGTAGTTTAAAATCAAGGCATGGAGTCTACTAAGAACTTGTTTTTCTTAAACTTAAAATATGCCAAATAAACGCATTGTCAACGGCAACTTGGCTAACAGCAATAATCTATATATCTCTCTAAACGCATTATATATGCTCTCTTTGTAGGATGGAACCACGCCTCTTATTCTAGCCGCAGCTGGTGGTCATATCCATTGCGTTCTAGAGCTTCTCGAACAGGGCGCCGATCTGAATTCGCGTCGCTCCACAGGCACCACTGCTCTCTTCTTTGCCGCCCAGGGCGGACACTTGGATGTGGTGCGCATTTTGCTGAAAGCACGCGCTAAGGTCGACACACCCTCCCTAGACGGGGGCACGCCCCTTTTTGTAGCTGCCCAGGGCGGACATGTAAAGATCATCAGAGAGCTGCTGGACTGCGGCGCAGATGTGAATGCCAGCATGAAGGTAAGACTGTTGTAACTGAGCTATCATTGTATATAATGTAAATATATTGTGCTTTTTTCAGGATCGCGCCACACCCGCTTTTATAGCTGCACAGAATGGTCATCGTACGGTTTTGTCGCTGCTGATCCTGGCCCACGCCTCGATGGACATCAAACGTATCGATGGAGCCACCCCGTTGTGGATCGCGGCACAGATGGGGCACGATCACATATGTAAGGTGCTGCTACAGAATGGAGCGAATATTGATACAGTGCGCTGTGACGGTGCCACGCCTCTGTTTAAAGCAGCCCATAAGGGACACGCTTCGGTGGTCACAGTTCTTCTCAAATATCGCCCGAATCTGGGCCTATTGCCCAATGGGGAGACTGCTCTGCACGCAGCTGCCATGTTTGGCCACATGACTGTTTGCAAGCAACTCGTGGCAGCTGGAAGCGATGTCCTGCTTAAAAATCAGGATGGCTTAACAGCCATGGAGTTGGCACATCACGAGAACTACGGTTCAATCTGTGAATATCTGAAGGAGCGAATGCGTGCGCTAATGGAACGGAATACCTTGGCCATGGCCCAGATGCGTTTGTCAACGTAAAGGCGATCCAATAGAGAAATATGTACGAGTATACATTACACGACCAAATCGAATCCCTTAAAAGTACCTTTTCTGCACAATATATTGGATTATTTATTCACTTAACTTATGATTAGAAATATGAAACAGCAAAGTTCTTTTGATTGCCACGGAGTTCGATTGGATATACTAAGTATAGATAAGGGTACAGAAACTGAATTATCTGCTATTTTCATTTGCAAATGACGCAGCTACATATCCTGAATACAGTATATTCACAAATTAACTATTTGTTAATTCTAACAAATCTGTATACTATATATTAAAATATGTTTGGTTATCTGTCTATCTAAACATTGGTATTTGATATTTGCAGACTTTTTATTAAATTCTTGTACATATTTTATATGCAGAACAATTTGATTTTTTAACTGTCAAAAACGTTTAATATCAATTCAAAAAAGTACACTTATGCATATCTCTTAGAATTTGTTGTCATTCAAACACAAAATGTATAGAACGTTTCTATGCTTTTGCCCATATAAACTAACTATAGTTAGGGTATTTATTTTGTGCCTATTTTTGATAATTTAATTTATTTAAATTAAATTTAACTTTTTAATGAAAATGGCATAATATTTAGACAACAATCACAATCGGTCTTATTCTCATTCCCCGCAATATAGCTGGACTAAAAGCCAAATCATAAGTGACCACGGTGTTGTCTTATCGGCTACACTCAATTCGTTAAAAAATGCAAAATGCAATGCTTTCAACTTATGTACTTATTTGACACAAATATTTTTTCAATAGCTGCTTAAAAAATGTTTGTCTACTATGAGAAGAACAAAACTATAATAATTTAATCATATTGTACATACATACAAAACCGATCCATTAAAATAGAATTCTTTAGAAATCATTATCTATATCTATATCTACTTAAAGTTAAGAGTTTCGTGGCAGAGGACACTGTTTCATTTTGTTGTGCAATCAAACTAGAGAAAAGAATAAAAAAAAACTTAAGATCAAATAAAAAACACAGAAATATGTGGCCAAGCTAAGCGAAGGCTAAAACACCGATTCCATACATATAAATAAATACCCAGATATTATATCATAATATATGTATTTATCTATACAACTAACTAATTGGAGCTTGTATTTGAATTTACTATTACGATTAATACCATATTAAAGCCCATAAATATATATATACATATAAATATATATATAAATATGCTATGAAAACTGTTAACATGGACCGTCGTCGTCCTTTGTATATAATTATATATATATATATATATATATATATATATATATATATATATATATATATACATATATATATATATATATAATAGATTCTTACTTATAAATATATATATATATATTTATGCATTCATGTAACCCTAAGCAATTGTTAACAAGTGCTTTATGTTTATTCGCCTTTTTGTCTAATCCTAATTAGCTATATATTTATATATTTTTTGACTTAATTAGCTATTAATTATAGTAAAATGTTTTTGTCGATTTTTCCCTATTGATTTATGCTCGTGTACATTATATGGCAAATGATCACAATATTAAATTAAATATGAAATTCGTTTTTAAATTGGGCGGGAATTTCAATAACATTCTGTTACTCACTTAACGAAATGTTATCTTAACGAAACTGCTACTGTTACATTCAGCAGATGCACGCACCCACACTAAGTACGGGCACAGCTATCGACGGTATTTGTTTGCGCGCGTATTGCTAACAATATTACCCAAGAGTTTCGCGTCTTGTAGTAACATAAAAAGTAATGTATATAATGCACTGATAATTCAATTAGGCTTAGTTCAATGGCGTATAATACAATAATATAATCAATTACAATTGTGCACAATACAAACCTACTCGAATTTACGCAAAACAGATGGGTTCCGAAACAGTTTGACTTGCACTGTGTGATCAACTTAGTTTTATGTCCATGGTGCAATTATGTACACATGTGCAGACATTGCAGTGAGATGTAAGAGGGCCGCTTTAAGAGTTACGCACTCGTTATAAAGAGAAACTGTTGCAGAATTTGTTGTTGTTGGTAAGCTTGGTGGAACATGTTGCCAATGTCGAAGAGCTTCAAACGGGCTGCAAACGGATTTCAGTGTTCAGTTCGCTTTTTCTCATCATTGCGCGTGGACGTGGAGGCCGTCGTGTCTCTCTTCTCGTTTCATGTTAGTTTGTGTGTGTAAGTCCAAGCGAGCGCGTGCGTGCGTATGTGAATTACGTATGTGTAGGTGTAGTCGCGTGTCGTTGAATTTTACAAAAGCAACAGAGGCAGCAGCAACAACAATAGCACGACAAACGGTAGCGGCAGCTCCAAAAGCGGCGAAGCAGCAGCAGCAACATAATCAAAAAACATAAAAACAAACAACAAAAAAACGAACAAAAAATTGTGAAACGGAATATTTTTGGTGGCAAGTGTTCTCAGTGTGGCAGGCGGGCGGCGAAAATGCTTTGGACAATAAAACAGGTTTGCACTGTGGTATGCGAGCGCACGAACAAGAGCGTGAGCGAAAGAGCGAGAGAGCGCAATAGAACGTTCTCTAAGAGACCGAACTTTTTGCGAAAATGTACTGCATATGTTAAAGGGTGGAGGGTGAAGTGAGGAGCTTGTAGAACGCAAAATACATTTGCCACTTATTGTGTGCATCCTTTGGCAAGGTCTTTCGCAGTGCATGCGCTTGAGGCTTTCGTCACACTGTGCGTTGCTGCTGCGAACCAGTTTTCAATGCGTTTGTTTTACATATTTTCGATTTGTTGCAATCAATTGGAAAAACCGTTGACGCAGAAGACCGTTACTTCTGGGTTGCCAAGCTAAATAGAAATTCCAGGCAAGCAATCAGTTGCCCCCTTGGTCGTTCCCTTTTGCCCTGCACAAAACAGCTGAGCTTTTGCAGTCGAGCCCCTAGCAACAGCGCAGCAGAAGCTTCTCAGCTGTGCAGCCGAAGCGCAGGCGCCAACTTACATATACATACACACATGTACACATGCATAGGCTGTTACTTCGAATTTGACCAGTAATTGCATTGCTGCCATCTCGCTCAGTCGTATATGTATATGTGCAGTAATACATGCCGGAAAACATTTTTTGTTCTGTTTTGCAGTCGCTGTCGCTGTCGCAGTCACTGCCTCTGCTGCCGTTACTGCTACTGGAAGCTTTACATAAGTTGACATTTTGCCAACGTTATTAGAGCTCGGCTGCAGGTCCTTTGCACAAGTTCTAGTAACGCGCTGCGCAATCAGCTGCTGCTGCACCGCTTCACAGTTCGCCGTCGACGTCATTTGCAACCAGACGTTGACGATTTTTGCAACTTGTTTCGCGTTTGTTTTTTTTCCGCTGCGTTTGCGTTTTGCTTGAAACCGGCTCTCAAAAGGTTTGCTGCTGCTATTTTTCAGCTGTTTCGTAAAAAGAAAACGAGAAAAGAAACTAATATAAAATTAATAGAAGAAGAAGCAGATAAAGCGGAAAGTAGAAACAACAGGGAAAGGTTCTCGACTACGCATTTGTCTGTCTTCAGTATAGCCGTTATAAATAGTTGTGGAAGGACTTACTCTATTGTATCAGTAACTTTAAAACTGTATTCGGCTTAATCACTATAAGGCTGACTTAAAACTGTGCTGCGCGAGGAGATGCGGATGCAAAAAGTTAATCATCTTGATTACCAAATTTCACAAGAAAATCTGAAAATCTGAAAAGACTGATCTACAAACAGAGTATGTTGGGGGCTACAGTGGAAACTTATACAAATATGACTTCAATATTCAAATTTTTAAGCATGTGAGTTTATATTGAAAGTATAAAGTATATTTTCCAAAGGGCACATCTGAACACTTATCCACCCGCTTGTCCCGTTGCGTGTAGAGTACAAGCAGAGTACAACCTAGACCCAAGTCGTTTAACCACTTTTAATTTGTATACGGTTATTTTTTCATTATTATTTTGTTTTTTTCTCATTTCTTTACTTTTTTTTGCCGTTTGGCTCTTTATTTTTTGCTTTTTGTCAGTGCGTGGGGGCCTTTCGAAAAGCTTAAAGAAAAGTTGATTTATAGCGCACCCTCAGACAAACTTGCGACCAAACATCGCTTAGCCTCTAGCAAAAAATAAATAAATAAAAATAAAAAATAAGTGTTAGTAATTTAAAAAAAAATAAAAGTAAAAGTATAATAAACAATGCAGATAAAGTGGTAAATGAAAACCCGTTACTTTAAATAGCAAAACAAACAAAAAATAACAAAAATGTGAATTTAGACGAATCGCAGAACTTAAAGCCAGCTGCTGCATAAGTACAAACAAAACATGGCCGCCAGGATGTACAACAAATACAGCAACTTCTAGCAGCGACCTCAACCACACGCACACACACACATTTACATATGAGGCACCCATACAGATGTACAAACACACGCAACACGAACGCAGGCAGACGGCATTTAAGGTAAGTCGTAAAATCTTTGGTTGAAATTCAGAGCCAGTGTTGGTTAATTGCCTCGAACAGACAAAATTGAAATACCCTATATTTGAATTATCTTTGAAGTTGTGCGTTAATGTTCAAATTACATAGCTTGATATTCGCAACGGTGCTGTTTAAGTGACTAATTAAAGTTTATTTATTCGAGTCACAAGCTTAAATATTTTATTATTCGACTATTATCTTAGTTTATAATTTTGCGAAAGGCAACTGCAAATTTTAAAGTTCTTTTTTTAAGAAAAACTGAGTAAAAACTAAGTTAAGTAAATAACACACACACACACATATATATATATATATATATATATATATATATATATATATAAGTCTGATCAGGATTACTAATTATTTTTAAAATGAATTATATATACTTAAATTCTGTTGCTAAATGATATGTTGCATATTATAAATCTTCTGCCAGTATTATGTTAACAATCTAGGCAGATAGTTATTTACCAATTTATGGTGAGAAGAAATCTTATCCTATGCACTTCAACATTAAACGTGAAGCTTAAAAAGAGTCTTCAATACATTTTGAAAGTCCTTGGGGTTAACGACCTGTCCTACTTCAACACAAATCTATTAATTTCTCCTAAATTTTATTGTCTTGCAATTATTTAGCGAGTGTCAAAAAAGTAATACGAATTGGACTTTGTCGTCGTCTACAGCTCAGCTATTTTTTTCTATTGTCATGCTGTGAATCGCATGATGAATTGCTTCGTTGTTTTTAATCAATCTTTCAGTCCATGTCAAGAACTTTTAGTAGCTTTTGCCATACATACATATGCCATAACAGGTAGAAAAAACATTAGAGACTAAATATATTATATATTATTGAATTGGATTAATCGACAACAATTTGTCCTTATCTAGACTTCAGCTTTATTTTGAGGAAAAGTCAAAAGTTCCAAAAAATACATAATATTTAAAAAATATAATATTGAATATATGTACAAATTTATTTGTGATATTATTAAAGAAACTAAATTTCATAGGACTGTATAGAAAGATATATTCTTGATTCCAACACTCCAACATTTGCACAAATGTCAGCAAAGCTAAAGATTGTTATTATTTAATTTTTACTTTTTTCATATATATATATATAAATTATTATGATATATAAATTATTTTCCCCATTAAATAAGGCTGTGTTAAAAGTCAATTCATTTCATTCTTGGGGTTATTGTAAGCTCCAAACAGAAAAGATCGTTCGCAGAATGAAAGCGCAAGTATTAATAAAGAGTTCCAGGGTATATCACTCTTTCGATTGCTGCATACCACCTTTTTCTTCAGAGCATCACAAAACTTTAACAATTGAGTGTTGTGCATTTTTGTGTTATTTTTTATCGGTTTTGTTTTTCTTTTTTTTGCGCGAATTTTTTACGACTATTCGACTGGGGTTCAACAGCGAAGTGAGGGCAAATTGTGGCCAATAGCGACCGCGGGCTCATTCAAAAGCCCGTCAAACCAGTCGCAAGCCATTTGGCTTTTGCCTAGCCCAGCTGGACAGGCGAATGGTAGGACAAGAGGGAGGGGGGTGCGCTATCTCGGGCTATCGGGCTGGCCAACTCGCTGACTGACTGGCCGACTGGGCCGTTGATGACTTTTTACAAAGCTAAAGAAGCGTTGGCCAAACCAAGACCCAGACTCAGACCCTAAACCAAAACCAAACAAGTAAGCGTGCGCTTATAGAGAATGGCCGAGTACCAGATGCTCTGTAATTCTATACATACTCTATATATAGATTTATGCCATACATATAACTTCTGTGTTTATTTGTTTTATTTAACAATTATACACAAAATAAGTTACAAAATTATCATATTTTTTATTTTTAATTTTATTTAAATCTGAATTTATCGATTATAAATAAATATTTATCGGGTTTAAATGTTTGAATGTCTATATTTTTTAAATTTTTTTATAAAGTATAAGTTATGTAATACTTATCGTTTATCAAGAGGAGATTACGATATATATCAAAGTACTCTACGGTAAAGAATACGCCAAACATTTCCACAAAATCATCATACCCTATTCACGCTCTCATTTACAGTGGGAATGGGATATAAAAAAGATACGAGCGCCTCACGTATCTAAACTTGTTTCAAACGTGTTACATTTAAGAACGTTCGCCGCAAGCGGCAAGTGGCAATAATCCTTTCAAACTGACAGTGTTGCCATGTCGCAGCAGTTGAAGAAGAGGAAGAAGCAGAAAAAAGAAGAAGCAGCTACAGCAAAGGCAGTGGCAGTAGAAGGGCGGTCAAGTGGGTGTGGCACATTGACTGAGTTTTGCTTTAGTTCGTACAGCATATGTGTAAATTTTGAACGAGAGGAGCTTTTAAAGTTCAGTGACACAACTAGAAAATAAATAAAACAGTAAAAAAAAATTTTAAGATAATTTAATTTATTTTTCCAAACATATTTCTTCATTTATAATATATTATGTTAAATCTTAATCAGTTTTGTTTTCCACATTGTTTCAGTAAGTGATACGCAACTAATATGGCCTCATTTGTGTTTCAATTCCACGTTGTTTTCGAAGCCATTGAGCTCGTTTTTGTATTATAAATAAAAGCTTTTTGAGTACCACACTGTTTCTGAAGCTATTAACTAGAACTCTAATTAGAAGACTTTGGTTATATCTCTTTCATTGCAATTAGTTTTATTGTTTCATATCAAAGTCAAGAAAACAATTACAAAAAAAAATATTTTTTATTATTTAATAAACCAGTAACTTTTAATTTATTTTAGGGTAAAAACTATTTATTTTATTTTTCGAGCTTATTGAGTTGTTTTTATTTTTGCATGTTCTCAATACTCTTTCTTCAAATATGCAATACTTATAATTTCCATTAAAACTTTTAAAACTGCCTTCTGATGTGTGTCTATCCTGTCCATATGCTGTCTGTCATTGTCTGGTTCGAGTTCGCAGACATTTTGATTGCCTGTTGTCTGTTTTTTATACCCTGAATAGATTGAAAATGCGAATGCAGGGTATAAGGGTTTTATTAAAATGTATGTAACAGGCCAAAGGTGCCATAAAGTCAATGTGTGTAATCCTGCAGGCGCTTGATTAATGTCTTTTTGCTGATCCAATTTTTGGAAAAAAATTCTTTTTAATTGTGAAAATTCTTGTTCGAATAATACGTGTTAGTTAACAAATTTTCGAACAGCTTTTACGCTTTAGTACATACCTATAGAAGACTTGAATACTCGGGGTTCAGGGTATTTCCTAGTAGGGCACTGTCGTCATAAGGTTTTTACTTGTTTTTTATTCTTTTATTTTGTGTAATCATTTATTTTTTAGCCGCCATGTTGTGTTTGGGGGCAGTTAAACCCAACCGATTTGGTAAAAGATTTGTATATATTTTTTTTTTATTTTTACACATTTTCATTTATATATTTTTTGCCAATAGCACACAAAAAATAAAAAAAAAGTGAAATTGATATTTTCGCACAAATTGCCTTTAACAAGTTGGCAGCCTAGCAACAAATATTTTGGCTATACCACAAATACTACCCCTACTCTCGCTAGCCAGGTGAACGGGAAATTGTTTACCGTGGTTCCAAAATGATGTAATTTCGCGTGCTCGTGCAATTCAATTTCCTGCTAGCGGAAGCGCGCGTCGCTCTCTGCTCACCCAAATGCAAAAAAATAAACATCAGCCCCATTTCCCTCCCAAAAAAAGAAATAAAGAAGCAAAATCGAGCACCCTCGAGCACACAACTTGAAAAGCAGTGTTCAAATTGTTTGGCAGTTCCTCTTCTGTGCGCTCCAACTTTAATTGTGCCCTGCACAGTGCCAAAAAATAATCGAAAAAACGAGAAAAAACTCATCAAATGACATGAAATAATAAATAAATAAGAAATCAATTCTGTAAAATTTGCCATCTAAACAGCTTATCCGATTTGCCTTTCTGCCATTCAGTCAGGCGCAGCTTTCAATAAAATATATCACATATCATTTGTGTGGAGGTTACATGAGCTAACGGTTACTTGACTTTAACATGGGCTTTGTCAGCTAGTTGTACTTTATTGTTAGCTCAGATATATAAATGTATAATTCGTAAACAGCAACACTTCCATAATTATTTTTCATATAATGTAATTAGTATAAATTACTAAATATTAAAATAATTTTTTTTTCAGGCTAAATATACTTGGAGATATTCCTTCCATATTTATTTTCTACTACTACGCCCATACAACAGTAATATAATTGGCATAATATATATATGTATAAATATATAATATATAATTGTTTAATATCTTATTCCCTTTTAGGCTATTCCCTCTAGAATACGAGGGACAGTGCTCTGTAGGGACGCATTATACAATTAGAATAACTGAGAATATTGAGAGCAAATATAAGTATAAAGTATATAAAAACAAAAAAATACCCGAATTAATAGGTGTATATCATGGAACTGCTTTATGATGTGACCTCCATAGTAACTTTTTCACAACGATCGTAGAAATCGCTTTAAACCATAAAAAAAAAACAATATAAAAATGGTCAGAGACCGTAAAGTATACAATTCCCAGTCACATTCTTCTGGTTTACTTAGTTTCTGAGTTATAAAAAGCTGTTCCAGCTTATGTAGTGTAGATTTTGTGCGGTGTTGGTATGATATATTTGAATGCAATGTGTGGAGTGTTGAATTTTCAAAAATGTTTGGCATATTTCGCATAAATAAATTACATTCAAAGCTGGTGCTCTGGCCAGGCGCTGCCATCTCAGCCGAGGCTCGACTCTGGCTGCCCGAGCAGCCTATATTAACAATAATTCCTTAGTGTTTGGCATCTTGCCAAAAAGTTTTTGTACTTTGTTTGCCCGCACAGCAGGCGACGAACGTTTTGTGGCCAATTTTGGCTGCAAACGGGGAGCTGTGGGATGTGCCATGGACGCCGTTTTGTGACCCATTGTCAGTTGAAGTTAAATGCGACGCCTGACACAAAAACCAAAATAAACTGGAAAGAAGAAAAATATATAACACGGAACGCTGCTGGCAAAGGACAACGCACAACTTACGATGGTCATTGCACAATGAACACCATAAAGTCCGGACTGAGGACTCTTGAGTTCCAAAAGTGACGTTGTCAACCATTCAAAATTCTACACTATTGCAAATGTCCTAAAAAGCGAAAAGCAAAGCCGACTATGAACCTCGAAAGAGTTTTTTGCCAGCTTTATTTGTAAAAGATGAATCTCAGAGTTCACTGAATTTAACATTTATTTTATTGCTGCATTTACAGGACTCCATTGTTGGCTCTCCTGTCGTCAGCTAAATATGAAAAATATGAAAAGATCTATGAGCATCCCGTTAATTGAATAATTATTATTATAGCAGTTGCTGCTTTAGTCAAAGGAAACTTCAGAGTAAACTTCTTACAAAATCAACCTATTTTATACTTTTTGATAGCTGTATTATTTTGATAGCTGTATTATTTTGATAGCTGTATTATTGATCGCGTATTTTGTGTATTTTAGATGTTGGATACTTCCCCCTCTTCGCCATAACTTAACAAAAACTACCTGAGACTTGTACTTGTACAAAAACAAACATTTATGTGTGGTTTGAAATAAATAAAAGTAGCGTATAATGATTGGAATATGACCACTTCGCAGGGTTCTCCTACTTGTTATTATTATAGTATTTCAATTCATTTGTGATAATAGTTTCGTTTAAAAAACAAAATATTTATCAGCTTATCGGTTTTATAGATTAACAAATGAACCTAAATCTATTCAAAAATAGATTTGCAAATCATTTTATTTAAAGCTCAACGACTCACAGCTTTCTCTCCCTGGCTGTTGAGCTGTGATTGCATCTGTTACAAAAAACACTTGTTACAGGTGATTTATAAATTTATTCTGTATTTATCGATACTATACTGTCGATAAATTGCAAAGGTATTTTTACGAAATGCCTTATTTGAAACTATCGATAACTAACAATATATATAAATCGATGGAATGACTATACTTTGATATATTATTTTAATATAAAATATTTTAAATATTGGAGCGATCATGTATACGTGAAATAGACAAATTTAATCAGCATATCTAAAAAATAATAAATATTTATATAGATATTTATATTTATAGATATTTATGCGCTAATTGAAATTGCCGAAAGACGAAATAATAAAGCCAATGTTTTATCGATGTATTCGATCCATGGTAGAGTCTATATATATAAGATCATATATAAACCTGTTGTTTCACTATTAAGTTGGTCAATTGCACAAACACCTTTTAGATAACAATTATTGAAAATGTAGCGATTTAATAGTACTTCCTGCGTATTCAGTAATCAGTAATCCTAGGCAAGTTGCAAAACATAAAATGAAATACGATAAAATTTGAATGTTTGAAGAGATGATTACGACTTATACAAAATGCTGCCGCTGACTGTTGTAGATATAATAGTAACCGCCATTGAAACGCAGGGTGACCATATCGTTGGGCGTTGCCGGAGTCTCTGCCACACTTAAGGGACCACGCAACGTGGACTGGGTAAGGTTAATGGTGCGGTAGAAGAACGCGGTCAGAAAGCTGGCACTAATTACAAAGGCTATAAAGAAGCCAAGGCAAAATACGCAATCCTTGTTCACCTGCAGACACAGGCAAAAAGCGCCAGCAAAGTCGCCCAGGGTATGTCTGATACGACCCAGCATTGTGATCGGCCGCGGACGTGCTGCATAAGCTGAAGACGTATTGGCGCTAATTGTGATTGTATGATATCTGCGCTCACAGGGTGCCGTCGTATCTAAATGAGCTTGTTGTTGTTGTTGCGATTCGGTTTGTGTCTGTTGTTGTTGTTGTTGTTGTTGCTGCTGCTGCTGTTGCATCTGAGTGCCTCTGCCACTGATCTTGGGTCTGATTGTGCTGGTGACATCCACCCGCAGACTATTCAGTGGTAGCGTCTGCGTGCCCAGCTCACAATTTTGTGTCAGGTGTAACTCCGTGCAGGTGCAAGTCTCCCCACGATTCACGCTAAGCACGTGCTCCTCCAGATTGCGTGTGTACGAGTCGAGTAGTCGTAGAATGCGCTGCAAACGCACATCACTCGATGTAGGTGTAGATGGATGGATGGATGTAGTTGTTGCTGCCGCCGTTGCCTGCTCCTGTTGCACTGCATCATTGGCTTTCTCTGCATCTTTGTCAGCCTCGCTAGCTGGCAGCATATAGTCAATCATGTCCCTGACCAACGCCCTTGCGTCGTCTAGCTGCTGGCGTTGTTGCCAACTGCTTGCCAGGGCGGCGTTTGCAAATCTTTCCTCCTCCAGTGCCAATTGCAGCTGCAGCTGTGGCTCCCGTGGTGCCTCCGCCGGCAGCTCGTCCGTCTCCGTTTCATTCACATTGGCATCGGGCAGCAGCACATGCCGTTCACGCTGCTTTTGGTTGTCTTCGTCCATTGTTAATTTCGGCTTATGTACTTTTCCAGAACTCAAACTAAATACATTTTAAATATTTTTGACATTTCAACAGAGATGTTTCATTTGTTTATATTGTTTTTAATATGTTCGTTTTGAACTCACAGTTTTTGTAAAAAATTCGAAATTGTATTGCTTCATGGCCTTTAGAGCGACAAGTAGTGCCATCGTCGTAGACAGCCTGATAGCTGAGTTAGTTCAGGAGGTTATTTGCGATGACGATCTACTGACGAAGGAATCGAATCATGTTAAAACAGGGCCATGCCAAAGGCTTTTTGATATATTTGGCATAACACAATGCGGTCAACAGGACAACGATGACAATGTCAAAATAGAAGTTGCTCAACTGGACCATTTGATGGCTGAAGAGTGCACAGAAACTCCGTCTCCGATGAATGCTTCATCCGGTTATCAGGCCAACACTCAAAATCAGAAATGGCACAGTTGGCTGCCGCAGGCTCTGGCTGCAGGTAAATCATCGATTCCGATCGATTAATTGTAATTGACTGGGAAAGTTGCGAGACTTAGCCAATAGCTATCAGCTGGCTTACGTCTTTAGTTAGCAATGCAGCTAATATATATTCATAACTAAGCTGCTAGACCTTTAACTAATTGCTCGGAAATTTCTTTTTCTTGTTCCTTTTCCGTTTAAGGCAAACGGAACTTTCTGTCCGTATAAATTATTTTAATTAAAAGTATATCAAATTATCATTTTAATTGAACCTCAAATAACTATCCTGGTCAGCTCTGATACTTAATATGTAAGCAAAAAACTAAGCTTGATCGATGCGTCCATCTATGTTCCGCCAGCTACTTTGATGATCAACTACTTTCCGCAGATTGCTCTGAAGATGAGTTGGAAATTTATCGCTGCCAACAGAAGTCAGTCAAACCCTCAACAAACATCGCATGTCAAACGGAACAGCCGCGTATCCGGAAACGTCATCATTTACCAACGACAACGACAACAACAATTGAAGATCTGCCAATTCGGGGCGTTCCAGCACCCTGTGAATTAAGTCGCCAGACACTATTCATTGATGCGATGTCCGCGCCAACGCCCAGCCTACAGAGCCGTCCCCCTTTGGCCGACCGCTTCTGCTATATGTTGACCGATTTCGCATCGGCTCTGTACTGTAGTCTTGCCATCATGTGCTGTTGTACCCCCAGTATGTTTCGATAAATGTGGGTGGGGCTTAAGAAATTTATAATTTGTCACTTAAATTGCATTTTAATTATCGAGAAACAGTTCGTGGAATTGACGCCTGTGAGCAGATACGTGTGAGCCTATGAAAACGTCATTTCTTTATACTGTTGTAGTTCTTCTTCTCTTCCAGGCTGATAGGTAGAGATCTTGCATCTGATAAAATGACATTTATTCTGTAACTGTGAGTTAAAACTGATCTTTATTTTGAAACGTCCTTATGACAAAATAGTAAGAAAATCGTGCATCTAAGAAAATTACCAGATCTTTTTAACGGCATTCTCTCCTAAAGTGATCTTCAAATTCATTTTTTCGACTTCCGAAAGACTGATAATGAAAGGAAGGTGTACACCTTCCTTTGGTTATCATTTATCTTTCATTAATGCTGCATTTGAATTATCATTAATAATTAAAGGACCAACTTGGTGGCCAGAGGCACGCGGCTACGAGTGGACGCGATTGAGTGAGTGTTTCACATCCATTTGGTGATTGATATTCCCCTCGAGGAAGCTATAATAGTGGGCGATGATCAGATATAGACACCAAAGGCAGAGCAGCACGAAGAGGACATAGGTGAAGTTCTCGCCCATCATGGCCAAGCAGGCGATCAGCGTTTGCCCTGCATCGTGCAACACTTGCCATAGACGTTGACGCAGCGGGGCGCGCTGCAGGGCAGTCGACGAGCTAATCGACTCTACCTCAATGTGCAGGGTATGCGACTGAGCTTGCAGCAACTGTTGCAGTGGCTCCGTTTTCTTTAACTTCTCCAAGTTGGGCTTCAGCACTTTCTTCTTCTCGACTCCATCCGGCCAATGAGTCTGGCTGGCCATCTCGCAGGTGAACTTGGGCAGCGTGCAGAGTAACGTGCAGTCCGACAGCTGCATACGGTTCAGACTGACACTGGTCTTCACCTGATCACTGCAATCACCTGGCGAAACAATAAAAATTATCTGTCAAAACAGCATGAGTGGCCTTGAGATATCCTATAAACTATACATAATTAAATGTTCGATATAATTTCATTGCTGCGAGGCATTTGGAAAGGTAAAATATTTTTTATTTGCGATTTGCACTAAGAAAATTTTAATGGGATAAACGAGGCCCGAAGTGCAATGTTTAAGGTCGTAGATCGGACGGTACATTTCAATATCATGTGTAATCATAAGTTAGACTGTTCACAACTGTCAAGAGTATTCGATAGCTGCTTAGAACTTATTACGGTTTCTGTTAGATCATGCGTCAGTAAATATCGATATGTATCGATTTAGATTAAGGTCATAAATCGGACGGAACATTTCAATATCATGTGTAATCATAAGTTAGACTGTTCACAACTGTCAAGAGTATTCGATAGCTGCTTAGAACTTATTACGGTTTCTGTTATAGCATATCGATATGTATCGATTTAGATACTTTAAAGAGAAGTCTCTACTCTGTAATGCATATTTATATACCCCGCCTTTTCTCACTTACTGTCTTCCACTTGGATATGCGTAGCTGTAAACTGCTCGGACTGCGTGCGCTTCAACTTCGGCTGCGTCGCCTTCTCGCTCTCTTTCATGATCTTCGAGTAGTCCTCGAAGAGATTGAGCAGTTCGACAAACCGATCAGTGATCTGTTTGTGGCTTACTTGCACTTCGGCCAGAAAACTGGACGTCGGCTGCGCTGCTCCAGCCGGTTGATTGTGCATCTTAATGTTTGGTGTGGATGGCGGATCTGTGCTAGATTCTTTCAGATTCCAGCCAATGTTCTTTGGATGGGCACTTAAGTCTGGGTCACACTCAATAACCTCCAGCTCGAGCAGCCCTGTTGTCCCATTGTCGGGACTCTCGTTCGTTTGGATGGGCATTTTATTTCGTCAAGATATGCAAATTTTGCGAGCTATTCTCTTTTTGTTAATATTCCTGTTGCTGTTATTCTTGTTGTGCGGTGTAAGTGTGAGTGTAATGGGGCTAATTCCGTTTAGAATTTTTAAGAGTATATTTATATGTATTCCGTATTTTGTCTGTCATTTCGAATATTTTCCCAGAGTCTGTCGGCTACTCGGTGTCAAATTATCAACCCTAAGTTCAACATCGGTTTCGTCTACCGGATAATTCTCTGTGCACTAAATTAAGCAATTTTGTCAAAGCGTCTGCTGAACTTTACTGTAGCTAACACCCCAAGTCCTGCCTTCATAAGTGGGCTGGCCATTGTCCAAGCTGGCTCCGTCCTCGTCCCCGTCCCCGTCCCCGTCCCCGTCCCCGTCCCCGTCCCCGTCCCCGTCCTCTCTATCATATGACAATTATAACGGTCTGCTGCACGTATATTGCATTATTTTGCATAAATGCATTTTACTTAAATTTTGTTTTGAGCCCGAGCGCTGTTTGGGGTTTGTCAAATTTTAGCTTGATTGCAAAATTTGCAACTTTTATGTTTCGACAGTTTTTGCCCAAAAAGAGACGAGCCTTGGCCATGTGCACATAGTTTTCAAATATATTTTAAGGATTGCAGTACACTGCGTAATAATAAGTTATGTCCCCTAATTCATAGTAGATTGATATAAAGTTTATATTATATTATATATTATGCCAGCTTTAGTAGCTTTAGTAGTGGCCTTACTGGAATATTATTTCATAATAGTTTAAGAATTTTTTATTACTAAACTTTGGTTGTTTCTGTAGAATTTAATTCTCTAATATTTGCATCGGTTGGAAATTTGATTTACGTCACAGACAAGTCATAAAATGTTAACTTATTCATTGAATGACCCGAGGGGCCGCTCAGCTCGAAAGCATTTGGTATTCGTTTTATGCCTCAAAGCTTTGTCCACTTGGTTGGGTGCACCTGCCACTGTGGCAAGTCTGTGCTCTTTCGTAGCTATTGGCCATTGATAATATTTAAAGGGCTTAAGTGCGCCGAAGATTTATATTGGGAAAAATCTACGTATCGGTGCAGAGGCAAAAATAAAAGAAAAATACAATTTATTGATTTTTTCGCACAGTACATTATATGTGTGTGTGCAGGTAAAGGTGTGCGTGGGTGAGCCTGTGCTCAGTGTGTTGTATGTTCATCGATGTTGGACTAACGCCTGCGCCCGTTTCATCTGCCTGTTTGTGTCTGTTTGAAAGGTGTTAAAGCAAAACAACTCAGCCCGAGGCACATCCCAAAACACTTCTGCCCCTGTGTGTCCCTTACCTGCAGATCAATTTAAATTTTATATATCACATTTGTTGCACACCCCAATGCCACACGACTGGCTAGACTCGTTAGACATGTGACATTTTTTTATATAACTCCGCTTCAATTTTTCCCGTTAGTATGACATTTTGTAGTTGTTTGAAAATATATTTATGATTTATCGCTGAATATTTTAGGGGAATCCCCTAAGATATGATATAGCTTAGTAAAGTAAATCGAACTCTTTCCAGAAATGAATTGTGCAATACTAGATATATTTTATAAATATATATAGTATATTAAAGACTGATAGCAACAGATTATAACTTATAATAACTGACTTATTTGACTACTATATTTACTACTATATTTATGTAAACTCTATCTAAATTTTTGATGCGCTATATCTCAAACTGCTCGCCAAAATTCTGTTTGCTTAAACACTGTTAAAATATATTTTAGCCGCATTCGCTACGTTAATTTATGAGGTGTTGCCTGATTATTCTCTCGACTGGGCACATAAATATATATCTGTGGAAACACAGCTTAAAGCCTGCGCTTCGTTGCCAAAAAATGTCGAGCTGTTGCCCCAGTAGCCTCTAAATCAGCTATATCTGCTGAGCTACTTCTACTCCCACTGCCTAACAACGGGCCATAAATATTATTTGCTTATGCTATGCTATGCTAGACTTTATACATATATATATATAGTATATTTTTGGCTTAATGCTGGTTTGTTTTCCATTACTTGCCTCGGCTCGCTCGTTTATCATCGCGTGGTGCAATTTGGTGTCTGCCCTGCGGCATGCCACATGAGTTTAGCAACTCGCCCGGCATGCATTCAATTAAGTCCTGCCAGAAGATTTTGTGCCGATTCCAATCCCGCGCTATCATCATGATTATTGCCACAAGATTTTTTGGCAAGCTCAGCCGGCTCATCAACTCAATATTGGAGAAATGAAGCCCTTGGGCGAAAAATCAAAATAATATCTTAGATTTATATCTATCTTATAGATAAACGAACAAACTTGACAAGTTCGGAACCAATTATAAGCTCTTAGCTTATTTAAAACTAATAATTATTTTTTTAGTAACACAAATAGAAAATATAATAGATAAGACGAACATTGTACACTCGCCCTATAAGAAATTGAAATCACCCAGAAAAGTTGATGGTAGAGTAAGCTAATATAATAAGCTGAACTTGATGGGATACAGTATTATCTAATTATAACAACAGTTGGCTATGAAGGCCATGTAAGCTCACAATATGATCTATGTAGTGCGCTCTATGGTCTTAAATCCTCGGAACAACTTCCCAGCATGGGCAACGCTAGCCTTTACTTATTAAAGATATACATCCATATTAATATATGTTTATATAGCCAGATGGAATCTGGAAGTCTATTCAATCTTAGTTTTCCTAGCAATTTAATAAATATTCTTCAAAAATTCTAAAAAATTCTAAAATTCTAGTGAAAGTTAGCTTTAATACTTAAAGAATTTTTTATAGATCAATTTTTGCAGGATATTTTCAACTGCTAAGACTTTTACATATCAAGTGTGCATAATATTGATATCTTATTGTTAGCTTTGAGCTTTTCTTCTTCTTCTCCTGTTTTTGAGGCATCAGCTCGACAATATTTGAACAGCTACTGCTCGTCTATTTAGATAAGTTTTCTTGTGTTGACTTTGCCTCGCCCAGGACACATACCAACTTATTTCTCATTCTTCTATATACCAACCACACGATATACATGACTATGTAGTAAATAAATAGTATATATATTCCAATTTATCTATGTGTATGTCACAATCGCTTACACCTGTCAGAGTCGTCAAACCATTTTCAGAGCGTTTGCCACTTGTCTGTAGACAATGGTAAAAGGTAAGTGAAATATCCGCTAACCACCTCTATACTCACTTGACTCCTTCCTGCTCGCTTCTGCAATTGCTACTGGCAATCAGTAGCTGGTTCCTGGCCTGTCCTCCTCTCTACAACTATCTAGCCCGGCCACTTGCTCCTTTTCTGCTGTTCGTCGACAGTTAATGGCATTTGACACTCCCTACGGCGTATCCACAAGGCGAAGCAAAAACATCAGGTTTAAATATTAAAAGCAAAAAAAAATTAAAAATGCCATAATACGAAAAAGGCTGAATAGCAGATACTCTGTGTTCTATTGACCAGTTAAGGCATTGAGAGCGATAGACATATAGTCGTGTCTGTGTTTCTAGACGGAATGAGAGCGCTCTAGTCGAGACAGTTCTACTAGGAGATACCCTGAACCTTGTAAAGAGCTGATATTCCTCCTTTTATATATACTAGGTCTAGAGATAGACAAATCCAAAATATTCAATGTCTTTGTATTCATTACTAGAACCTACAGGGTATATCTAAAGTCTCTAGTTCTTCCGCTATTCAAGCAACGCTTAAAAAACGTAGCCAAATTATTGATTTTTATCGGTGATAAGGAAAAGAAATAAGTCGAAAAAAGGTTAACTTGTACTGCACATGCAAAAACATTTAAAATTTCGTTTCAAGTCTCTGGCTTTTGTGGTTTAGGTTCACGTATATACTCTAGCTCCAATTTCCATGTGCAATGATTTCAAGGTATAAAACGAGAAAGCAAAGGAGAAAGTTAATCCAAATAGACTAAATTTTTAATTGCGCCTTTGATGACGAATAGAAAATGAATCTATAAAGTATAGTGCTGAAGATATGTTCATTTTGATGAGTTTGGTATGCTACCTGGATACTTCACTGGAACGCTTTATTCTTGAGTAGATCAAAAGAATTTACAGTTCATGAATTGTATTTGATATGGAATGTCTGAACAAAGAGTTTTTTCTTCGCCAAATAAAGCTGTTTTAATGGCTAAATTAGATCGGCTAAAATTAGATTATAAATTTTTTCTAAGTTATCAGAGGGTGTATGTTTTACTATCATATAACGTACTATTTATAAAATAATTTGTGTATTCCTTTTGCAAAAAAAATAAAATATTTTAGAGATCAGTCATCATTGGAGTTAGAAAAGAAAATTGATCCAGATCATCAGATTTATTTTTTGTTATTAAACATTTTTTTAAAAAGAAGTGATGTACGTCTAATAGAAACAGAAAGAACGTAATATTTGACTAATAAAGCTGCTGTTAGATCAGTAAGCTGGCTTGGTGCCGGTGCAGGCATTTCCTTAGGAAAAGAGAAGTACAAGGAAGCAGTATCAGGAGGCAGGAGCAAGAGTAGAAGCAGCAGCAATAGCGGGAGCAAACATTCTTGCACTTAAAGCCTGTGTTTGCTTAACTTTATTTGGTGTCCTCGCGTGGATGTTGCTATTTGCCAGGAGCTATCCGCCAGGAGCCGCACATGTTGACCGTAAAGCACGCACACAAGAATACGACGCCGAGTAGAGCAGGGACGGGTTGAAGGTGGCTTAATGCATTTAGCGTTGCTTCAGAGTATATATAAAGATATATTTATAGATGTATATATGTAGGTATATATACATGTATGTATGCATTGCCCAAGTCCTTTCTGTGGTCAAATTAAAGCCACATATTCGTATATTTTTGCCCAGGCAAGGCGAACTGCGAACGGCGAATGGCAAACGGCGCACGGAGGGGTTTGATATGTCTGCATGTATTTTTAATTAATTGCATGCTCGAGTCAAGTCGACGCGCTTCGTATTCGCCAGGAGTCGCAGTACGACGGGGTAGGGATTACTTCATACATCATACATGCAAGTGTATGAGGCTATGTGTATGTGTGCTGTATACCCTATATAATTGCCATGAGTTATATTTTCCCATTGGCGCGCACACTCTAATTAAGTTGATTCGCATTGAATCATGTTTGTTATTTAATTGAAAAAGAATTTTGATTAAAGAATTTGCGAAAATTGTTTCGAATTACACATGGCTCAACAATTTTCAACTGGGGGCATCAAGAGAAAGGGAGAGAGACTGAAGGATAATGGAAAGAGTAAATACATAAAGAACTGTAGTCATAATTGGATTGCCTTACACACCCTACTTAGACTAAATATATGCTATTCAAAATAAATCTATGACAAATGCCATACTTATCGTATTTTTCTGTACATCAAAGCACATTAAATATGGAAAAAATATATTTAAATTTTTACTGTTTGAGTCACTTAACTATCTTATCTTGTGAAAATGGGAATTATGGCTATAGTGGCTTTGTGAAAATGTATGTAATCGGCAGAAGGAGGCGTGGCAGAACGCCTAAAATATATATGTTCTTGATCAGGACGACGAACCACAATATCAAAACACTTGAAATTTTAGACCATTTTGACTTGTGTATACCATCTGCAGTACCAGTTTATCTTTTTGTCGATAATTTTCTCGTTTTTTCATTATCAATAAAAAATCGATAATTTGTTTTCGATTTTAAGCGTAGCTTGAATACCGTAAGAGCTGGGGACTTCATATATACCGTGTAGGTCACAGTAATGAATGCAAAGGCTTTGTATATTTTGGACTTTGGATACCCTTTCCCCACAAATTCGCAAAAAGACTTATTTCAAATACAAGAGAGCAACTAGATTCTACATATATTATGCCCTAGAAATTTTATTAGGAAAATCCATCTAGAACAAAAGGTATTCAACTTTCCAAAGTATGCATGTGTTTGTGGGCATGTGTTGTTAGTAATATATCTAGAAGAAGGGTAGAATGATTGGAATATCAGCTCTTTGCAGGGTATCCCCCAGTCGAGCAGACTCGACTAGAGCACTTATACTTATTTTTTGTCTGTTTTCCAAGTTCTCTTCTTGTATGCTAATTATTATCACACATCTACTACTACTAATCGAAAGGAATGTTTTTATATAATTCTTTAAGAATGTTTAAGCAAAGTTTGTACTTATGCCATAATAATTCCTACATTGTAACAAGCTTTGCAGTATCGCGCAATTATATCACGCAAGCTGTTATAGAAATGTGCGCTTAAAATTGAAGATCTTGAGCGATCAACACTTAATATTCAAAATTTCCTTATCAAAATTGAATTTTATATAGTGGCACATATGTCTCACATATTAGAAGAGTCTCTCTAAGTAATCTCTCTTGGTACCATTAGACGCTTATAGAACTTTTACGCAACACAAGTGAGGTCTTCAAGTCTCTCAAGTGTATTCAAGCTTTTCTCGTGCTTTCTCGTATATTGTTCTACAGCTTATAGAACATTCATGGCTTGCGTTACAATAATGCTAAAGCCGCAATTGCAACATGATTTGTGGTTAGTTGTAATTAAAGCTCAGTGGTTTGCTTTAGTTTACATATGAATTTACCACCTACAATTGCTGCGCCCCTTACACTCAGTAAATGTTTCGCAGCAGCCACAGTGGCATGTGTCACGTGTTGAGCAAACAATCCGATACGCTTTCCTCAATTCAAAACTCTCTCTCTGGCTTACTATTTCTTTTGATCACTGTCGCAATGCCAGAAACGAAAAATAATAAGCTGCACAACAGGCAGACGAGCTCCAGCCACAACTCAAATTCAAATTCAGATTACGATACCCATTCCGGCTCCAGATATAGCAACAGTAATGCTTCTCAGCGGCCGCAGGCAACTGACTTTACGACCAAACAGCAGCTGAAGCTGCGCGCAGGCGATCTACGTCTGGCTCGCCTGCAGATCAGCCTGGCCAAACTGCGGCTCGAAATGGAACACTCTGGCAAGCTAATCGCTGAACTCTGCAAGAATGTGGAAGTGGAAAAGAACACAGACAAGAAGCTGTAGAACTTCAGGACCTGCTTCAGTAGACGTCAAGTTTAACAGGAAAACTACAAACATGCTAAATTTATTTGTACAATTAAACATAAAAACAAAAAAAAATAAAATAAAAATAATTGAAAGAAATATGAGTAGAACAAAACAATATTCAGCAATTGATTGTAGTAGCCGCAAATTTGGGCTTAAAATTAATTTCAATTTAATAACTGACAAATGTCTGTGTGTGCGAAATTTCTATGATAAAAGGAATTGAAACTAAAATAATTCATTTATACAAAAGAAATTGTTTCGACTAACTAATTGATGATCGATGGATGGAAGATCGTGCAAAATGAACTTCCAGAAGTCTAGAGCAAAAAAAAGGGAAAAGAGATGAAACTAAGAGAAGATATATTTATTTAATCTTTATATAAATTTATTTTCTCTGTTTGTCTATTTTTTTTTGAACTAAGTAAAATATTTCCTAACTTAATTTTATTAGTAAATAGTTTCTGTTTTTTCTTGCAGTTGCTGGATATTGGATTTTAAGATACTAAGGAAGGCGGCGCCATGCTTAAAAGCAATCAGTTAGAATAGAGCACCAAGACTGTGGCAAGTGTGGAACGGAGAGACGCATTTGGGACAGAGGTGAATGTTGCACTCATATGTTAATAAATTGACGTGTTTTGCATGAGGTGGGCGTCAGCTTGATTTAAATTAAAAATATATTGCATACTTTTTCGCGCGCAGCCATTGGACAGAAAATAAATACAATCACACACACATGCACACATTCTATATATAAATTAAATTGTTGTGAGCCTCGACGGCATGCAGGCAAGCAGGCCAGCAGGCAGGCAGGCAGGTAGGCAGGCAGGTGAACATGGCATGTTATGAACTCCAATTTAAAAACCTGAACGTACGGGTTAAGGGCTCACAGTCTGAAACTGTTGGGGACCGAACCGCACCGGGGTAAAGGACACCACTCGGGTCGTCGGTACTTCAGCAAACCGTTTTTGATTACGCGTGTGTTATTCGCGTGCAACTAAATTAGCGCACGTGTAATCAAGTTTTTCAGCTTTTCACAACGAAAAAATGAATGCAAATGAAAGAAAAAAGTTAAGACAAACAAGTGTTAGTCGGTGCTCGACTAGGATATACTCTAAAATAGTGCTACGAGTAAGAAAGACTTTGAAAGAGGGTCTACAGGAAATGAACATGAAGAAGTTTAATATATATTAATTTTATATATTGTAAATTTATCTCTTTGTATTTAAATAATTTAATTTAAATGTGGCTATTAAAACCGAAATTCTATTTGTAGATTACGAAAGAAAATATACTCATTTGAATTTTCTTTCAGCAAATGATCCATATATATCCCTTGAACATTTGGAAAAATTTGCTAAATATACAAACTTTTTTACATATTGAATTTTAAAATAATTTAAGTATAAAAAAAAAATAAAGATAAATCATATAAGCAAAAAATTAAAGGACAATTGTTCCTCAAATTTTTTTAATTTACGAGGTCTGCTCGTACATATATTGGCAGACGATCAGCTGTTGCTCCTGTTCAGGAACGTGTGTCTGAATTTCAATAAACATTAACAGGATGAGATGAACTTGTTAATTGATGCTGAGTAGTAATGTCAGAATCTATAAAATGAAAAGGGTTTTCAGAATTTTCACAAAGTCAATGTACCCTCCTTACACATTTTCAGTAAGTATTAAGTTTATTAAGTGTTAACAACGATGCTCGCATGCCCATCCTTTGGAGAATCCTGAAGTAAACAGTTCGCAAAATGTCAACAGCCAATAGGGAGAATATAGAAGACATGCGATAATAACATAAATCACACGACAAAGAATTGAGGTTTTATAGAAAGGAGATACTCGTGAAATGTCGTACTGCTTGATATTGCAGGTAAAAGTAAATCATGTTAAATCGATTTCATAAATGAAAACATTATGCAACACTGTTTTGGGTATTGTGCGTGATAAATCGAAAACCTGCCACGTAATTTCCAAATGTCGCAAAATAGTTAACATTCCATTATTGCTTGTCCTGTACCATCTGGCAAATGAATGATGTCCCATGAGCAAAATTTGGTCTGAAGTAATTTAGTATCACAATGCAATTTGGAAATACCCATCATCACCATGCCAGATGCATAAATAATATGAGTATGATATGAATATAATATAGATATGAATATCTTGCTTGATGACGTATCCAACAGTCAGCGATTATAATAGATAAAGGACCTCTTACATAGAAAGTTACTTTTAAATCGAAGTAGTTTGAAAAGCTTTTAAACTGAAAAAAAAAACAACAAAACATTCGCTTGATAAAAGTATGGGCATAGATCAACGATCATCGATCATCTCCCGAAAACACCCCGTTCAACAGTAGACAGATGTAAATACAATCAGCCATAGCAATGGCAACTTATGAATGTCTTATTACCATGCTAAGCTTAGTTATCCGAAGCTAAAAATATATAATGTTCTTCAAATCTATAATACTGATTGTGGATAAATCATTTTAAAAATTGTGTCATATTGGAAACTTTTTCTGGTATCAGCAAAGCATTTTCAAAAAAGTATATGGTAAATGATTTTGTGCAATGTCCGAACTTCGACATTTCGTTATTCCTATGAAGAACGGTTGTTATTTACATATATTACAAAACAATTATATACTGTTCAACCGTTTTTAATGAGTTTAAGGTATAACAAAGTAATTTTCAAAGGGAATTGCGATCAGATTATATCTGCTACATCTTCCTTCTATTTGCTTACGAATTGACCACATGTTGTGCAGCGTAAATGTGTTCTTTTTTGTCACATTAGCTTTAAGGCTTATTAAGTATCTATGGATCAAGCTTAAATTCACAGAAGATCTAAAAATAATATCTACTTTAATATATATATAGAGAGATATATATGTATATATATATATATACAACTCTACCACTCCGCTTGAGTAGTTAAATATCCAGCCAAGACACCTTGCTTGCCTTGTACAGTTAAATGGCAGGAATAACTGTGAATTTCAGTCTTCACTTTGGTAAGCTTGGAGATAATCTTTTGTTTTAAAAGAGCTTATCTTAATCTATTTATAATTATTTCCATCTATAAATAACTTACCTTTGTAGCCAGAACCATGAACCGTGAATATATGAAGCAATTATGGCAAGCTTAAATTAGTTCGGATTGTATAGTACTTACTCAGTGGCTTAAATTGATCGGAACCAATTGCACTATCATGAAATGCATCATGTGTCTACTAAAGATATATATATATATATATATATATATATTATTAATTAGGGGACAACTAAGTCAGTCTCGCCCAATATAATCTGTCCGTCTCGCAAATTGCAATTGCTGTATTCTTAGAATTGTAAATTCATTTTATTTTATTACATATGCAGATCAAGCTTATAATTAATTTTCGATAATAATCTTCCTTATTCCTATGTCCTTTTGATAAATAAAACGTCGAGCATTCCCCAGTAAAGCAAGTGTACCTATTTAAAATCATTTATCTAGAGAAATACAATTTGATATATTTTCAGTAGCTTTATTGTATGGATTTTTAATTAATATACAACTCTACCACGTACCAAAATGCGAAATAACTTTTTCTTCTCCAGTATATATTCAGTGTTGGTTTGGAAAGTGCCTGCAGGTATATAGGAGGGAAACTCTTCCTCGTTTAGATACCAGTTGTTCAAAGTATAATTAAAAAACTATAAAATAAAAAAAATAAATTTTTTATATTTTATATATGAAAAGGATATTAAGGATTCAATTATTTAATTTTGTAATACTCACCGCTATAAAGGGACATCGCAATTTGCAACACGTATGTTTCTTAAAGCTCTTAGCGAGGGTGCTCAAAAGTTGGTTCTTGTGAATCATTGATAGAAACATACAAGTGTCGGCACGCAAATTATACAGACGCACCTTTGTCTTATCCAATTTCCAAAAGTCCAGTTGTGATGTCACATCCATTTTGCTAATATTAGTTTTCAGTATAATATTGCCACTGATATAGCTGCGGTTATTCAGTTGAACCACCTGAGAATTTAGTTCCTCAATAAAGTCCGGTGCCCAGTGTTTGGTGCTTACAGTATCGAATAGGATTCGGAAATTGCATTTCTCTGTCGACACAGCGCCAACCAAGAGAGTAATCCAGACATAACCGAACATGACAGAATCGCAGTTCCAGTAGAAATGAACTTTGGTTGAATCGAATGCGAATAAATTTAAACCAGCCTAAAATTATTTTATTGGCTTATTATTCATCGCTTTGGTAGTCTTTATTCTAATTACAAACTATTTAAGCGTTCAATATTACTCTGAGCGCTTTTTGTTTTATTATTTTTTATTTTATTTTATTTTATATATGATTAGTTGTACACAATTAGCTCTAATAGTCTTTTTTTTTTTCAATTCAATCATTCCATGCCCTTATTTTCGCTTGGGTTTCGAGCTTGGATATAGTATTTCCCGATTTGCCAAGCCTCTGCTGGATATTTATAAAAGGCAAATTAGTTGAGGGTATCAACGAGTATATGCTCTAAGTTCCCATAATCCAGGCTAAATAACGGCGCTATGTTTTGTACAAAACCAATATACTCTTTTCGGTTCATTAATGAGCATTATCACACTACATAATCACTTTACTTTACTTGACGTACCTTACGAATGATTTCAGTTTGATTTGTTCGTCGATGAAATGTTCTCCGTTTATTCGGTCAATTTACCTAGCCTATTCGGTCAATTTAACTTGCAAGTTGTATGTTGTAATATATATAAATATAAAAGTATCTTAAGAAATAGCTGAGTTACGTACGTAATTATATAATAATAATTATCAAAGATACTTCAGCTGTTAATCAAGTTGTTAGTTTCTATATCTGATTCTGATATCCGATTCTGTCAAATCGGCTAAAAAGATTTCATATTTCCCGATCATTTTAACACGTTTTTGCTCTATTTAAATTCCGTGCTAATGCCAAAGCATTAATAGTTAATAGTCTACTGGCCTTTTGTTATAACTAATTAAATATCCAATAAATTTGTCGTATTATATAATTATTTAGTGTTATAAGTATGAGTATTATCTAGGAAATGTTCCACATCTATCACTTTACCTTTTATGCCTACCCAAAACCTTTAAGTGATGGAAAACAATGATAGAAGCATGAGATCAATCTTTTGTCTATTAAAATAAAAGTATGAACTTGATTTTAAATAATTTCAATAACATTAATTTCCAAATTTTTAGAATATTTATTAACTGTATTACATTTTTTAATATATCAAAATATCAAATATATTCGGGAATCTTATTCATCTCACTAGCAAGCATTCTATTGACTTATTAATTATTATTATTATTCTACTGAATGATTAAAGTACTATAACAAACTAATTTTTTTTTAAATTTTATATTCTAAGAATTCTGATCTACCTTAGGTACGTATCATTTTCTCAGAGAGATACACATGAGGAAAGCAAAACTAAAAGAAACTATCGAAGTTTCGTGCAATGAGAAAATTAATTAGCTAAGAACGAATGAGAGTTACGGGTGCGAGCTGTCCTGATGACACGCACTGTCAGCACATCTGTGTATGATGTGTGTCATCAGTTCTTATGGTGTTGGACAGTTCCATTAAGTTATATTTTTTTCATTAAATATAAAATGCAATACAATCAGTAAAAATTAAGGGGATGCTCAGTAAATCATTTCTAATATAAATCAGATTACTGTGATTTAATTTATTAATAAATCATTTATAAGATTGTCTTTAATCTAATTATGAGACATTCTCGCATAAAGTATTAGAGAAATAATTTTTCTTTGTCTTATGAGGAATTCGAGAAGACCTGTAATGTCGGAGTCTGGTAGAAAGGCAGGTATTTCGTTTTCATCAAAATTCCAGTTGGACAAGGTGTAGTTCCAGTCCTTAAAATAAATATAGATGAATATAAATAAATAAATTTGTCAAATAAAATAATATGAATATCGTATAGCCATGATATCGTAGCTATGAAGCACTTACCGCTTTCAATGGGCATAGTACTTTGGATGAAGAGTATTTTTGTATAGTACTCAGGAATAAGTTTAGGATTTTACCCTTATATCCACCTCTCAGATATTTACACCCATCCAGTTGTATACTGAATAGCGTCGTGGTTTGATTATTTATTCCTTTCAAATTAACGGATGCCTTAAGTTCAAATTTGTTCACAATACGCTTTAACTTCAGAAAAGAATCGAGGTAGCTTCGATTATTGTGTTCATAAATGTGTACGGCCATATCATCGATTAATTCTGGTGCCAAGATTTTTTTGTCAATTTTTGTCACTTTCAGTTGGATATTACTCCTTGCATTCGCATAAGTAAAGGTCAGCAATAGAAAGATATTTATATAACTAGCCATGGTAAATGCGTAATTCCGAATAACACCTGTGCGTGTTGGACAGAGTCTAAAAATCAATCATTTTCCATATATCTACAACAATAATTATGCATCAGATATTTTTAAAAATATGTTAAATTATAATAGAACCATTTTTGCCAGCTGCGTTTAATGAGTACATTAAATTCCAGTACAAATTTTCAATGTTTAAATACATTTAATTGCCCAAAAAACACAATTCTACTTTTATATTAGAATATGTCGATTGAGTAAAAGTTTTTCATCTATTATAATAAACTTATTTCTTTTATTATTATATTGAAAAAAAGAAATGTTTTGTGATGTCCTCGCAACTTGTGTACTGTGTACTGTATGAACTGTATGATCCTTCAGTTGATGTCTAATACTACGATTAGAAGTAATCGCCGCTTGGCGTATATGAAAACTATTCGATTCTCTTCAAATCAACCGACATTTTGCCAAACCAAAATACTCCTTTCACTTCTCGAACGAGTGTAAAATCTTGCGTCATTTCGTAAAACCACGATACAATCAGCGCCAAATTTGGCGTTTTTACACATGCATATTTCAAGCACATGAATTCTTTCAGAATTCTATTAATAGAACTGTAACTACAATGGAATTATATTTGATATAATAGCTACATGTATTAAGCCTCTTTACATTCAGAGTACAAATGTTAGAAATAAATGTGGGGAAGAATATAGCTGGAACAAAAAGTAAGAGTGCTCTACTCCAGAGGGCTCGACTATGAGATACCCTGAACCCCGTGAAACGGAAATGGAACGATAAGCAAATGGAATGAGATATCGAAAAAAATAAATAAACTTGTACTGCGTATATCCTTAATATATATACTTTATGGTTTTTGCCACTTCCCCTTCTGTCTGTTCCATACATTTATACCCTGAATTCAAATTTTCAATCTCTTTAGAGTATAAAAATGAATATGAATAAATTTAAATTCACCTTAAGCTTTCAAAGACATACGAGTTTCTGGGAATTTCTTCAAAAATAGAATTAAACATAAATAAAACTTGCCAGTGGAATCACTTAATCATGTATGTCGCATGGAGTCTTATAATCATTTATTTAGGATATAATTATATAAACAATTGAATATTTTTTAAACTACAATTAAACTGGAAAAACAATTTAAAATATAGCTATATCGAAAGTTAAATACCCGAATAGATTCTATAATTTTGATAAAAAATTAATTGTTTAATTTTAGTCATTCAAAATCAATTTAAAATAAATATTTTAGTAGCTCGATTGAGTAAAAGTTGTATATCAGCGATCTCCATTTTCGACCTGTTTTTGTATTACATTTATTTATATATGAGATTTATTTATTTTTTTATGTAAAAGGTAAAGGTAAATAAAACTAAAAAAATAAATCACTTAATCATGTATGACGCAGGGAGTCTTATAACAATTTATTTACAATATAGTTATATTCAAAATTAAATATTTTTAAGACTACAATTAAACTGGAAAACAATTTAAAATATAGCTATATCGAAAGTTAAATATCCGAATAGATTCTATAATTTTGATAACAAATTAATTGTTTAATTTTAGTCATTTAAACTCAATTCAAAATAAATATTTTAGTAGCTCGATTGGGTAAAAGTTGTATATCAGCGATCTCCATTTTCGATCTTTTTTTTGTATTTATTTATATATAATATTTATTTATTTTTTGTATATGCATATAAAGAGGAAAGATCTATATATATATATATATATATATATATATAGTTTATATAAAGTTTACTAAAGTTCACTTGAAAGCTGGTAGGTTAGATTGCATAGAAAATAACATTTAAAAGTTTATTTATTCAAAACGGTATTTAAAAATATCCCCAGTGGTAAATTTTAAGCTTGTAAGTGGATATTAATTATACATAATCTGCCAAGTCTTGGATTTCCGATAAGAAGAAGACGAACTGAGCATGCATATTAGTGCTGAGAAAAAATCTAATTGTTAAAGACAACGCTACCAAGATTTAGGGATGTCACAATCATTTTTGAATGGGAGTAAAATTTCGTGGATACTCTGAAGTTACATTCAGGCACATAGTTGGGAAAGTATTTTTCATCCATATACCAGTTGACAAGCGTATAGTTGAAGTTCTGGAAATGTATGGATGTATTTATATATATATTTGAGATAAGATGTCCGCTATTTGTAAATTGATTTATATTTATATATATCAGCCATCGATCTATCATTATTATCGATTACTTACCGTTTTCAATGGACACTTAATCATTTCCCCTAATTTGGTTTGGAAACTTTTGGCAAATATCCGAAATATGCGCACCTTATGCAAGGTCGTAAAATATTTACAAAAGTCCATGCGTGTGTTATAGATTCTCATCGTCTGATTATTTGCCTTTATGATATCGAAAGTAGTTATCATTTCAACTTGATTAATGCTACGCCGTAAAATCATATTACAACTGACGTAACTGCGATTGCCTTGGGTCAACACACAGTTGAGAACTTCAAAGAGTTCAGGCGCAGTGTGCTTCACAAAAAACGAATCGATCACAAGTTTAAATTTACGCTCTTCACTGTTAGCATCAACCACGAGGATTAAAAATATCAGCCACATCGACAGCCTTAACCAACCAGCCATGTTTGAACCTTTTCGCAAAATGAGAGCTGAACTTTGGTTAGTTTATTATTAACTGCCCCCTATAATTAGAATCGAATTATATGCTCAAATAGAGTGTTTAAAGATTGTATTGATTGATAAACTCTAACTGTGATATTAGAATAAATACAATTTTTAGACATTTTTAAATTTATCTTTCTCTCTCTCAAGCTCAAGGTCTGTCGGTCTGTCTGTCTGTCTGTCCGCATGTGTGAACACGTGGATCTCAGCATCTATAAGAGCTAGAGACTTGTAAGCACGCGCATATCGACTTTGTTTCAAATATTCGATACCTATTCGCATTTAATTGTTATCGAATAAAAACATGATTGAAATGCAGTTAATAAACTACATCTCGGACGTGTAAGAGCTAGAGCATTCAAATTTTGTACTTAGTTTTATGTATATTTTATGCAATTTTGATTTTTGTTGAATTTTGGATACCGCCTCCAAATTCCCCCAAGTTCTTAAAATTTAAGTTTAGTTGGAACTAGGGCCATTATGTGAAGGCGTTTTCATCTCAACCAAGCCAATAGGATATGTAGATCATATGCTGAAAATTTCATTAAAATCCATTAAGTAAAATAGAAGTTATTAAACAAAACGTTTGCGTTGGTAGAGGCGGCGATCGTGCGAGGCTGGGCCCTGGGTTCGAGACCGGAAGTGGTGAATTACCTTTTATTGTTTTTTATTTTTTTTAATTATGAAGTGGCGGTGTTGGTAGAGTTGGTGCACGTTCCGCAAACAATCCGGGTTCGAATCCTGGTCTCGTAATGTCGTTTTTTATTTGTTTTCTTTTTTTGAATACTCGTAAATTTTAATAAACGCAAATTGGACTGGGATCAGAGTATCTCCTAGTCGGGCACCCCGACTACAGCTTTCTTAATTGTTTTAAACTGTGTATTTTAGATTTTAGGGCGTTGCGCTTAGGAGTATATTAGTATGTAGAGTATTTAATATATCCACTAAATATAATCTTTTACTTCGTTAATACTTTGATCGAAAAAAGGACTCTCCGTTAGGATTTTTAGCCACGTTTTATAATATAATTGAGCTTACAAGACAAGAACAATTTCAATGTTCCTTTCACAAAGATTTAGTTGTTATAATCGACTTTACCCTCCAGGAGCATTCGTAAGACCAGTTTCTGACGCATATAGAATTTCGTTAGTGCTTTGAAATGGCATTCGGGCACATATTGGGGAAAATCATTTTCACGCAGATGCATATTGGTAATAGTATAGTTGAAATGCTGCAAGAGATTCTTTTATTATAGATTATATGTAATATATATATATATATATATATATATATATAATATGTATATATATATATATAATATATATATAATATATATATATATATATATATATATATATATATATATAATATTTATTAAATAAAGACTTACAGGCTTTAAAGGGCACCTCAAGTACCCATTGCTGCCTTTATTCACACTGTTTGCGAACAGATTAAAGATTCGATTCTTATGAATTGTTGTTAGAAATTGACATGCATCCAAGCGAATTTGATACAAACGCATTATCTGTTTACCAGTTCGGATCACATCTAGGGATGTCTCCAAATCCATCTTATCAATTTCGCGCTTGAGTATCAAAGCAATACTAATCGTGCTACGATTGGGCATAGTCCAGTTAACGCTTTCCATGACATCTGGAACAGTAGGCTTGATGTAAAATTCCTTGATTACGAAGCGAAAACTACGTTGTTCAGCCGATGTTGAAAGACCCAAACAGATCAAAATCCAGAGCCAACCGAACATGGCGAGCGATAAGTCTCCATTAGTATACTGGAACCAGCTAAAAATGTTTGGCGAAAAGTGGGAAATAACGACGAATACTTAAAATTACATTAACCTGTTACTAATTGTGACATGTGCCGAAAATTAGTAATCTAGCCTAGATTAGCTGCTCATTATTTACCTTTTATTGATCGCTAAACATTGAAAATTTGAACATCGATTTTATCGTTTGAATGAATTGTCCATACATACTCTAAGCCGATTAAAAATGGTAAATTAGGGTATTATGGCTTGTTAAAATGATATTAATTCAAAGCATGATCGAAATGCATATTAAATTATATCTCGCACGGCATAAGAGCTAGTCCCAATATTTAATTTATTATATATTTTATACAATTCTGATTTTTGTTATAAAATATATTTAATATATATATGTATATTTAAAATATATATATAAATAAAAAATATATATGTACGCTTTAATCACGTTTTACAATTTACAAACAATTCAAAATGATTAAAATAAGTATTAAGTGTTTTTTTCATCAAATTACAATAACTTTGCATTTAACTTTTATATTGTATTTTTATTTATATTGTATTAAGTCAGGGATATAAAGAGTTGACATGATCTTCCGAGATGTCCAGTTATTAATATTTTATTAAAATGTCTGTTTACTTACAAAAAAGGTTTTGAACCACATTTGATTATAGGCACAAATGAAAAGTTGCCACCAAGCAATGATCGTTGCCTGTGGCTTTATTGAAAATTCGTTGATGACGAAACTTGGCTGTGATGTCTAAGTAATGTGAATAGTATTGACATAGATAGTAAGCAGAGCAAGTTAAAATTAATCACGGTTAGAATAAATTCAGTGTTAAAAAAACAAGTTAGATTAAGGAACACGTCACTTTTCAACACCTAAGATTCACAGTGTTTAAAAAAATATGAATTAATTAAATATTTGCTTTCTTTATGAAACTTAACTCTAACATGCTTTATGCAAAATTTAAAGGTTTTATAAATTAATTATTATTGTGATATATTTTTCTAAAATAAATATTCCAGACTGAATTTTTAAACAACTGAAACAATGTTGGACTGAGTGGAAAACTATCAAATTGAGCATCTGAGTAGAAGGTGGAAACTGAGACTAGATTTGGGATTTTGGAATATTATATTAAAAGGTGAGGAACTCCGAAATCCACATTTATAAGAAAAATATGCATTTAAGAATATATACGCACGTCTCACTATCAGCCAAGAATACATTGGTTGGCATCCCGCCTTAAAGTCATCTGTTTATTTATAGTTTTTTCTTTAGTTCACAAACATAGCAAGTTTTTCTTTATTAAACTTTGAAAATATAAAGTAAGTTTTTAAAGTTTGACGTGATTCTTCGGACCTTTTTTTTTGTTAACGGGATGTAGTTGGCCGGAAATGTGCATTTCGGCTAAGCGTTTGGCCTTCTCCAGAAACTCCACGTTCAAAAAGTAGCTGCACTCGGGCAGCAATTCGGGCAGAATGCGTTCATCTAGGTAGCTGCGTTCGAGCGTATAATTCAGATGCTAAAATAAGGTTTCGCTTTACAATAAACGAAAACGGATGGCGAAGTCCTTGCCAAAGCTCTACTTACCGGTTTCAGAGGACAAAGTGGGCGCACATTAGTAAAGGTCACGAATCTGTAGTGAAACTGTTGCAGGAATTTGCTTTTGTAGTCATTTTTTAAAAACCCGCAAAGATCAAATTTCGAATTGAACAGACGAACGCGTGGCAATTTTGGACGCGATATTTCCAAAGAGCCTAGCGCAATGAGATTGTCAACTGCTCTACCCAAATACAAATGCCCTGAGAGATAGCTACGATTGCCAACATGCTCAATGGTAGCGCTCTGCGAAAGAACCACTTCTCGGTCTATTGGATCGAACACAAAGCTATCCACGCTCACCACATACTCAGCCTGAGCACAGTCCAGCACGAAGATTAGCCGGAAGCATGCCCAGATCCGCAGCAGTTTCATTTTTGGTCACGTTGAATGATGCCCGTGCAGTCAGAAACTGTTCTCTGACCATCATTTTCAATTGTGCGACATTAGAATTTGACAGGAAATTGCTTTATAATTGCTGATATAAAATATTTATATACATTGTAATCAGTGCTGATTACCCAGTGTTCGTCTTACAAATATAGCTATTAGTAAGCGCATATTTTAATGTTTTTTTTTAATCAAATTTATTATACTCTATCTAGATATTTAGCTTCTTGTTGAATTGATTTGTATAATTAGATTTAGGTTTATTTTATTTAATTTTAACTATTTCCACAGAAGTTGAGTAACGTTAATATTACCATATATCTTACAATATATCTGAGTGGAATATGTATATGTTTCCTTTTCACTTGTCACATATATTATTTTGATAGATATATTACTTACCGTGAGTACTCCATGCGTAAGTTTATATTCTTTGATGTATGCGAAATATTAGGTATTTTTAAACAATTGGGAAACATTTGTAAAGTGTGAAAACTCGACAATTTTTAGTTCCATTTTACACAATTATGCATTCATACATTTAATTTTATTTAAATTGTAGAAAATTAGAATTGAACCACTGTGCATTGAAGCAACCTAAAACATGCGCGTTAAATGTGAAAATGCTTCGCATATGAAAGATTGAGTTGAGAAGGCGGCCAAGTACATATGAAAGGGTGTAAAAGAAACACAGACACACACACACCCACACAAATGCATACCCTCAAAAAAAAAGATGTCAACAGAAATGTTAATAAAACCAGCATCAGCAATGTTGCCTTTGTCGCTTTATGCACCGTCTCTATTTTACGCCAAGTGCTGCACTTCGTCCTCCAGTCCGCTGCCGGTAGCCGGTTGCCCGTTGCCCTTTACCCGTTATCCGTAAGGCGAGCACCCGGACATCTAAGGATAAGCCCCGGCCGTGCTTTTTGGCCCGTTAAAACAGAAAAGCAAAGCAGCCAGCATCAGCAAAGCAAAGCGAAGCAGAGCTGACTAAAGTAAAGTTGACTTGAGTGTAGTTCAAACATCACACCTAGCACAGACGATAGATCCACAAACACCACAGAGTACATGGCAGGGTCCAAACATGAACAGAGCGAGACAGCGGAAAGAAAGAAAAAAATAGATAGACACTCTGAGAGAGAGAGAGAGAGGCAAAAAGCTATTGCGGTAAACATTTCAAGGCGAGTTTTCGTTGTCTCATTTGTTTTGTGTGGAAAGTGATATGGGATATGAAGCTTGAAATACTTCTAGTCAGAGAAATACTTTCGATTGTCAAACCAAATTTTGTGACATGAGAAGCTAACTGAAACTGGGAATAAGTGAAACGATGCTTTATTAATAACTAAAATGAAAATAACAAAATCAATATAATACTGCCGCTTTTCAAGCAGATGAAACCCACAGCATAGACAGCCTAGGGAGCTGTTTTATAGATTTCCAACACTGAGAAAAATTAAAAAAATTGAATTGTTTTAAAAAATTGAATTGTTTAAATTGTTTAAATAATAATAAGCTCAAAATTTTAAACTGTTATAGACATATTTTCACATTTGTCAAAGCAAGAAATTTAAAGCTTTTTCTACTTTTAGCGATTGTGTGACATGAATTTTTTCTTACATATCAAATATATGTCGATTTTGAGATTCTTTTGTCCTTTAATCTAAGTTTGTTAAAGAACTTATGAATTTCGATTTTGGATATTGGATAGGAAATCTAAGGAAAATAAGTTTGTTATAAGGTGTAGCTATATAGGGTATAAGCGAGCTATAGGCAAAGTTTATTGTCTATAAGAAATCTCCCAGAGACAATATATCGCGATGGATTAGTCAACAGAATATTTGAAATTCGGTCATTCTATATTCTATTATAAGATAATGAAATTCCGAAATTTGAAAATCTTAATTACACTTAATATTTGTTTATTAAGATTTACGACTGCAAAACACATAACAAATAAAGGCAGATGCCATTACTAATCCAAAGATTCTCTCTAAATTCTGATTATGAGAAGATAAAGGAACTGAAAGAGTTGCTGAGAGCGCGTTACGAAAACGTGAAAACAAAATGTTAGACAAATTTATGATGATGGAAATTTAAGTGATTTTTAACGAGCGAGGGTGGCATAAAAGCCAGAAAGATTTAAAAAGATATATCTAAAATATATATATATTTATATGTATCTAGCTTAAGAGTTAAAAAGCATCTTCCACAACATTTGCAATTGCAGTTACTTGACGTCTAATAAAAGCCAAAAGTGTCTGCTTAAATAAATACAAATATATTCCACGATGTAATGCGCACAGTGGACAAGAGTCAAAGAAAAAAAACAATTTGATAACTAAATCAATCGATTGAACGATTGAATATAAATCAATTTAAAACGAGGCAAAATATTCAGAATTTCACAATATCTAAAACTGTAGACGATAGCGCCTTAATCAATTTGCCAAGCTTTGTCAAAAGCAATTCAATCTTAAAAGCAGCGTAAACAAAGCTGTGGAAAATGTGCCTTTGTCAATTTGCCACGCCTCAGTGGCACACATTTCTAAATGTATACTATTAAATAGTAGCGTTAGTACGAGGCTATGGAGGAGTCTATATGTATTTTAAATTTTAAGGTCATTGCAAATATGAAAAGTTGACTTTAAGTTGCCCTTTATGTATATACCTAAAAGAACTCGATAAAAATCAAATCAGTTATATCATATAGTTGCGAACCACTGTGCGCTGGCCATAAGGGGTTGCAGTCAGGTGCAGCTGCTGCTGGAGAGACTGAGGTTGAAAGGTAGTCACGGCCCACCCCAAAGAGCAGAAAACATTTATGAATTTATGTTGAGTGCGCGCACACACAGACATACGGACACACTTACAAACATACATACACTCACACAGACCCACACGCAGCCGGCAAAGTTAACAAAAGGCCCATTTAGCTCGGTCGCTGCCAAATTGCTATGCCTGCACCGTCGCACCACCAGATGCGTTCCCCTTCCAGGGCCAAGCGCCAAGCGCCAAGCGCCACCTGTGCGTCCAACTGTGAAATTTATTGATTCGTGCAAATAGGCTCTATCGAGAACGTCGACTAACTAGCTATAATTAGAGAGCTCTCAGTCGCCATATATCCCACACAGAAACTCGAATCAATACTCAAATGATCAAATAGCGCACACTCTGTAGAATTTTTACTCTTTAACTATTTTGTAGAAATATATAAAATTCATAGAAAATTGTAATGCAAACAAGAATTAATCACAAATTATTCTCTATTATTGCGTTTGTTTATTGTTTGTATCATAGTTTTGCAACAATAAGAGTTTTATTCTGCATCCAAATGTATATATATTTATATATTTGATCGATTTAGCTTTGTTGTCTTTCGTTGTCAAAAAAAGATAGAAATTTTTGCATTATTTTATTGATTATGTTTAAAAGGGAAAAGGAAACGAAAATTCTCTTGTTTAAAACACCCGCAACTAGAATTGCTGGTTTATATTTTATATAATATATATAAATTATATAAAATTATGTAAACTATATAATTTTATATATATATATAAACTATATAATTTTATATCTTTCGAATTAAATTTGGATCGAAATTTATCATTTCTAAAATTCTACATCGCAAGATAGATTCAAGGAAAAAGTAGCTTAGCCTTCCCTTTGAAGAAATAAGTTTAATATCGTATACTATATATCTGAATCTTGGGTTTAAGAAGATTTATTTGTTTGAAGAAAGCTTCAATATCTTCATTTTCTAATTTTCTTATGTTTACATTTTAATTTCGCATTTCATCCAGCTTCACTCTCTTGGGTCTTAAACTGATTAGGGATCCTTTTTAGTCGGGCTGTATATTGTTTATTCATTGAGTTGATAACTGAAAGACTTTATAGGCAACTCAATTTTTGTTGAAAAAACCACAGCACATATTTGGGATCGTTAAACTCACAGTATTATATTGTTATAAACTCACAGCCCAATATTCTTTAGGGACTAATATATGTAAATATAAAACTAAATTCTGTTGAATAGTGTAATCGTAAAAAATTTGTAGCTGCACGGGAACAGCACGTGATTTCATTTATTATTATTAGTTAAAAACGTACACTTGGATCTTAAGTAAAAATGTAATCAGTCAGCTAGTTTAGCAAAACCTTTCCACTTATTCCACAAAATGCTGCAAGCAGCACGTTAATGTTCTTCAAAGCGTATATATTTACATATTTTATGTAGTCAACGCAATATATGTATATCTAAATTACAACTTCTACAAAAAAGCCTGGCTGGCTTCTTGCATGCGCTTGAGTGACATGCACATTTTCATTGAATTATTAATTATGTAATGCGAAACCAATCGTCTGCAATTTGCATATGCAATGAGTTCCTATCCCACACACACACACACACAGGTACATGGGGCTATTTGTCAGCACACGTTCCACATTATATAGCCCACTTAACCGCTAGCGCTTCTCTGACTCAAACCAACGACCGACTATTAAAGCAAATTATTCAGATTCGCATTAAAGATTCGCAATGCTGTGGGTGTATTGCCTATGTAAATGGTTTTTAGAGGTAAATAAAGGTAATGAGCGGACTACAAATTTATATTTTTATTTTAAATTTTTCTTTCTCACTGTAGATTTTAATAAGTTTCATTTATTATAATGGAAATATATTTTATGCCAATTAAAGGCTGAAAGCATATAAAATACTTGTAATAAAAAGTTGAGTTGACTTCAAAAATCTTCTGAAAACCATTTTAAGATTTAACTAATTGGCCCCACTTTGAGTGTTACGTCATAGTCGAAAACTGATTATAGCTAGTAGTAAAATCTATAATTACACTTATATTTATGGCGAGTGTTTCAGTAAGTTACCCATTAAAAAAAGCAAAAACTTGACTGCCAAATTTCTTGAGGTAACCTTTTGGTTTATTACTTTGGCGGGATGCTTATGCGTTTTGCTTGGCTTCGCAGCTTGGGATTTTTTGAGCTGCGCAGCAGGAGGCAAAAACCACCACTAACTACGCCCCCCACTTTCTTACACAACTCTTAGTTTGGACTTGGGACACGGCTGGCTCCAACTTGACTTGAAAATATAAAAATCTTTTATTTTAATTTGTTGTTTGGTTTTTGTTCCTTGTTAAACGCAGCCAAAACTTGCTGCAACAGCAGAAAAAGGCAGTATATATATAATATATATATATATATATATATACTATATATATATGTGTGGAGAATATAAAAATGGCCCTAGGCAAAAGCAATAACAAAATATTATTATCAGAATCATTCATCATGTGGCTGCAGGCCATAAATTCTCCGTCTAGCTGCGAAATGCAACAACAACATTAGCCACATATAAAAATAACAACGGCAGCTAACTGTTAATAAATCGCAGCTGCAGATAGCAGCGACCAGCTGCCGGCGCCACAGACAGCCCCACGTTTCACCCTCTCTTGCTGCCCTTACTGCCTTCCCCCACCAACCCGTTCCATGTCCCATTGCCCATCCAAAACCCAGAACAACTCCTTTTCCCATTGCCAATCCCTTGCCACACATACAACTTCCTTCGAAAAGTTTGGCTTAGCAACTTTCTAGGGACGTGTTTGAGGCCCAAGCACCGCCCCTATAGAAAAGCCCACTTAGTGCCAAGCACTACCATTTATCAGGTCTCATATTACGATATTACAAAATATTCTTAGACTATCATAAGACCATATATAGATGTATTTTTTTAAAGTTATTGGCATGCTTAAAAATTCAATTTTTTAGAAGAAGTTTTTCAAAGCGTTATATATTTTTAGACTAGGTTATTGAGGAAAAATGTGAAGATTAGGAAATAATATAACATTGTTTATCTTAAGGTTCAATCAATGTCGTCTATTCCTGTACATATTTTTCTAATTTATAAGACTAGGAGAGTTTAGCAATTGAGATATTTGGAAATACTGGTTTACGATGTTCTTTAAATTCAACGATAACAAAATTTATTAATTTATAAGCTGTACATGTCAATATACAAATATGAGCGCAAAAAGTTGCCCAATTTATTCAGGAGCCATTCCCAAACAGATAAAGGCTGTCTGCGAGTTGCTCTGTCATACAAATGAACAAAGACTGCGAAAAGCATTCCAAATAAACTTAAGAAACTTAGAATGTCTTGTAAGCAACCGCATCGTCTTGGCCTGCCCGGCGGATAGTATTGTATAGCTTCCGGATGAGGTTGTTTTTCTTTGGATATGGTACAGAGCTCCAATTCACCTGTTAGTTGCAGGTGCAAGTACGAATTGTCGTTGTGTGGGCTTCTGTTCTCAAGCATCATCATCCAAAGTGACTCTAAATGTGTGGGCAATTCATTCACATCATCCCATGCATAACGACGGCCGGTTAACGGCTCACTGCCAAAGTTGGCAAACATCACTAACGGGCGCTCGTATTTAACGTGGAATATTCGAAGTACCATCACCTCCTTTATCTTTGTGTCGACGATAGAATTAATATAATTACAGAACTCATCATTTAGCACAACTTCGTTTTCAGCAGGCAGAAAAGTATCCGTTTGAGTTTCTTGAATCTATTAGAAAAAGTATCGAAAATCAACTGTTTCTTAGTAATATTTATGGGATATAAAATCACTTTTTGTGTTCAAGATTAGAAATACTTTATAAAGTTAAATTCAATTAATTAATTTCAAATTATTAATTAATTTCGATTAAATTAATTTCAAAAGATAATTATGAAAAAAAATTTGATTCTCTTTGAAAAATATCAGCACATCGCATTTGATTATCGATATATCTATCATCTAATCACCCGATTGTATTTTCTCTTTAATACCTTTTGAATCGTGCCTTGAGTATGACGCTTGTGCCTCATTTTAATCACATTTATCTGTACAGTTTGACTCATTCCACGGCGAGCTCCTTGTACTTCATACACCAGACATTTGTGTTTTTCTTTCTTCTGCTCGTGTGTCTTAATCTTTGAACTTTGCTTTTCATTTTCCAAATTTTGCAAAATTTTCAAACAATGTCTTTTCTGTATTATCTGTTGTAAGGAAGATTTCCTGGCAGGAAGTTTAGCCTTTAACTTATCATGCAGTAACTGTTGAATTTGTGAGTGCTCCATGAGAGGCTTTATCTGAAAAATAGTAACAAATATTTACCATTACCATATTTGTTAAATTTATATACTACCTCTTCCATTGCGGCGTTCATAAAATAATATATATAAATATAATGATACAATTCTTTATGCTCAACGATTTACTATGACTGATTTGTGTAACTTTGCATACATAAATAGTTTTGAGAGCCTTCACTAAGATAGTTTGATTCATACAATGTCGGGGAGCAGAGCTGATTCTGAATCATCCCCAGTAGGCTTTTCAGACTTCATTTTACTCTCCATTACTTAATCATGCTTAGAACGCAGCGAGTCACAGTTTTTGTTGTCTCCTCTCTATGCCTACTACTAGTGCACGCTGAGTTCCCCACACAACTAGTGTTGCCATCTCTTCAGGGCTTGGACAAGCCAGATTAACTAGCCGAAAAATGCTCAAAAAAAGCTAAATTGCAATGAATTTAAGAGGATTTATTTTATTATACATCAAGTAATATTATAAAATTGCCACGCTCAATACAAGTTTGTTCTGTTTTATAATTCTGGTTTGTATGCATTTTAGGTAGTTTCAGGGAGTATTACAACAAAACATAAATATAAGTGAATTAGGCCAAAACACAAATTTATGTGTAAGATTAAATTTAAATTGTCAAAAAGTAACGTCTTTTGACAAAACAATATTCATTTGACTAACAACGCGTTTAACCTCTGTTTATTGGTCTAATAATGAAAAATGTTGCCAGTGACAAAAAACCCTAAATGGCTACCATTTCCGAATAGTAGCTAACTTTAGGCCAACCTAATTTTACTTCCTATTTCACATAGTGAATGGTTTATAGATATTTTACACTTCTTCAATTTTGAAAACTGAACTACATGGTTCCCTGACACGCATTGTTAACTAATTCTTAAATTATGGATCTCACATTCAGTGTACGTTAAGAGATCGCAAACTTTAAATATTTTGAACTACCTTGCTTGTGATGGGGAGTTATTACTTGAGGTGATGAAGTTACGTGGATTTTTTAAAGCTATCGATTAGAAATTATGCAAGTTACAGATTTTGTTAGTTGTTGAAAATGATACAAAGTCAATACAGAGTTAATATAGCTAGAATGCCCGGCAGCCGCTAAATAAAAAAGCCAAAATAGCTAAATTGGCTGAACACTGTCAACAACGACAATTAAGCGACACTCTCGCTGTCAAACGGCTTTTCTTGCACGAATTTCACAACACTAGAAGAGCACAATATGCAGTTATCAGTGGCTAGTCCTTTTGCTCTACTTTATTTCATTCTTTTTTCATTACGTAATGATACTTAGCAGTTCTTCAAACTAAAGTTATATATATAAATATATATATATATTTATATATACACTGACGAGCAAAACTGTAACACATGTTCAATGTTCTCACTTCAACGGTCTGTATTATCTTTTCTACTTTATGCATGATTATGATTATAGTTTTATTTTGTTAGTGAAATATTTGTCTCTTTTATCTATAAATTTGAAGACATTTGATTAGCGATAAGAGAAATACAATGGCAAAGAGTAAAAAAAGTCAAATGTTACAGTTTTGCACTCACAGAGCAAAACCTATTTACTTTTGTTTCAAAGCTTTTTTTACCATTAAAACTTATTTGTTTTTGTTTAAATCGATAAGCCTTGATCATTTTAAGTCAATTTGCAAAATAATTATGATGGCTGATGAAAAGAAAAATGAAATAATCGAATTATTGATAGGGGGCGAATCCGTTAGGAAAGTGGCTAATAAATTTGGTGTTAGCCACATGACTGTGCAGTGTTAAAAACAAAAACAGTTCAGAAAACATTAAAATCAATAAAGGAGGCCGACCGCGACTTTTAAGCCAACGTGACACGCGCCACTTGGCTAACTTAGTTATAGACAATCGCGACTTTACGCCAATAAAAGCGGCTAATATGTTAAATTTAAATGCCAGTGAGTGGACAGCCCGTCGCAGTCTCGGCCGATTGGGGCTTAAGGCCAATGAAAGAAAAAAAAAACCATTTCTAGCTAACAGGCACATTAGTTTGCGTTAGAAACTGTGCTATAATGCATGAAAATTGGGGTCTAGCTGATTGGGATGCCGTAAGTTACAAATAAAAAGCTTAAACAATGCTAAAAAAAATTTTTCAAGGTTATTTGGTCAGACGAAACTAAAATTAATCGTTTTAAGTCAGACGGACGATCGTGGTATTGGACTAGGAATCCCACAGTCCAATCGGCAAATACAGTACGGTGCACGGTGGCGGGTCCATAATGGTTTGGGGCTGTATTTGTAAAAATGGAGTTGGGCCCTTAGTGTTAATCGATGGGATAATACGTAAGGAGCAATACCTAAAAATTCTGCAAGAAAATTTGGGAGGAGTCATTGGCAACATGGGTCTGGCTGTTGAAAATTGCATATTTCTGCAAGACAATGACCTAAAGCACACATCCCATTTGACGAAAAATTGGTTATTGAACCAAAAGTTTCAAACTATGAAGTGGCCACCGCAATCTCCAGACATGAATCCCATAGAAAATGTATGGAGCCATCTGAAATCGCAGCTTGCGAAATATGCGGCCCCTCCAAATGGCAGGATGGAGTTATGAGAGAGAACGAAGGACGTTTGGTACTCGATTCCACCTGAAATGGTGCGACGCTACACGCAAAGTATGCCAAACCGTATAAACAACCTCAAAAAATCAAAAGGGCTGTGGACCCGTTATTAAAAAAAATTTAATAAAAATATTTGTATAAAAATATTTGCAGTGCAAAACTGTAACATTTGACTTTTTTTACTCTTTGCTATTGTATTTCTCTTATCGCTAACCAAATGTCTTCAAATTTATAAATAAAAGAGCCAAATATTTCACTAACAAAACAAGACTATGATCATGATCATGCATAAAGTAGAAAAAATAATACAGACCGTTGAAGTAAGAACATTGAACATGTGTTACAGTTTTGCTCGTCAGTGTACATGCAGCCGTATATCTCGTAATTTGCATTGATTAATTATCTTTTCTTTTTTAATTCAAGTCTATGCATTCATCATGTCTGTCATATGAAAAATCTATCTTAATGAAGTTAAATTTTATTCACATTTCCGTTTCGTAATACTCGCTTTCTATATATATATATATGTATATATCATAAATCATGCATCATTCATCTTCATCCGTTCACATTGTCATTTGCTTTGCTCTTAATGTCTCTATCCTACTGCTTCTCTCTCTTTCCGTTTCGCTCGTTTTCTCTTCGTTGCTTGTTTAATAAATAATTGTTCATCGTTTAATGCGTTTAGTATATAAACATGCACAACTTACGAGCATATCGCATATACGCTTGCCATTTCCCGATTTCCGACAATTTTGCCCACTTTAGAACCAAAGCACGGCACGTCGGATGTTTATGCACTTAAAAAAATTTGATCTATTCTAATATTTACATGTCTCACTAAACATTATTAATAATTAATATTAATATTTATGCTCGAGTTTTAAATATATTATTTCAAATATTTACATTAAACATTTTTTATTTTACACTTTACATTTTAAATTTTACAGTTTACATTTCACATTTAACATTTTACATTTTCTCTAATAAATTGTTGCCCCTGTTTGTGTTGTGCTTAAAGCCAAATCTAGTCCGTCGTTAAATACTTATTAAATAACATATTTTCTCCCAGTGTATACATACATATCTATATGCCTGCCAGGTGACCACACGCTGTTTTCGAACTGACCTGCCATCACCGCCGTACCTAGCCCCGCCCCATACACACTTCTGGCTCTGCTCTGGCCACGTGTCCGTCCATCTCTAACGGTGAATTTGCAACCACATAGCCAAGCTGCCTGCTGCCTTGTGCCTTGTGCCTGGCTGACCACATCATCAAATGCGAAATGCAAAAGCGACGTAATTGCCACTGCACCACAACCTAACCCTCCCTCCCTCTCCCCCCTCACTAGCTCCCTCTGTCTGTCTCTCTCTCTCTCTATCTGTCTGTCGTTCTCTCTCAAAGCCGAAACCAATAAACCTGCATACGTCGATTAGTTGCACATGAATGCAATAGCATGGCCGCTAAGGTGGAGAACAGAGAAGAATATGCTTGAGAGAAGGGAGAGAACTTGCAGTTGGAGGCTTAGGGCAAGGCGCAGACAGCCGCAGACGAGCACACTTAAGCCACGTCTTAGCTTGCGTCTAGGCCCTTTTATAGCCAAGCCATTCACATTCATTTAAATTTGTTCGACGATTCTTTTAAAGTAAAATTAAATTAGCCATCTGTTAACTGAATTAAGTGCTATATATGTATATAAATAAATATATATATATATATAAGTAACAATTACATAAAGAAAATTTTCCAAACTTCCTATTAATAAAAAATATTTGCAATTTTTCACACTTCCTAATAATAAAAATATTCGCAATTTTTCACACTCCTCTTGTATAACACCTTTAAGGAGTTTTCATTTCTTGTTAGCATAAACGATTCAATATTGTTCTTATTGTTTATTAATACACGAATATTTTATGCCATGACAAACTATTATTTCTATTGATCGCAGTATAAAAGCATTTGCATATGTTTAGTAATTTGTATTTGGTCCGTTGAGCTTATAAAAAATAAGAAAGATAAAAGATAAAGATAAAAGACAATATGTTGGATGATGAATACAAAATAAAGTTATTCCAACCGGGTTGTCCCTCTGACCAGTGTATAGGACTGCATTTGCTATTATTATTATTGCTAGTCGACTAAAGCTCTTCACCTTTTATGAACTTTAGCTGCGCACTGTACTCAGTGTTCCTGCCCCAATGTTGCACTTTTTCCTGCGAAATACATTTTCATTTGACTCTTTTCCAAGCACCTTTGTTGGTTGCCTGCGTCGTCCATTGCATTTTCACAGAAGATGCGTTTTCTCTGAGATTCTTTTGCTATCGCACTATACAATACACTGGTAATCAGTAATATATGGTATAATAATAATAATATTTAGATGAACTTTTAATAATAATAATAATGAGAATTATCATAGCAGTAAAAAAATATATTTAAATAATACGCTTATGATATGCATTTAATTCAAATCTGCTCACGGCACACAAGTTTCCCTAAGACAAGCCGTAGCTTAAAGTGCGGCGAATTGGCCATATAGTTCAAACTCTTCATGCATATATGCATATATACTTCTATATACATATATATATATAGTATATACATATATGTTATATATATATAGTATATATATTTACATATACATATGTCGCTAGTTGGCCACCTGACGCCGCATTTGCTGACCGCTAACTGTGGATCTGCGGCTCTTTACTGAGTCACAGACCGCAACGAAACGTCGCCTGGCAACAGATTGCAACTTTTGCGTAACCTAAGCGGCGCTTGAACCTCTCTCTAAACACATAGTCCCCTTACCCTTTCTCTTTGTCTCTCTCTATCTCGCTCTAATTATTACGGTCGTTTTCCGCAAATGCCTGGTTCATTTGCCAGTTTGTCGTAGATGTTGGAGCCGCCTTCACCGAATTCTACGGGCCGGCGGCCATGAATTTTGCATTTCAGTGTGTGCGAAGTATTTTTAGCAGTGTGTGTTTGGACAGGCCTATGATTCATCAAAAAGAGCGGCGACAGCTGACAGGGCTCCGACAGAGCTACGTCGGAGCTGACACCAACCGCAACGCATATAAATGAGATTAGCAAAACTATGTAAAGACAATAGCAACAGAGCGGTCGAATGAATCTCCCTTGAAAAGCCGCGCTTCCATGCGTCAGGGGAAACACCTGAGGTGCTCGGCGAATTTCCGATGCTCATCTACTACAAGCCGAAGCAGTTGACAAAGAATACACACTAGAATGGAAGGTGGCTGGCACCCACAATAATAAAAAAACCGACACTTAAATGCGCTGCTCTAAACTTTAGTTCTGTTTATTAGGTGGATGAAAACATATACATACATATATGTGTGTACACACAAAAATTCATAAATACATATACATATACACATACAAATTTTTTTTGCATTCAATGCATTCAAAATTGCGCAGCAACAAATTTAATCCCGTTACCCAGAAAAAAGCTTACGTGCCATAATGCAGACAGATGCTTACGCTACGTAAATGCAAAGTACAACGTAAACAGAGAGTGACAGAGAGAGAGAGAGGGCAATTTGCTGTAGTTTTAAGTAAACAAGCCCATTTATCAATACATTCTGCTTGTGTGTTATTGTGTGTATATATGTGCATGTGCGTGTGTATTTTAGTGTCATTAAAAACACTGTGTTCTATAGCCAAACATCATTTTAATATGTGTACAAATTAATTGCAAATTTGCGTGCGTGTTCAAAGCGTAATACGAAAAAATAAGGAAGAAAAAATACATTTAACAAAGGAGACCTTTGCATACCCTTTAAAATACGACAAAGCATCACCAAAAACTAAAATGAAACATTTAATATAAAAATTACGTTCAATATTATTAAAGAGCATAGAAAAGTGTGACACAGTTTCGTGCCGAGTTCAAATAGATTTCCGGAATCAAGAAACAACCTTCAATGCCAAGTACATACAAACTAACATACACAAGCACACACACACCAATCGTTATCTATTGACATTGAACTTTGTATACACTTACTCAAGGCTCTGCTGGTTCGATTGAACTGATATCAGGTTCAAATGAGCAAAAATAAAATAAAAAGCTTACAGAAAATCATGTGATAAGCCCAAGATACAAATGTCAGTAAAAACAAATCTCAAAACAGATTTACGTAAATATACTTTAAACAGAAAAGTCACAAAGTTGTATTCATACTACCTAGATTGTTTTATATCACAGTACGCTAATATATAAAACAGTTGTATTTTAGACAACTATCTTAAAAGACTGTGAGATAATTAATTTGAACAATATTTTTATGGGGTTGTAAAAAAGCAGCTGCTCTTTACTGGTTCCGTTAAGAGTTGTATGGCAACCCTAACAGAAAAACTTTAAATTCATTTTTAATGGAATAACAGCCAGTTATTTGACAAGCAGTAGTCTTCAAGTAAAATCGAGATGACGTTGATGTCAGCAAAACGTCGCCCAAAGTGCGCAAAACTGATGTCAAACAGCTGTTTCTTTTGCATGTACTTTTGTACATATGTATGTCTCTTATATATTATGTATATAGACTTCATGTCAAACAAAATAGAAAATATATTATTTATATTAATATATTTTAATTGTATTTTGTAGAATAATTTTGACATTTATATTTTTCCGCGGCAAATATTTCAGTTAGCAACATTTGCAAAATGACTTCAAATATTCGCTTATATATATATATATATATATATATATATATATATATATATATATATATATATATATATATATATATATATATATATATATATATATATATATATATATATATATATATACGTATGCAATACAAGTATGTCCCCTATACCTATGTAGTTGTGATAGTACTTTACAACAAATTACTTTAGTACAAATTTGATTAGTCTGACGCTGAATTCGCGCTACGAGAAGATCGCTTAATTCAATCAGTCATGCGGAACAAATACTATGTATGATGTACTTTATATGTAAATAATATATTTATAAATATATACCTACAGTACACACTATGTACATGTATATATATTGTATTATATATACATTATATAAAAAATATATCAATACATTTTGGCTACTTGCCGCTTATTTCACTGCCAAAATTATGACAAAAATGATGAGACCCTTTCTAAAAAAGAATATTAAAATAAAAGCCAAAGCAGTACATACTATGTACATGTATACTTAGATATTCGTACGTACATATGTATGTATGTATGTCAGTATGTGTGACATAACGCCAAACGTCTGACACAGTCACGCCCGCAACATCGACGTCGCCGATGCCCCCTTTTTGCTACACACATTGTCGCTTTTTCATTTGAAGATGACGCGCAGCGGTCGTTGCGCTACTAGACGTTCTGACTAGCCCGAGCGGCTTGTTTGCGGGTGTTATAGGTGATGGAGGGGAGAGGAGAGAGCGCGTAAAGTGATAACAATAAAGGTGCGGGGCTACATTGAACAATCTGCGACAGCACAACGAAGCAGAAGCCGAAAGAAGAGAGAATTTCAATCGCAGCTGGTTGATAACGTCGTCATCGTTGCCAGAGTTACGCGGGCCAATTTTAATTTATGCACAACACGTATATATATATATATATATATATATATATATAATGCACACACATGTATATATAAGTTTGTATTTATGTACATATATATAAACTTATAACAAACGCAACTCGTTCGCTCGCACGCTCGCTCTCTCATTTAATATCAACATCTTTTATTCACTTTTGCGCTTTGCACATTTCGACTTTGTTGTTTTTGTTATTTATTTGAGCGCTCACTTATGTAAACTTCTCTCAATTTTTGCTCTCAATGACTCGTTACAGAAGCAGCAGCAGCAGCAGCAGCAACGACAACGAGAGTCTGTTGGGAGCGTGGTGGGCGATCTGCAGTTTGGTTACGTTACTCAGCTTTGCGTCAGTAAGCTTTCGACAGTTGACAACGCGAGACGTGTTAACGCGTACGGCAGTTGATAACCGACGGCAACGCGTCGCGTCTGTCGGCGCAGTCGACGTAAATGCTAAAAAAATTTAGAAATAAAGTAAAAAAAAGACGCATCGTAAAAAAAAACATACAGAAGCTAAAATGCAACGCACTAATATTGAGTTCGAGCGTCAACGTCATCTGGCCAATTGGCTTGTGAAGAGCAGTCCGCACATGGCAGCTGCTGCAGCAGCGGGCGCAGCACCACCCACGGCAGGAGTTGCCACTGGAGCTGCTGCAGCGGTTGGCGCAGCTGTTGCTGGCGGAGGAAGTGTGGCAGCTGCAGTACAAGGGGCGCCCAGCAACAGCGCTACTGTCGCTTGTAACGGTAAGTGCTGCAACGGGGGAAGGTTTTTTTCGGTGTGGGCATTGAAAAGATTTACACATACATACATTCACGATGTACATCAGTGTGAGTAGTGCATACAATTGAAATGAATGCAAGCCAGGGCACGCGCTACAAGCAAAGAGCAAAAGAGAAGCGTACGTGATTGAGAGAATAAGAGAGGCTAAGTGAGCGAGCGTGAATGAGAGCAAGAGCAAGAGCAAGAGAGTTTATGTTTTTAGTAGATTTGTTTGATTACGCCTTGCTAGCTGTGGTTTTTGTTGTTGCGTTTACTGCTGGCTGCATTTGTGTCCTCTGTTGCTTCTGCTTGAATAGCGCGCGCGTCGTTCGCTTCGCGTAATTTCAGAAAACGTGACGACAACGCAGCGCACGCCTCGACCGTTTCGTCCAATATCTCTCGCCCACCACTCTCGCCTGACTGACGAGCACTTGGCACAGTTGCTGTTGTTGCAATTGATATTTCACAAAAGATAAGCGCAATTGCAAAACGTTTTATTTTTTCTTCTGCTTTTGCTTCTGCTTCTTCCTCTTTCACTGTTATATTGTACAATAATTTCGCCGTGATTTTGCCTTGCTTGCAGTCTACAATCAGCTGCGCATGCATACATATATGTATTTATTTGTATATATGTGTATTCGTATATATGTGTATTTGTGTGTATTTATGAAGCATACAACAAAAAATTAAGTCAAATGTGCGCAATTAAAGTGAGTAATCGCTCCACCGACCTATAAACAACAAAAATAACAGCAGTTGCGAATCACCATCAGACAATGGGCGTCAATCGAACAATAACGAATCAAAATCAAGATATTAAACTTTAATTGAGCTTTTAAAATTATAGATAATCGAATCGTGAGTATATACATGTACACTTATGTGTGTATTTAGATATTTAGTTTGTTAAATGCAGTTGCTTCAAATAACTTCTTAATATTGTGTATCTCGTATTACCCGACATTGTGCGGTCCCTAATTCTAATCGAAGTTATTTTAAATCTATGCACTTTTTGTTTACTCTCGATTTTTAAGGTGAATGATCGATCAATTCAAGAAAATAAACATGAAATCAAATAATAAACACTTAATATGCAATATTTGTTTTTTTTTATGCATAAGATAAATAAATTAGCATATTTTGTACTGGGCTTACGCATAGACTGGTATATCGGGTTTTATTGTAGAAAGTTCGTTCATCGCGGCAGCAATGAATGGACTTGGATTTTGTTTATAAATGCTATCTGATATTCAATAAAAATTCAAATATGGCCCATTTAATTAGAATTACGTACCTAGAACATTAACAAAGATCTTTAAATATGTATAAAAAATTCTTTAATAGACCAGCTGACTTTATACGATTTTTATTATGTCGATTACTTCTAACTTATGTAAATTAATCACTTAATATTAATATTTTTCGATATCCCTTACTTTTTATTTCTATATATCATTAAGAAAAATTAAGTAAAACTATTCAACAACTAAACAGTAAACACACAATTTAATGATGTGTATGGTATATACATAACAATATAAAACTAATTTATGTATGTATATGTCCATTTATTTATATATATATAAACTATTTCAATTTGTTGCTATAGAAGATACTAATTATCAAAAAAATAAAAACAACAACAAGTGAATGAGTATTACGCTGCAGGTACCTCCCGACTTGAACCTTCCTACTTGTTTGTGAAGTTATTTAGCTCGATGTTAAATTAACGGCTGTCAAAAAATTTGTTGGTATTTCGCGTTCTTAACCACTGTGCCATTGCTTTGGGTAAAAAACTTCTGTGCTTGGCAACAGTTTAAAATTTCACTGCAAATGCATTTGAATGTGTGTTTGTGTGTGTGTGTTAGTTTGTTGTGTGGGATTTTCCCCAATGCAGGGCGGCGGCGGTGCATTAGTGAGCTAATAGTCATATATGTATATATAAATGAATATATATAAAATCACTAATGCACACGGCTGTGTGGTTGGCCTACCTAAGTTTAAAACTCATACCCTTGCCGAGAAGGTATACGAGATTCGTATACATTTTGTTAGTTGAAAGCATTACTTGTATTTTAGTTAAGTCATCACCATATTTATATATATAATATATATATACATTATAGTATATACCTGATGCTCGAGTAAATTTTCTTGTGAACGTTCTTAATTAAATTTCGAAATGATGTTGATTCTTCTTGGAATGAAGTACAAAATGAGTTGCTTAATGACATTCGCCTAGGGTATTTTATGTTCGACAGGCCTTTGCACATTTTTGCATTTCTGTTTATTTTATGTATTTATTGTTCTTGTTTTTGTATTTCAGGTGCCCCACCTGGTGTACATCACGGCCACAAGGCAGCGGCGTTCGCTGCTGCTGCAGCCGCCGCCGCCGCAATAGCTGCTGTCGAGGCGCGGAATCCGAAGTTGCGTCGCTTCAACTCCCACGACACCAGCTCCAATATGTTCTCTGTGGCAGATTTTGAAAATGCGCGACTGGCGCGTCGTAATGAGATTGAGTTGAAGCAGCGGCTGGCACGCAGGCAGCGCAATAGCGCTAATGGCAGCTACGGCTTAGCCAGCAGCAGCTCTAACAACAACAATATCAACAATACAGGTGTCTATATGGGCAGCACTAACGCGGGCTACAGTGGCTTCTGTGGTGGACTTAATGGAAGCGGCGACTACTCTACTGGCGACAGCAAGAACTCCAAGTGCAGCAGCAGTAGCGAGGTAAGGATTAAAATTGTAATTAGACCAAACCCTAAAACAAAATTTTGTAATCAAATATTTCTTTAGCAGGATCCGATGCCTGCTGAAGTGTTTTTGGAGCGGTATTCGTTGCCGCGAGTGGTGCGAATCTTATACAGCAGCAAGAGTTCCAATGAGACTCTTCAGTCTAGCTCATCCCATGGCTCCTCAACAGCTGCATCGAGTAACTCATCGACAGGCGTGAAGCAACAGTCACAATTGCAGTTGCAGTCCCATTCGCAGCAGCAGGTGAATGAGCCTGGCACCAATTCAACTTCTAGCGCCGGCAGCTGCCCACAGCCTGGCCACGATGAGCTCTTTCTTCTCTATAGGCTAGTGCGTCAGCGTATTATCTATCATGGCCACAATGCGAAGACGCAGCGCAAAAAGTGGGTGCTCATACCCCAGGAGTTTCCAGGTGAGTCAAGAGAAGCCTGTGCCTCTTTTCCTCTCCCTCTCCTTTGATGAGTTTATATGCGTGTCTAGAATATTTATTAGCGATTATTCGTGAAGGCAGACAGTAATTGACAAATTGAGAAAATACAAAGATCTAACGATACTTATAGACTTGGCTTTATATAATACATATGCAATCATATGCATTAACAGAAATTTATTTAACTAACTAATACTTATTTTAATTATTTATATAAATACTTAAACGTATTTACTTATTAATATATAAATATTTAATTTATATAGATTTAAATGATTTCTCAATGAGTTTAGCCATATCGTCACTATTTAATTTTGTAATTTGTTCCTTTCCTTTTTTGGACTCAGCTATTTACGTAATTGTAATGCATAACGTGTTGCATTCTCATGACTAATGCACGATGTTAAAAAAAGTTGGCTAATATTTGTATTTAGTGAGCTATTGAAGCTTTTTATTGCCCCGCGGCACAGCTCGGTTTTGAGTTGCGTTACGATTCGGTTAAGCCTACATGCGTGACAGACTGTCAGTCGGAGACAGTGTGACGGGCCTTGCTGGAGTTGCACTAGAATATAATCAAAACAATTGCTCATCGGGGTGTTATGTAAGTGTAGTGACTGCCTCAGACTCTGCCTCCGACACTGCCACTGCGACAGCTACTTCAAGCCATTGTTGTCGAGTTCGTGTGACTTTTCACAGCCAAACTCAACAAAAAAGGCGAAGCCAATGCAATGGGTAAAATCGTAATCTCCCAATTGCGTAATACTCTATGGAGCAAAGCTGGAAACGACTGGCTAATTAGATATTGTGGCAGCTCCGAAACTAAGCAATTCCTAATAAGCTGTAGCAAAGTGATTAGATATACTAATTCATATATATTCAAATGGTATATGTCAAATTAATTTCAAATAGCAAATATATTACTATGTGATTCCATTAACAAACAGGATATTTGATAGTCAATCATAGTTAGCAAAATGTGAATGAGTATAGCATATAGCACCTCAGATATGTATGGTATTGGTATCTTCAACTGAATGCAAATTAGCTAGATTTAACTAGATTAACTATAGTCTACATCAAAGACATGTCTTACAGTTAGTGTGAGCTACTTTAAGCTAAATACAGGCTATATTCTTGTCTAGCAAACGCTCAACTCAATATGGCAAATATAAAATAAGTTTTATCATTGGGAACCGCTTTTAATTATTCTTAATTTTTACAGGGTATTTTTCGCTGCTAAACGAAAAGGGACTGCCGACAGCCACGCAGTACGTCTCACTAATGCAGTTGGTGCGAGAGCGCGTCTACAAGTTTGCCTCGGTGGACAATATGCCCGCCTTTACAGAGTCCTCTCCGCCCGGAGGTGCCAACGGGGCAACCAGTCCCACCCACGAGGGCTGCTTGCCCAGCATCAAACAAAGGCCGCAGTACGTGAAGACGACGGCCAGGGGCGGGCAGGTGTTTCGGTTGCTCGCTGTATTTGAGGACGGCAAGCAGGAGCATCACGGTATGCAGCAGCAACACCATCAGCATCATCACCAGGCGAGTGTCTTGAACAGTATGTCCAAGTCGAATTTAATAGCGGGCCGGGACAAGGAGAAGGGACGCTATGCACAGCTGCTGAACGAGCAAAGGCAGGTGATGTATGTGCCGCTGGCGACCAAAGGAAAGTTCTACGAGATAGAGCCGGGCATACCGCAGTTGCTTCAAAAGATGGGCGACACGCAGCGTAAGCTGAATCCTGAGTGTGTATATAGACTAGGAGTGTTGGTGGCAGCGGCTAAGCAGTTGCCTCTAACGCTGCGCTACATTTCGGGACCCGCTGGCGCTGAAATCCCTGAGCATCTGTGCATTAGTCGTGTGAGTCGGGAAGATGTCATCATTGGCTGTCCGCTGGAGGAGTTGGATGGAAGTGGTCAGGTGCAACCGCAACAGCAGCATCAGCTTCAGCTGCGTAAACTCTATGTCAGCCGAGAGATGCAGCTGCTCAAGTGCTTACTGGGCTTCGATACGGAACAGCGCATGCTGGCCAATGCTCAAGTGCAAAACATTCTGAAGTTTTGTCAATTCAATTGCGATCAGTTTCTCAAGCTGGTGGAGATTGAGCTGATGCAGCCGAACGAACGCTCGAGCAGCAAATCGCGTGAAGGCCTCAAAATTCTAAAGCCTTTGCATTTGCCCAAGTTGTTACGCCGCGAGAAGAGCGGCATGACAGCCACGGCGGCTCATGAGAAGGAAGATTCCATCATTTTTCTAAGCAAAACGGACTTGGAGCAGCTGGAGGCTAAGGAGGCGGCGGCAGCAGCTGCAACAGTTAGCGAAGCATCCAGTCAGATCGCCTCTAACCGCATTTCGGAGCGCATGAAGGTATTTCAGTCCACCAAAAAGAAATGGTTTCGCAAGCAGGAGCAGCAGCAACAGCAGCAGCAGCTGGATAAATCCCAGACGGAACTCCAGCTGGATGTGCAGGCCAAACGCTTGAGTATGGAGCGCTATACGGATATGTCAAAGCTGTTGCAGGAGCGCTTTGGTAATGAGGAAGCACTTGTTACTTCGGCTGACACTCAATCGCTTCACAGCGAAACGGAGACTACGACACTAAGCCATAGCATAGAACGTAGTTCGATGCCCAAGTCCTTGGATACCCTGCTTCAGAAATCGATGTCCCTGCAGGACATTGAGCTGCTGAATGGACAGCGTGAACAGCATCGACCAGATCTGCTCTCAGCGCACACGGATGCCATTAGCGAAGCTGGCAATGAATTGGAGGATGTGGAGAATCAGACACCACCACCGCAATCCTTCATCACGGAGAAGCTTTACAATGAATTTCATGTGAAAACACGTCAGTACAGCAAATCTTCCGGTAGTTTGCACCAGTTGCGACATTTTTCGCTGCCCCAAAAGATGCAGCTTCACGAATCGGAGCCCGAGAAGCGTAACCAGACGCAATTCCGTGCCCAGCAACAGCTCCAGTTGGGCAAGGAGCCCATCACAGGACGACGTGCAGCAGGTGGCGTTTCCTTGCTAGGCGGCTTGGTTGCCCTCTCGCCTGCACCACTGGTTTCGCCCACTTCTTTGGTGGAAGATGATCTACCGTACTCCAGTGTACGTGACTCTCTGGTCATGTCTAGTTTGGATAGCTCGGAGCAGCAGAGGGACTCAGCGCCCATTATGCCTGCTGCCTTGGACTATGCTAAGGAAAATATCTATGCCGAGATTTGCGCTTCGCACACCTGTGATAGCTTCTCGGGTGCTACTCAACTGACCCAGTTGCCACCACACCATAACGATAAAGCGGATGATGGAGCTGATGCAGTGGATGATGATGGGGACTACGCCTCGCTCAAATATCAGCCGAACGGATCGCAATCTGTCAGTCGGGTGGATATTAACTGTCCCGCTGCTAACAACGCGATCAGCTATCACACGGTATACCTAGGCGAGGAGCCACTCGGGGAGCAGCATGTGACCACCGTGGAGCTAGCTGGCGAAGATAACATATACCATACGCTCAAATGATGATTCTTGTGATTTCGGCACCGACGCTTAGCCGGCGCCCAAGAGTTAATCTGAATGTGAAAGGACAATGCGAATTCTAGAATATATTTATATGTATATCTATTTTATTTACAAAGCACTCGTAAAACGAACAAAACTGAAAAATAATACACATATATACATACAATTTATGTAAAGCAAAACCTCTATAGAGCAGGCAACATTAGAAAGACCCATATAGTAAATAGGTGTAGAGTTACCCAACTGGGGAAAAAAGTATTTCCAAGAAAAAACCCAATTTGGTACTGTATTAAAGGATACAAAAAAAAACTAAAATGTAAAAAGTTTCGGATATGTTATGTTTCTTTGTTTATGCGAAAATTGAAAAAAGGAAGGAAGAGTCAATTTGTGGAAAGTCTATGAATTTTTGCTGATCTTAGTAATATTTTTGTTGAATAATTGAAAAAGCATTTGGAAGGAATTTAAATTTGTGTAACTTAACTGAAGTTTGAATAACTGAAAAAATAATTAAAAATAATTTTAATTTTTCAAAAGCTTGTTAATACTAAAAGCTTTATAAATTCCAAATTGGCTTTAAAATTTGCTTTTTAAATTCAAATGAATTGTGAAAACAAATTTTAAAAATAGCCAAAAAAATAATAATTTTGGTGCATATATACAATTTTTCTTAAATTATAAATAGTAAGCAAAAATGAATTGATTAATGATTTACATTTCATTATTCTACTTTTGTTGGTACTTATTTCCTTTTTTCCTTATGGGTTTTATCTATCATATGTATTATTGAGTAGACTGTAGTTGTAAGCGAGAAACTTGTCATAAAATTGAAGAACTTTATTCTCTGCTCTACCATTATAACTTGCAGGCACGCCCCACCCCGCCCGCTCAGCTGGCTAAACCTAAACATAAAAAATGAGATCAAGAAATGACAACTCAATTTGTAATATTATATTATATAAGGAATAGAAGACAAGCAATTTGTATTGTATATAGGATTAATGAAAAACTCTCGAAACACACGCATAAAATGTCAAATGAAACTGATTGTTGAAAACTTGCAATATTATACAATTGTATACATAACTAAAAATATCATATTTATATATAAATATATATACATATATATATATATATATATATATATATATATATATATATATATATATATCTTATATATATATATTATATATATATATATATATATATATATATATATATATTATATATACAACTAATTTAATGTATTATCTATATGCTTAGATGTTAGATATATCATGTGTAGAAATCTTAGCGCAAACTTAAGGTATTATTAGCTTATAGGCAATCAACAAGTCAAATCAAATCATAAGCGATATAAATACATATACATATATGTGTTTATGTAATATAAAGCTTGCAATTTTAGGACTAACTATATTTTGGTCCACTGTTAAACGATCTCTCGTATTTGTCGCTCTGTTTAATATATACACATAGATATATCCTCTATTTTTTTTGGCACAAACGGTACGGCATGATCAAAAATGTCTGTATATAAAAGCTGTAAAAGTTTGTCTGTTTGTCCGTTTATAATTTATCAGTTTTTGTTTCCTCCTATGAATAACTAGCTAAGTCGCAAATGAAATAAGTTCTAGTCCTCAGTTATATATGCATTGGTTCTATATATACATGTGCACATGTATATCTATATATAAACATATATTTATATATATGTATACAAATATTTCGTAAGACGTGCCTAACTGTGCGAGCGTTTCGGCCAGGCTGAAAGAAATGCAAATTGTCTATGGACTCTCGTTATTTTAAATTAAATATTTAGCAAAGAATTTATTTTTAATTCGATTTCAATTTTGATAGTTATCGATTACTTTCTATCTACATTTCTATATTTTAAGATTATGTCCACTTAATACAAGCATAAATTATGATTTACAAAAACAACAATTATGTTTTTTCTTTAAAAATATTATTTACATATTACTGTTATTTATTTATTTACTGTCTATGTCTTCAGTTTCTTTTCAACTGCAGCCACAATCAACTGTAAGTAGGCTTTATATTTAGAGTATATAGACTATATATAAGATATATATTATGGAAAACCCTGTAAAAACTAAAGCAATACTCACAAAAAAGCTATGATACTAGTTGTAAAGCCGATTCAGCTAAATGCAATTTGGATGCGTTTACAAAACTAAGAGAACTAAAGCATACATATAGGAATAATACTATATAGATACATTGTATGTTTTTTCTTGGTAGATACTAAGTCAGGCTTCACTGTAGCGCAAGGGTGATACAATGTATGTTTGTGTGAATAGAGTTGATAGAAGCTATAAGATTTGTACATAACAAACTACCCGCCAGCATATATATGTATATATATATCTATATATATATATATAGTATATGTATATGTATGTATATATATACACATATTTGTATACAAATTGGTGTGATAAATCAATGTCTAACAGATTATATAATCTAGTTGAGTAAACGCAGTTTTGAGTTTGCTTTTAGAGCACAATATACGTACATAAATATATATATTATTATAGATATATATTATTCACAAATTCGTCTAATAACAAGAACAAGAATAAGAAGAAGAGGGGATAACAAACTAACTTTGCTTTAATGTGAAACATACAATACATATTTAATGTCATCTAAAAAGATTAGAAAGTTTAAGCATTTTTCGAAAGCTAAGCAAAGCAATTTTCAGGGATTTTTAAATGGAAAGGCACAAAATACAAATATGTAAGGATAGTTTTTCTGGTCAAAACGAAGAAACTAGCGCCCTAAATGCCGCCCGTAGGACTTTTGAAGCAGTTAAGATAATTATGAACCGGGTTAAGATCAAGTTTCGAGATCCATGCAGAAGCAATACAGTTTTTCAATATACCCCAGAACTTAAAAAATTAAATATGTATATCAAACACACACATTTACAATTTAGTATTCATGTTTTATTCGGTGTCTATGTTAATCCCTAGAAATGAGAATTAATCAATTTAGAATTCAAGCATTAGTAGCTCCTTAAATGTCAACAAAACCAAAAAAAAAAGAATCAAGCTAACTAAATATTATATTATACTATATTACACAAGTTGAGGATATATATATATATATATATATAAATAAATAAATATATATGTATATATATATATATATATATATACATACATATATATATATATATATATATATATATATATATATATATATATATATATATATATATATGTATATATATATATATATATATATATGAATTCTCAGCACTTCTTGAATGCTGTTCCCAAAGTTTAGGTATTATTCACAATGTGTAACAAGATCACAATGATACGGATAAGGCATAACGATGTATTGAGAAGCCAAGTCATGGGACAAGGCAAGACTGAAATGATACAAAAACATGAAGTGTTTGGTAATGGGTACACAAAAAATATATAACTGATACTGATATTATTGTTGTAGTAGATCCTTTGATAAGTATAAAGCAGATAAAGTCAAAATCCTCTTTTTAGTAGCTTGAGTGAGCCCCGTTTAAACGTCTCCAACCAACTCTTAGCATACAAAAAAATATATATATATATGTATATACTTATATATATATATATAACTGAACTTTTGGCAAACACAAACAATTTCAATATATACAAAATGAAATGCATGAATATAGTAATAAAAATTTGAACACTTGCGTTTATACTGTGGGACTTGATTTAAAATAATTTATTCACAGCACATATGTAACTATGCTGCCTTCGATTTGTATGCTTACTGAATTTCTGCATAGCACATTTTAAACTTGCTTATGGAAAAATCTTAGTGAGAGTTTCAGTTCAGTGAGAGTTTATTTTCGAATGTTTAGGTAAAGTGAATAAAGGCTTTATTAAAGCTTGCCATTAAAAGCTATTTTAATTGCTTTGAAGCACTTGTAGGGGGTTTGTTTATGTGGGCGCCAGAATTCAAATTGGATAACAGCACGTTATACTAACAGATCCATTAAATAACGGAACTGTTCTTTGCATAACCAATTGAGTCACTTAACATGTGCGTAACCTACCGACTTTTTGGCAGTCTTGTCGAATTTAAATTAACAGATTCTGTTAATCTGACTGCTAAGAGTGAACTCACTGTAAACCGAATGTTAGAATGCTGTCCAAGTGAAAGAGCTGCTAAGGCAAATATTCTATATATAAATAAATATAAAGAGCTTGTTCGTTAGGTATTTGGTTTTTATTCTGCACATACATATACTGACATACTGACATACTTACTGAATTTCTGCATAGTACATTTTAAACTTGCTTATGGAAAAATCTTAGTGAGAGTTTCAGTTCAGTGAGAGTTTAGTTTCGAATGTTTAGGTAAAGTGAATAAAGGATTTATTAAAGCTTGCCATTAAAAGCTATATTTTAATTGCTTTGAAGCACTTGTAGGGGGTTTGCTTAGGTGGGCGCCAGAATTCAAATTGGATAACAGCACGTTATACTAACAGATCCATTAAATAACGGAACTGTTCTTTGCATAACCATTTGAGTCAGTTAACAGTGTGCGTAACCTACCGACTTTTTGGCAGTCTTGTCGAATTTAAATTAACAGATTCTGTTAATCTGACTGCTAAGAATGAACTCACTGTAAACCGAATGTTAGAATGCTGTCCAAGTGAAAGAGCTGCTAAGGCAAATATTCTATATATAAATAAATATAAAGAGCTTGTTCGTTAGGTATTTGGTTTTTATTCTGCACATACATATACTGACATACATACTAATTCATATATTGTTTTCATTATAGTTCTCTATTAGTTTCATCTTTTTTTCGTTTTCTCTTTCGGTTTAGATTTTGTTTTTTATTATTTGCCCATTTTTCTTAGCTGTTGCATTTTCTTTGAAATCCGATTTCTGGGTACATGGTACATTTGACGATTCTTAATCTTGATTTCTTTCGGAATTATTGTTCAAATGTTGCATTAGTTGTTGCTGTTAAAAAAGTGCCTTAAGAAGTGAGATAAGAATCGATCATAAAATCGTGTAAATTTAAATAATAAATAATTTCTTAAATGATTAGTTATTGCATTGCGATCAAGCAGAATTGAAACATTTTTCCGCTTACAGACGACAGACCACAGACTACATTGCTTAAGAGCTGTCTTTAAACATAATCCGACAACATTCGTCTCCTACTTTTTGTTCCTTTTGGGCTTACGTGGGCCATTTGTTATATTTGGTATTCGAGTTTTATGCGCCCTGCTGCATCGACCTTCAATTTCGGGTTACATACATATCTAATTAGTTTCGTAAATATGCTATATCTGTACACATATAATATTCCCGCTGCTACACTGGCCCTGCACGAGGATTAACTAGAGCTGTATGAATATTATGACAGTTGATCAACTAAACGACGGCGTTCTCTTTGCTGCTCTCTCTTTTGCTATCAATTTGATTTAATTTCATTTCGTGTAGTTTACTTTAGTTTAGTTATTGTTTATAAATACTTTTATTATTTGTTGTATATTTTTTGTAACGATATGTTTGGTATACAAACTTTATAATACCCTGGACTGACTAATTACGGTTTTAGCTTTTGACAGCGCGCGAAATGTCAATTGGTAAATTTATCATTTGCCGAGCTTGCCATAGAGAAGTAAAGAAATATATATAAATCTGTATACATATATATATATATATATATATATATATATATGAAAACCGCCAATATATATATATATATTTCTAATCGGAAAATAGACACTGAAAGCTTTTTATACGGTTCGCAGTCATGCTGGGATACACAGGAAACTTCAAAAAGTCAAAGGTGGCAAAAGAAAATATCTAAATTGTTCGCTTTGTTGTGGCACATTCAAAATAGAGTATTTAGTAGCTACACACACACACTCATCAACACACACACACACACACACACACATGCACATACACTCCCTCACAAGCATACTGCACTATATATATATATAGCTTATTTGTGGCTGCAGAAATCCTAACTAAAATCATAACTAATTTGTTTTACTGGCCCAGTTTTGAGGGACTGAGCACCAGCTCCGGCTCCAGTTTGCTGGGCAGCAGCAGCAGCTGCTGATTGCCACGCCCCATTGCTAGACTGGCGGATGACGGCTGTGATTTGTGACCCGCTGAAGTCGCAGTTCTTGCTGCAGCTGACGACGTTGCGGCTGTCATCGAGTGGGCCGTCGCTGGCCTGTGCAGTGGCTGCAATATGCTCAGACTTGTTGTGGCCAGCCTCGATTGAGACTCCAGCACCTGGCCGGGTATGTTGCTGGTTGTTGCTCCTTCTGTTGCTGCTGCTGTTGCTGTTGCAGCGGTTGGAGGCGCTGGTAGTGGCAGCAAACTGATCGTCGTTGTCGTGGACGTTGACGTTGCTGTACGACTGGCAGGCATGCCATATGCGCTGCTGGAGCCAGTTAGAGTCATGCCCAGTGGGCCGCGTACTGTGGCTGTCGCTGAATATGTGTGCGGCAGCGCTGGCGGCAGATCGTAGCTATTGGGCTGCGACTGGGAGCTGGTGAGGCGTGTGTTGTAGTTGTTGCTGTAGCTGCTGTTGCTGCTGCTGTTGCTGTTGCTGTTGCTGGTGGTGGGCGTCGTCTTGGGCGTGGCGCCCGTAGAGACGCCCGGACGTGCTGCACTAAATGTTGCCGTTGAGCTTTTGAGCCGGGGTATGGCGCCGCTGCTGCAGCTGCTGGGCAGTGCTATGGGCGGGGGCATAGGCGTGGCGGCTACTGTGGGTGTGGCTGTGTCCATAAGCGAGGTCTCCTCCACAATGACAACGCCATCGAGTGAGTCTCGGACAGTGGACGAGGAGGACAATGACTGTGATTGCTCCAGTTGTGGCTGTTGCTGTTGCAGCTGCAGCTGTTGCTGCGACTGCTGCCTCTGCTGCTGCAGTGCAACGCGTTGACGCAACAATTTGCTATTGGGTCTCTCATCTACGGTTGTTAGGGTTGTTGCTTTGGTGGTACTACTCGTAACGGCAGTTGTTGCTGTTGTTGTTGTTTTTGTTGCTGATGTTGCAGTTGTTGCAATTGTCGCTGTTGCACGTTTAGCAGTCTGCTGCTGCAGTTGAACACTCTCCTCCTGCTCCTCATCGCTCATCTCACACATATTGAGCGCCGTTTGCAACTTTTTCATCTCAAGTGGCGCATCAGCTGTCAAATATATATATAAACAGTTTAGATTCAGTTTCGAGTTGCAGGAAGTAAAGGTATTTCATGTATTCACTGACCTCCCATGTGATCCATGCTCTCCGGCTCGTTTATAATGGGCACCACGCGGTTTATGGCCGTCTTCTGTTCGTTCTGCATGAAGAGCGATGTTGTTGCTATTTGACGCAGTGCCTCCATGCCCTCATTGAGCATCTTGCTCTGACTGCGCTTGTGTGCAATTGGATATTTTGGCTGAAAACAAAAAAAAAACATAAACATAAAACTGATAATAACTCGAAAGTTAACATTCATATATACGTATTTAAGTGCAATGTTAAAAGACCCAGAGCTTTCGCGCCACTGTTAAGAGGCTTTCTATGTTAGCTAACAGATCTAACAGTCACAGTTTCATGGTCTGTTATGTTAGCATGAATGGTTAACAGACAAATATCCGTGTGATGCGTTTTACATGCCAATCTGTTTAATCTTAAAGTCAATTGACGTGATGCTTACACCTGATGCAGTGCCAAAAAACATGTGGCAAAAATATACAAGTAAGACTTGACTAGGAGATTGACATGCGTTTTCAAAGATACTAGCCAGCTTTAATCTATATACGACAACACTTTCAGCTCGAGCTCACATCTTCACAATCAAAAAGTATATTACAATAATCCCTTCAGTATTAGAGTCTGCTTCCTTTGCACGACCAGACGCCAGCTACTCACGGCTTCTACCACTCCCTTAACTTCGTGTGATCAATGTAAATAAAAAACTGAAGTACCGACTGCCATTTCGAACAGAAATTAATTGCAGTGCAGATTCTATTTATAGATTACATTTTCGGCCAACGATCCAAGCACCCTGTTCCGTTTAATATGTGGAGTATCTCCAATTACAAAACTTTTCAACATATTGGATATGTTTGCAAGTGAAATTCGATTTGTTTTTATTTTTGTGAAATCTAAGCCGATATCCATAATATAAGGAAAATAAATATATAGTGTACATTTTACATTAAACTATATGCTAAATTTGGGGACTTTAGCTTTAACGATAATTAATCGATTAATTGATAATTTAATCGATTTCATGGAAACAGCCAGTCATTTATTATGTATAAATAAATTGGATCTACGCTTATTATACACATCTATGAGATATAGGTTACGGATTTGCTTTATACATTTTTGCTATTTGTTTTGTACATCGGAAGGCAGCTTTTCTTTGTCATCCAGCCTTCTTCTAAGAATCATATCGAGTCTACATACATACAACAACCTTACATCAATACATAGATTAGGATCGTATTGAACTGCTTGAGTTAGGCACCCATTAGCGTATGCTAGCCACTGGATTGACTAATGTTATTCTATGGAATTCCAGAAATTATCCATTAAGTTTTAAATGTATTGAATGTTTGGCTCTTTAAAGACACTATCAACTGCTCAAGAGTGCACCAAAATCCAGGTAGGTTAAATGAGCGCAGTCCGAAAATGTTAGCTGACTAACAGAATTCTATTTTCAATTATTTACTGTCTCTTAACAGCAGTTACTGTTTACCCTACAACACTACATGCCATGTGTATACGTACCCCATATAAAATGCTGTTAAGTTGGTGTAAAATGGTAAAATGTTAAAATGGTGTAATAAGAATAAAAGATGGCGAATAACAGACAATGTTATTGACGAGCCAATTGCATATGATGTTCGGCTGAGAGGATCGGCGAATAACAGACAACGTTATTGATGAGCCAATTACATATGATGTGCTGCTGAGAGGATCGGCGAATAACAGACAATGTTATTGACGAGCCAATTGCATATGATGTGCTGCTGAGAGGATCGGTTTACCGTTTAAACTTTGTGCTGGCAACTAAAGAAGCGGACTCGATTGCAGAACAGAAAGTAATTAATAATTTTCCAGATATTTGATCTATGTTTGGAACTGATTTCTGCTGAAAGTATTGCCACAACTCTTTGGTTTCTTCGCTCAGTTATTTTTGTACACTATCTTCTAAGCTCATCGTATGATACTTTTTATTTACTTTTTATTATGAATCTTAGCTTAATTATCTGTGCCCACTTACCTGTATAGAGGGTCCACGAGCTATGGAAACGCGCTTGCTCTCGTTGCGGAGCAGGGATGTCGTGTGATCCGCATCGATCTTATTTCCATTTTTCTTGCGCGCCTTCTTGCTGGATGAGATGCAGTGGGATGGGCAAATGCAGAAGAGGATGCGTAAAATGCAACAGATCAGACCCAAACCTGAATAGGGAAGAGTCTAAATGTGATGAATTGCGATTTGTGGAATGGATGTAACAGTTATATTGCCTATTAGAGAGGGCCCTATAAGTCTTAGCTCCACTGTTTTAAAACCCTTCTCGCCGGTGCCGACAAACGCAATGACCAGGCCCAATGCAACGGTTCCCAGGCCCACATATAGAAAGGCATTCGCAAAAGTACTGGGTCCTCGTAGTACGCCTAGAAAGTCCTCATCGTCCGAGGAACCGCCTAATGAGGCATCTTGGATCTGCCAAACAAAACATATATACATATATATATGTATATATATATGTATATATATATATATAATATTAGTGGAATTTCTGATGATATTCGAGTGCTGTCCCAATGCAAATATAATTGTGATCTTCTAAATAATGACCCATTATACGATAAGAGCATGTTAGTATTACAAATACTAGGTACTTCCAGCTAGATGTACGATTTTTGTACATTTGTGAATTACTTTTTATATTATAAATTATTATCGATGCTTAATAATAATTTTTTCAATTTAATTTTTCTTTAGTTTTGTCAGTTAGAATTGCCAATATTTTTCATAGGAATTTTTCATAGTTATCTCAGTTATAATTGCAATTTAGGGACAGCATTCGGGCAGTGTTTTGAAATTTAAAGGAACAGCATGAAAATCGTAGTCAATGTGAAAATGTATGTTTTTTTGGTCACTTTGGGGCTTGATAAAGAAAATGGCAAATGGCTATTATAAGTTTTAGTAATCCTCAAGCCACCTAGCGTCAAATGCGCTGAACATTTGCGAGAGAGGAAGGACAGAGCGAGATGTGATCGAGAAAAAGAAAATATATAAAAAATGCACTTGGAAAGGGAAAAGGCGGTGTGTGAGAGATTCAGAGAGAAAAGAGAATTTCACAAATTGCTGATTGCTGATTGGTGATTCGGTGATTCGGTGATTGGGTGACTGCTGCATTGCTGCTGCAGCTATATATAGATATATATGGTTCGATTTAAATAGGTAGTTCTTAGTTAATGGATATGTACACGGCGCTAAGTGAGTGGCTCTACGTGATGAACTTACTCTATTGCGCTTCACCCAGCGTCGATGGCAGGTGGCCTGCTGCTGTTGCTGCTCCTGGACGCTGCAGCGACGGCCGCGCTCCAGCCAGGCGGCCCGTCCCTGAGCGCACTGTGCAGATCGATATACATATATATATATATATATGGGCGTATATGTATATATATGTATATACATCAATCGTGTGGTGATCGGATGATCGATTTTAGGTATATGTGGACAACGAGAGCATACGAAACATCAAAAGGCGAGTTTATCGTTTATCGATTACAGCGATGACGACGTTTACGACGCACACACACAAACACACAGCCACCCACACACAAGCACACACACAGACGCACACGCAGATTTGTGGTGGTCGTGGTGTCGATGTTGTTGACGGTGGCAGCGGTGTTTGGTTGGTTGGTTGGTTGGTTGTTTTGGTGGTGTTGGTGGTGGGCAAATGCATAGAAAATATATACAGTTACTGTGGTTAGTTCAACTGTGAGAGCACGGTGGTTTATTTCATATTTATCTTTCAATTTTCTTTCAATTACTAATATATATAAATATTTATTCAAAAGCATACAGGAAAAGTAAATCAAAACAAACAAAAATATTACAAACTCATTTCAGAAGTTCAACGACTAATGCAAAAGCAATCAAATACATATATTTTTTGTTGTTTTTGTAATTCAGTCTCAAATTTCAATCCAATTTCATATTCAATTCAATATCATAAAACGATTTGATTGCGGTTTTGGGTTACGAGTTCGACATCAATTACAACAACAATAATTTAACAAGAAGAATGATAATTATAATAAAAATAAGGAGCAGCCAATTAGCTAAGGATTTTCGTTTCACTTTTCCTTGACTTTTCAGATATCTTTCATATTTGGTCGGTTTTCTTAAAAATGCATTAACACACATCGATTAGGCTTAAACAGCAAACAGTTAGGAAACAGATTAAGGAGAAAACACAGTAAGTTGTAATCGTAGGATACTTTGGTTAGGTAGAAAGAGTGAAAGTTGTAAAAAAAAGAAAAATTACTATAAACGGAAATGAAACTAATTAGGCTTAAGGCTAAAGAAGCAACTTGAACTGCATTCCAAATATTATTAAAGTAACCACAATTCCACGGGCTTAAGTATTTTATATAGAAACACAGATATGGTCATGCTGCACCTGAATATCGTAAAGTCATAAGACCCACAGCAAGCCACAGCTAATATAGTTATTTATATATCATTCAGCAAATGAATCATGCAAAATGAATAAGGCATGGAAAATCATAAGGAAATCTATTTGTCGGCGCCTTTCGATAAACAGAAGTTTACTAGGACTGCTCATTATTTGTTTCTATCTGAGTATTTGTTGCACTTAATCAATCCAGATATGACAGGTAATAAGCGTGATGTATGATATATGAGATTAATTTGTTTGCTTTTTAAGGTAAGCTTGCTGCTAGAGTCAGACAAACAGAAGTCAATGCCATTTTAAGCCACACACACACACACACACACACACACCCACTAATGAGCCGCGACTTGTGGACGTTACACAAAACCTCAAAACTCCATTGACTATGCCGATAAACCAGCCGCTGTCTCTAAGGCTGCCACAAAATATGCTGCGTGTTGGTAATAAGGCAAGTAGAATGACACACAAATACAAGCACACGTATACAGTGCGAGTGTCCTATATACAAGCGAGATATATAGGTGTCGCTTCTATATGTGGACATACATACAGTTTATATAGCATTCGGTGTATGCGAACGCCTCAGGCTGCACGCTCAACTTTCGTTTGCGCTTTTTAGACTTTGTTGATGCCCTGTAACTATTTGAAGGGGACTTAGAATAAAGGTCTTATAATAATAAATGCATGTGAGATATGCAGAAAGAAGGATCCATGAAGTTAAGTTTGTAGAAAATTAATAAATATATTTTTACTATTTTCTTTATATTTGTTTCCTAAACTTTCTGCTAATTCATTAATATCAACTTGCCTAAGTTAGATTGTGAATTTCTGTTCAAATACAGTGACAAATAGAAGAACTCGATATTTATCGATTTCGATTCTCTTACATTATGGGACATTGGAATAACTGCAAACAGCCAAAAATTTCAGAATGTGTGTCTTTGGATACTGTGCCCTTATATAAGAGACGGCAAAGTTCAGGGTATTATTTGGGCAGGCACTACTCTTTGTTTTTTAGTAGGATTTATATTTCTCATTTCTAGCTTCGTTTGCTTTCGTGTGCAAAATCGCTGTCGCATGGACACTATCGATCGGCGCTGTATGGAACTGTGTGGAGCCCCGACTGTCTGCTACATACATGTGTAAATATATACGTAAGCTGTAACTGTAACTGTAACTGCCCTTGACTCGACGTTATTCTGTTGATGTAGTCGTAGGTGTAATCAACAATTTGCGACTTTGATTGATGAATGACGGCAAGCACACAGCCCAACCTCTCATAACTGGCTAACACGCATTCACGCAGTCGAAAAGGAGGTTCAATAAACAAACTATATATACATAAATATATATATATATATTGCAGGTAACTTGCAGCTAACTTAATATACTAATTATCATTATTTACTTGTCCACGTGTCGCTAAAACATTTCCAGACATATTTTAGACTAAACAAATGGAAAGAATTTTTGCACACACTTTACAGTTGGCACGCTAGATGTTCATTAAACTTTAACCTTTGGCATTTAATCGTTGCGTATATCAGGTGTGTATACTCTATATTTATATACGTATATATAGAACGTCTCCTGCTAATAGAAGTTGTCGCATGCGACTTCTCTGTTAAACTCGCCAGTTTCTCTTATTTCGTAACGCAGCAAACTGCTAAAATTCGTTCGCTTTACCTGGATTTTGTTGTTGTTGTTTTTTGTTGAAAAAGCGCTAATGAACAGCGCACACGAACGCCATTGGCAACCAATCTGATGTCCACAATGTAGTCACTGCCTCAAAAGCTAATCGAAGTGCTGTCTGCCCTCTAATAGAATATCTAAGTTAGCTGCAGAGCTTAACAATTGCTTAAAAAATTCTTTTAATAATATTGAAAAATCCAAAAAATTAAAATCGTTTTTATAACAGAGTGAAGTATGCTGCATCATAATTTTTAGGTATATTAAGTCTGGGTTAAGTCTGGTAAGTTAGTCACAATTCTTGGAGCTAATTACAGCGCAACTTTTGTTTAATAATAATAATATGTAATTAGTTGTTGGCTGTGAGATTTGTTGCTCGCTTTGATTGTCGCCATTGATTTTGTTGTATAATAATAAATTGTTCTGTTGCCACAAATTAGCATGTACTTGCAGCTTGCTTCTGCCGGGTGGGGCTGGCGAGCTCCTCCCACAGCAGGAAATGTCCCACATTAATGACAGCAATTTATTTTGGTTCATTGATTGTTCCGATTGTTCAGATTGGTAAAGGGGCTTTGTTGACTCCGTACTTGTTGTAAACACACTGCCAGAATATATAATGACCTCTGCTTGATTTAAGACTTAATCATTAATCAACATCGTGCGCTTGTCGACATGATAATTCAGCTGACAATTGTGAATGTAATTGAGACCGGAAGTTCATATTGAATAGTCGGGGTTGACTGCTGGCAATGCTTAATGTTGTGATTGGGGAAGGTTCTGAATTGGAAATTTACTATTTATTGTTAAATTTACTATTTGAATACAAGGATTGCGAACACACTAAACCTCTTTAAAAGTATTGTATTCATACAAATTTTTGAAGTCTTACTGATATGATACACCAAGACAAATGTTGCACTGTTGGAAGATTTTCTTGAAAATTTTAAATTATTATAATTATTATTAGAGCCAAACTTAATACTTGTAGAGTACTAAAAATATATAAAAGCTGCCGAAGTGCCAAAGCTATTTTGCAAGTCTTCTAATAAATAGTAAGGATGAGTCTAGTCGACTCTAGTCGAAACAGAACTCAAATCAGTTCTAATGCAATTTGCTGTTACACTGACTGCAAATGTCTATGGCAGGCCACAAAAACTGGCAAGCAAATAGATATGTTTAGATATATGTATAGATTGGAAGGCCCTAGCTTAGCCCATAATTCAGCATGCATAACGTAGAGCACGTCCAGGTCTAGGTTCGGGGTTTGGCATGTGTGCAAACTTTATTATGCAGACTCGAGTCGACTCGTCTCGGCTCGAGTTGAGTCGAGAGTTGAACTGAATCAAGTGTGAAATGCACTTGAAAAACTCAGCAATCAAATGCGCTGCTGGCACAGGTAGCGTACAGGTGGGCTGTGAGCCAAGCTCTCTAGTTGCGCAGGCTAATGAAAAATGCAGCTGCAGCGGAAAGGAGCAGAGCAGCGGAAACAGCCGCAGTTGGCACTGACACACGGAAAAGCGCATAAAGATGGAAAAACGTAAAACTCACGAATGCCGCTTTAGACAATGCAGCTGAGTGGAAACTGGGGAAAGGGGCTTATAGAAGCTGCCGCTGCCATTCAGGGACACACACACACTGAGAGACATTACGGGCAATTTCACTAAATGACACTGAAAGCCACGCCCCATCCCGCACAGCCCGGCTCGCGTTGATGCTTCTTTTGTTTAGCTGTCGCAGCCCTGAGGCCCGAGTGCCTTCAAGGTGTTTGCAGCTCATGCGGCGAATTGGTTTTGTGTCTTTACAGCCAGCTTCAAAGTGGTTCAGGAGCAAAGGAAGCGGAGGTCCCCCAGTAAATATGCTACACAAATCAGCATTAAAGCGAGCTCCAGGTGTGAGGGAACAGTTCATTATGGCCAATAATAATGCTTTGGGTCACTTCAAAAGACTCAGCCGCAAGGTGACCTACTTGAAAGTCCTTCAAAGGACTGCTGCAGCAGCACATGCTTGACCATGATTCAAGCAGCAGTCGCAGAAAATATATCTACATATTGGGCAAATTGCAAAGGCAACTATATGTAAGGCTAGTCATAAATTGTGCATTGTCAACGCTTTGGGACATCCGTCGAAAATCCGTGTGATGCCAAGTAAACACTTTTCCCTGGATGTTCTCTTTTTTTTAACAATTACCACAGCCCTCCGCTTTATCAAATCGTAGACCCCTGCCAGCACAGCAGCA